GAATGCATGATTTACTCCCTCTCACGGTACTGACCCTGTTTTGTTTTTTGTCTCTAGAGGTAGTATTTGACATATATCCCAACAGAGGTATTACGGGAAATGTAATCTTTATTGGCTTCAATGGACGTGTCCTGTCCTGTGTGGAATCTGGAGGAGGGCCTCCTCAACTAAAGGCAGTGGTGAGTTTTGTCCAGGGCTGGTCCAATCATTTTAGCACCTGCGGCAAACCACAAAATGGTGCCCCCTGCCACAGAAGAAGGTGGGAAGATCTACCTTGGGAACAAAGCAAGGAATCAAACCAACCTTACTCAATGGTTGAACTGGGAATCAAAGGGCATCATGGGTGGGAAAGGGCCTGCTTTGGCTCACTCTGAATGGGGCCCAGAGGGCAGCCCCTTCCCTTTTCTCCCTAGGGGTGGGAGGAGACCAGCAGTCCCTCCTATTCTCTGAGGAGCCACTGTGAATGGGGTGGGGGACTGCTAAGAGTGATGTGCCTTGGTCCAGTATACTTGAAGGAGCATCTCCACCTCCATCGTTCTGCCCGGACACTGAGGTCCAGCTTCGAGGGCCTTCTGGCGGTTCCCTCACTGCAAGAAGCCAAGTTACAGGGAACCAGATAGAGGGCCTTCTCAGTAGTGGCACCCGCCCTGTGGAACACCCTCCTATCAGATGTCCAGGAAATAAGCAGCTATCCTATTTTTAAGACATCTGAAAGCAGCCCTGTTTAGGGAAGTTTTTAATATTTAATGCTGTATTGTTTTTAACACTAGATTGGGAGCTGTCCAGTGTGGCTGGGGAAACTCAGCCAGATGGATGGGGTATAAATGATAAATTATTATTATTATTATTATTATTATTATTATTATTATTATCCCCATTAAAACGAAAACTTACACGTTTAGATGAATTAATGCATTCTAGTAGGCATTGTTGTTGCTTTTATCGATTAAAGTTCTACCTTGCCTTTCCTCCAAAGGAGCCCAGGGTGGCAAACAACGAAGCAATAGAAAAATACAATTAAAAATAAAGTGCAACCATATTAAAAAGTTTAAAAACAATAATATATTTTTAAAAAGCTATTTTTAGGGTATTTACAAATAATCCCATGTGTCAAGGCTGCCTCAAGTCTTAGCTCACAAAAGACCAACGCCTATGTCTTCTTATATACAAAGGTGTTTATTGCAGTTCATGGTTTGCTTGACATCCTAGGCGCGCAGCCTTACGTCTCTCACGCTAGACCGCTGAAGTCCCCTCTGAGTCAGTCCCTCCCCTGCACCAATTTAAGAGACTTGCGCTGCTCCACCTCTTTCTCTCCTTCCTTTTCCGCAGGGTCCTTCTGCCCACTGGGGTCTCGCCCTCCTGGATTCCTCTGACGCGGAATCAGACTGCTCTTCCCCTCCTGCGGGCTTTGGGACCTGGCCCCTCCTCCGGGCTCCCTGTACTTCCGCGCGCCTCACATTTGAACTAGGCGCGCGCGCCAAACCTCTAACTTTCCTTTTGACAGTTACACTACTCCCTTCACTGCTCCCCTCCTTCCGGGAGGGCGGCTTGCTCTGACCCCCTCCTTTCTCTGCTGCTGGAGCTGCTTCCTCTGACACACTGGAAACTCCACCCCTTCGCTGCACTCTGGTGGGGAGGCTGGTCCTGACGCCCAGCTGCCACTTTGGGATCCTCCGCTGGCACCCTGCTCCTGACACTTCCCCCTGGGGCTCCTGGCCTTGACCACCGGCGCCCCTTCTGGGAATCCTCTGATTCGCTGGAAAGACTCATGGAATCTCTTGAGTCATTGTCATCCTCTTCCTCGCTGGCTTGGAATTCCTCCCCATCGCTCTCCATCTCCTGCCTACCCTGTGCCTCTCTCCCTGAACCCCTGACACCATGTTTTCAGGATCCTCCCCTTCCCTTCCACAAACATTTGCTTTCTCTCAAGCAACTGCAAGTGATGCAATACAACTTTTCTTTCTACCCAAGTCTTTGCATTTCTGTTTTCTTTTAGCCTGGAAATATTAAGGAAATGTACAATGAGGTGAACGAATTCAGGAGCTCCACTTTCTTCAGAAAGCCTGGTGGCAAAGAGACGTACAGCTTGGAATCTGCAGCATTCCCGGGCTGGTTCATAAGCACTTCTCCTGAGCCAAACAAGCCTGTTGGTTTGAGCCGCCAAGGAGCCACGGAGATCACAGAATTTTATATGGTGAGAATATAGGACTAAATGTGACCTGCTGCTTTAAAGGAGAATATCTGTCATTACCAGGGAGCTGTCATTGAAAATACATGACACAGAGGAAATCATCCCCTAGAAACCCTGACGCTTCTCCATTTGTTATTATTTTTATTCTTTATTAAATTTGTTATTTGCTTTATCTTACCCAGGACAACCCAAAGTGTCTTAGAACCAACCAACCAACCAACCACCCACCCACCCACCACACATACAGTAGATACATTAAAGTCTATAGGAAAAAAGAAATACATTAACACTCCTCCCACTTCACAGATAGTTAAGGACTAAAGGCCTGGTAATAGAGGAAAGTTGTTGCCTGGGGCCTAAAGATATGATTGTGCCAGGCGAGCCTCCCTGGGGAGAACATTTCATAAATGGAGAGACACTGCAGAAAAGGCCCAATCTCATGTTGCCACACGCCAGATCTCTTTTTGAGGGGGCACACAAAGTAGAGCTGCAGATGGTGATCACTGTGTCAGGGTCAGTTAATATGTGAGAGGCAGTCCTTGAGATATTGCAGTCCAGTTTCTGGCTGATGTCACAATATATGTCTGTTGAGCTCTTCTGCACTTCAGCACTGGGGAGCTGTCCGGGTGGGGGAAAGCCAGGATTTATGAGGCAAAATTCCTGGCAACGCTCCTCAGGGGGTTCTGGGGAGTGCACGGTATCCCATGGTATTGCTTAAGCTCGTATCTAGAAAGGCAGTACGGATACGACCTCGGAAGTATGTCCCTGCCATGGACGAATCGTCTCAGGCATGATTTGTGATCGGTTCCTCGTGAATTTGGAATATTGGCGTTGATTATGGGGCGCTCCTGAAATGGCATATGATAAAGGGCTGCAATTAATCAGCTGCCGAAAGGACTGGATTTGAGCCATGAAGGTATTTCAATGATTTTCAACAAGCACAAAAATACTTACAATAGCCAGAATGGAAGGGGAGGCAAGGCAATGTTTGTTTCGATGGTTCCTAAATGGTCTTTTTCTCTCTTGACCACCCCTGTAAAATGAAAGAATCATGTGCAGGTGTTTTGATGTTATTTGTTACTGAGAGAGAGAGGGGAGCCAATGATTTATGCTCAACAAAGGGTTCTACAATTTCTTTTACACCCTTCCCTCTTGACTGAGGTTGAATGGATCTTATATAAATTTTTTTGGACTGAATCAGGAGTGGAGAAGAGAACAATTTGCTATGGACTGCTAATTACACTTGGCAGGAATTTAAATATGTGACTTTGATCTTTAACTGCGAGCTGTGGAAAATATCCCCAGAATTTTAATGGCAGAGCAGACATCAACTTGGGGAGTTGTTTATAGCTCAGCAAGTACTTGAACAACAGAAGGAATGTTTTCAAAGGAGTGGAATGGACCAAGAACAATGACAATCTCTCTTCACACCAGGTCTAGGAACAACCTGCTAGAAGGAATGAACACATGAATTTTTTTTTATATGTTTGGAAAATAAGAATGGTGCTGATTGTAAGGAAACAAGAAGGCTAGCCACGAAAATGGATTAATACTAATAGAAGGATGAGAATGTGATTAAAGAAGAAGAAGTGGCAACATCAGGAAGCATTGGACATGTTTGTAACAGGAGCGGGAAACCTTATTATTATTATTATTTTAAAAATTGTATTAAATTTAAATAATTTGGATCAATTTATTAAAATTCGGAACACACACACACACACACACACACACGAATGAAATATTGTAGTCCTGAGCCTTTTAAAGCTTTATAGGTCAAAACCAGCAAAGGCCACTGAGAGATCCAGCAGAACTAGGAAACAGCTTTCACCTTTGTCCTTAGCCCACCGGAGATCATCGACCAGCAAGGTCAAGGCAGTTTCAGCCCCATGATGAGGCCTGAATCCCGAATGAAAAGGATCTAAATGGTCCACATCCTCCAGGCGTGCCTGGAGTTGTTTAGCAACCATCCGCTCGGTCACCGTGCCTGAAGATGGGAGATTTAAAACTGAGTGATTGTTGGCCATATTGGATGGGTCCAAAGATGGTTTTTAAAGAAGCGGTTTAATAACTGCCTCTTTCAGTGAGTCTGGGAAGGCTTCCACACAGAGGGAAGCATTCACCACCCCACGGAGCCCATCGCCCAGCCCTTCCTGGCTAGCTTTTATGAGCCAGGATGGGCAAGGATCAAGGAGACAGGTGGTTGCTTTCACTCATCCAAGCAGCCTGTCCACATCTTCAGAGGTGACAGATTGGAAGTGATCCCATGCAACTTGACTAGGCAGGACACTAGGACTCTAGGTACAATTGCATGCAGAAATGTGAACGTTAATGAGAAATTGGCACCAGAATGCTGATGAATATTCCTGAGGACTCTTTTTAAAACAAAATGAATGAACTTTATTACGGTCACAGACCAGGATAAAAACAAAAACAAAAACATATAAATAAAATACCAGTTAGGATTTTTTAAACTGATAAATGTTGGAGCAGATAAGGACAAAGAAACAAGCTTAGGATAAAACATCTGAATAAAATACAAGATTAAACACAAGGACTCTTTTAAAAACAAAATGCAAACTAATATGGAAATGAGGAGAACTGAACAAGACTGGAAAAATGAGAAACCGAGAGCAACCAAAATTGACCTATCCAGCCATCCCTACTCTTGATAGATGCAATTTCCTCGTGTTTTTGTAGCTTGAGTGAATACTGGAAGTTCTGAACATGTTAGAACTGAAAGGCATTTTGCTACTTGATTAGGATATACATACATTGGCATTAAAACCTCCCTCCTCTTTCAGAAGTTCTAATCACCTTTTACTTTATCAAAATAAAACTGAGTGATCTCAGCACCTCCTTGATGACTCAAACGAATCGGCTGGTTTGGCTCAGTCAAGGTGCTTAGGAACCAACCCGGGAAGGCTGCAGATTCAAAGCTGCCAGTCTCTGTGCTGCTGCCACTTTTACAAAAGAAAGTGAAGTTCTTGTGTTCCTTGCCATCGTTGTAGAGATCCATAATGCCTTTACCCTATTTAAGATAAAAAAGCATACAAAAGGTTTAGTAGAAAGAAAGCTTGTGCTACATCACAAATGAATGCCATCCGTTGCCTGGGAGAAAGCGAGACTTGGGGCTAAATCCCAATGATTGTAACCAAAGCATATACAAATTCAAAGTTTACTGGAAGCCTCAAGTTTATATCTGGATTGTGTCATGAATACACCAAGCATTCAGCCATGAGATAAGCCTTTCATTCAAAGGATGGGAGGACCTGTGGCCCTCTAGACGTTGGTGGACTACAATTCCTATCATCTCTGACCATTGGCTGTTCTGGATGGGGCTGATGGGAGTTAAAGTCCAACAAGTTCTGACCCACCACTGGTTCTTCAGCTTCAATTCCTGTCTGCCTTTCATAAGTTTGAATCTTTGTTTATATACCAAAACAGGAAGGTTTCACTACTGAATTTGAAAAAACAAAACAGGAAATAGAACCAGAAGCTGAATAATTAAGGAGAAATTCATAACTAATGGAGAAGAGTGCAGAACGTACAATCAGGAAGTGTTTGCTTTCACTAAAAGGACAGTAGCAGCCCTAAAAAAAACTCAGTAGATCTTTGCCTCACCCAGTAGACAGGCTAGGAAGACAAAGGAGAGGGAAGAAGCATAGAAGGACAACAGAGAGAAGAATGGAATGCAGTGATTTAGCAAAGATGTCCTTTGGATTCCCTGACTACGAAAAAAAGAATGAGCAAACAGCAGAGAATATCTAAAGTCTTTGTCATGGTGGATGCATCTAAACAAGCAGCAGAAATTTGAAACAATAAAATGTGATTTTGAACCAGAAGTGAAACCCACCTCCAGGGTCAGCTGAGGTTGACCACCAGGTTCACCACAGGAGAGGGTTTGTGCTCCATCTTGGGTGCCCCAAAAGACGGCAAATGTGTTTCCATCTTTTGGGGTTATCCCTCTGTTGGGGGTCATAGCCACCAAGTAATCTGGAACCAAAAAACAGGCAAAGATCAGTGTGATAAGAGTGGGGTGTGACCATGGAAAGTTAAGGAGCACCATTTCTGACCCTACTTGAAGACAGTGCTGCTTTATCAAACACTTCCTGAAACCTGGTTACCCAGTCCCAGAATTTGCACAAGTGTTCAATCGGTAACAGTGTAGGTCGCAGCTGTGAGATGTGAAGGGATCATAACCATTGTTACCGGGTGAGTTGCCATCTTTGGGGGCTGCTACCAGCATGTTGTTCTTCAGGAACAGGAACTTCTGGTTGATATCCCAAATCCTGTAGAGCCATGGGCTCCCTAACCGAAGGGAAGGATCTGTGATGAAAAGAAGTAACACAAATTTATCAACACACAAGAAAAAATGGAATATTCTAAAGAAGGAACAAGCAACTTTTCAGACATATCTTTTTTCTTCTGTGTTGGAGCTGCAATTCTTTTCTCCCCCTTTTGTGTGAAGTGGTGATAGCCATGGTTGGCACAACACATTTTCCATGGTGGCAACATTGTGGAGTTTCTGATGTGAGTCTAGGACTTCCTCTATCCTTAAGATATTGCGCATGCAAGTCATTAAATGTGTTCCTAGTGTATCTTTTTTCATCTGGTACTAAGAATACAGGTTTATATATTGCCAAAGAGACAGCCTAGTTGCAAGCACTATTGACTGGCTGTTTTCAGCTTTTATTCAATGGGATCCAACCTGGCTGAAACCCAAGGACTCTAGTTTGACTGGTTTCTCCAGGTGAAATCCATCGACTCCCCCTGCTGGTGTGTGTATCAGTTTCCTTTTGACTAAAGACCCCTGCTTTTTAGAGGAGTTTTGATTCTGACCATGTTCTTGCCCTCCTGTACAATGGGAGAAAGAGATAAGCAGAATAACCTAGGGCACAGAGCACACATGCATGTACGAATGAATGAATGAATGAATGAATGAATGAGGTTAGCTAATGAAGCAGGATATCTATTTGGTTATCTGCAAGTATATTTGCACACAATATCGTCCATGAAATATGTAATTTAAAAAAACAGTCGTGATTGTTTACGACCCTCCTCCCCCTCCCAATTCTATAACCCAATAATTCAGGATAATACTTCATGCATCTGGTAAAATGAGCTGTAGTTCATGAAAGCTTATATTGTTAGGAAAATCGTCCAACAGGTACCGCTCGTTCTTTGCTGAAACAGACTAACACGGCTAGATTTTGGGGAACAAGTCCTCCTTGCTTTTATGTTAAACCACCAACATGGAAAATATCCCCATGGGGAATGTCATTTCACTCAGCAGGTGTACATGCTTACGGTGACGTAACATGGTTTGCTGGTTTCCGGGGCAGGTGGGAGCCAGGTGGAGGCACGCGCACTAGGGCATGGGATGCGGAAAATTAAGGGAGCCTGCCACAGAAAGCCAGCCTTCGCTGTTGATGCCGCACTGCAATGCCTGCCTGCCACGCAGGGTGGAACCCAGCTAGCAAATTGTGGCCCTTGGCAGGTAAATCGCCCTGATGCCCTAGGAGAGGAGTGCCAGGCTTTACTCGGGTTGCCCCTTGTCTGCTTCCCTCCATCCGTGCCCACTCACCATTGGGAGAGCATACTGAGCGAGGAGTGAGTGAGCAGTACGTTGGTTGGGCTGCCATTCAGAGAGAGGGTCTGGGATGTAGTGGCAATGCCAGGTCAGACTCTGGCGCCCAGATAGCCCTGCAGCAGGCAGGGAAGGATGAGGAGCTGAGGACAGGGCACACCAGTACGTGCCTGGACAGGAATCCCGCAGAAGCCAACACCTGCATGGGGGTGCCTGGTTTGCACCCCCTCAAAATTATGCCCCCAGGGGACTCGGCCTTCTTCCGCCCCCCAGTATGTTATGCCCCTGTGAGCATATATGGATAATGGAAATTCTAATTTAATTTAAGGATCACTGCAGGTTTTCAGAACTTCTCTTGGGCAGGAAGTATAAAAGCAAAGCATTGATTTCACCTGGCTTAGGAAAGTGATGGAATAAATCTCTCATTTTCTGGTCCACAGTCATCTTGTGGGGCTTCTCCCTTAAAGTCTCTGTGTCTACTTTCTCCATTGCTTCCTAAGGATTGGTTGAGATTCAGGCTACAAGCTCACTCTTCTGCAGTTGTAGCTACTAAAAGAGAGTGATGTAAAATGTTAGAGGAGAGGCTGCAAAAATCCAAAGTTCCATTGATTGCCCTTCTGCACAATATCCCCGGATCAACATAGATACATATATATATAACTTTATTTGTAAGCCACCTTTACATAGTTCATACCATGCTCAAGGCGGCTAACAACATTGAAAAACTACATAATTACAACATAACAACCAAACCAAACAAGTTCCACATAAATCATAGTAAGATCTAAAATCAAATATCAGTATCAATCAAAAAATCAGTATCAAAAATAGCAATAACCCACTGCCTAAACAACACCCAGGAAAAGGTCATTCAGCAGCCTCAGCTTTGGTAGTTGGAGTCCGTCCTGGCCCCACCCTCCCAGGCCAGGTGGAACAGGCTTGCAAGGCAGGAAGGAAGTCTTCCAGGACTCACAGCCAATATAAATTAGGCATGGTGAAGCAAGGCTAATTACACAACCAATGTCCAGGAGTAAGAATACAGCAACAGAGAATCAGATGATATGCCACTGGTATGAATTGATGCAATATAGCAGATCATTAAATCAGAGCTTCCACCTTCTTGAAATTTAAAACAGATACACAGGCTTCCAGTTTCTATCAGGATAGAGGCTCTGGAGGTGAATTTTTAATCCTTTCCCTTGTGCTCAATCAAGCTTAACCCTCCGTCTCCAAACATTTGTACCCTCTTTAAGGGGAGAGGGAATGAAGGGCATCAATTTTTTCCCCTTGGTACAGACCTGCTGGGCTGGGGAGGTGATATATTTCTTCTAAAAACATATATCCTGCACAAAAGAACATTACAAATTACAAAAATATCTCAAAATACCTTACAATAAATTCATTTGCAAAAATAGCCAGGCCACTTACAGCCCAAGTAAAACGAGAATAAAGTAAACAGCAGTCCAGAATGCTTAGAAAGGGAAACAAAAAGTACACCTGAATTAGTATTGTTAATTACAATTAATTGACATTAAAATCAAGGAAATATGTCTCCCTCAGCTTCAGGGCCCACCAAATGACTATAATGATAGATGGGGGAAATGGGTCTGAGGAAAGGCAAAACAGAGATTTCCTGCCTCTGAGATAATTTGGCATTTGAAGCAGACAATTTAGCATAGTCTTCCCTAATCTGCGATCCTCCACATGTTGTGGACCACAGCTCCCATCAGTCTCAACCAGGATACCCAATGATCATGCATAATGGAAGCTGTAATACAACAATATCTGGAAGGAAAGTAGCTGGGAAAGGCTATGATCTCAACTAGCTGCCTTCCAGATATTGCTGGATATCTGGATAGAAGGTTCAGAGAAATAATTGAGGAGATGCTACCTGTGCTGGTGTGAGGAAGTCCTGTGCCTTGCTATGAATTGTCTTCTGAGATTTACACAGCATCTTATAGCTTAGTCAGACCAGTGGGTGTGGTTTATATGCTCTGTGACACCTTATGTGGCACAAACACTAATCCAAGTCTTGCACCAGCAGCCAGCTGTTCTGAGAAGCTACAAATGCTGTGATAGTTCAAAATCTGAGGGCTCCTCCCAACATCCTTTTTATTCTGCATTGGTGATCATTTATGCTCATGATGGTACTGAGGTGGTCATATGCAAGCCCAGTTTCAATAATCTTTGAGACTAGCGATAGAGGAGAAATTTGATTCAGTGTTCATATAAACCTGAATCTTATCAAATTTGCACATTCCAAACAATATGCGAACTGAAACAAAGCTATCTTAAATTTGCGGTTCTGCAGATTTCGCAATGCAGTTCTCCATCCAATCTAATAATGTTTGTGGAATTGCATATATTATAGGAAAGTGTGCAGTATAATGGACACATTAGTAAAAATCTACAGAAATGCATTATATCGGGGGAAATTGATCACAAACATGTGTACACTAGTCATAACTGCATAGAAAATGTGTTTAGTGGGAGAAATTTGCAGTAAAAAACTAGTGAATCTTCATGAGGAATTTTTAAAAAATGCAAATTGCTGCAAAATGTAGAGAACTGAATTTCTGCCCACACTCCTCTTTTGCAGTGCCCTCCTTCCCTATGCAGTGTGGACTTTTGGCCAGTTGCCTGCTGGGGTGTGTGTGTATGTGTGTGTGTGTGAGAGAGAGAGAGAGAGAGAGAGAGAGAGAGAGAGAGAGAGAAAGAGAGAGAATATTTGGAAGAGTCTCTGATTGGCCTTGGGGAGCCTTTTTCCATCCTGCTGAAGCAGGTTAATGCAACTATCTTTTAAGAATAGGGGTGGGGAACCTGTGGCCCTCTAGATGTTGAACACAACTCCCATCATCCTGATGCAGGGACAGACCTTCAAAATTTAACCCTCTTCCAGCCCAAAGCTGGGTAAGGGAGGCACCAGGCTTTGGGGAAGAGGCGTGAGACCTAGATCCATCCTACCTCCTTCCCAAAGTTGGGCAAGTTCAAATGAGGCTGTAGGATGAAGGTAGGAGAACAACAAAGGACGTGGGTGGTGCTGTGGCTTAAACCACAGAGCCTAGGACTTGCCAATCAGAAGGTTGGCGGTTTGAATCCCTGCGACGGGGCGGTTCCGTCACTGCTAGAAGCCAATTTTTATTTTTGAAAAATTGTATTAAATTTAAATAATTTGGATCAATTTATTAAAATTCGGAAAACACACACACGAATGAAATATTGTAGTCCTGAGCCTTTTAAAGCTTTATAGGTCAAAACCAGCACTAGGCTCCAGAAACTACTGTATTTTTCATCTATAAGATGCCCCCATGTATAAGCCCCCCCCTATTTTCAAGAAAATGATAGGAGATGGCCCAAAGTTGTTGAGCTTCTCTCCCCACACAGCTGCAGGCAGGAAACACTCCCTAGATTTGGTGGGTGCTCGGGGCCTCTAGAGTTGGCGCCCCTGATCTTCATGTATTCTGTCAGAAGCTGGCCGGTTGCCGGCTTGAGAAAATGGCACACAAACTTCCAGGTTAGCGCCATCGGCGAATGGCGGAGTTCCTCCATCTGGAGGAACTGGCTCCATGGAAACTGGGTCTTCCCGCCACGGCGAAGGTGGGGACCCGCTAGAAATCCCAGGCGGAGGAAGCCTGGGGACGTGGGGTTCGGCAGGGCACCAGGAGCGCCCCCCCACTCACTGGGAACCCCATTTTGGGGCTCCGGAGTGAAGTGGGGTGAGCGGTGCGGTGCTGCGAACTGATTGCTACTTTCACGGAGTGAAGCCGCACAGCCATTGCCGGAGAGCGCTGACTTTTTCCTGTGGACAATTGGATTTAAAACAAGTACCCGTGAGTAGAAACGGAAAATTGGATCAAGAAATATCTTAATTTGGCACCGAAGCGGGAAGGTTCAAAACAGGAAGTCCGCCTTCCGCTTTTGTATATAGACTGAAGCAAAAACCTTGTAAGCTAAAGCCTGGAAAGTCGTTAAAAAAGTCTAAATTTCCTTCATTTATAACTACTGAAACCCCCTTGGAAGCAGGAGAAAAGGTGCGGGGGGGACTTTGTTTAACGCCTGCAGGAGAGGGAGTGAAGAAAGATAAGTTTCCACCGTCTCTAACCTGGGAACGGGGTGTCAGAGACAGAAATTGTTGGAGAGGTTCATTGACTGTGAATGGTATACTTTGACAGATAGCTAAAGAATAGAAATAAACTGATTCCAATGTTGCCTTTTGCATTCTAAAGAAACAAAATGTCTGAAAAATGAAAGTAATTTTCCTTTGTTGGACTTGCCTTAAAAAAATGGATACAAATAGAAATTGTCTCCTCTAGAGGGAGCTTGCTAAATTGTTGCTGCAGTCTACTTGAGGACTCTACAGCTGTGAGATTAAGATCGTGGGACCAGTCCTTTTTGACCTTGACTAAATATGAGCTGGGAGGAAGTTTTGGTGCTTGCTTTATGCAAGACAAGTGCCTTGTTGTTTTTATTTTTTTATTTTTTTTATAATTGATATTTATTAAGTTTTCAAAGAGTAACAACAAAAATTTCCAAAAAAGTTTGAAAATACAGAAAAAAACAAAAATAATACAAATAATAAAGAAGAAAAAAACCCAGCCGCAGAAAAATAAAGAGAAAAACAGAAAAACAGAAATATAAAATCCTTTACGATCTCCATTAACTTCCTTTCTAGACTTCCTCCTCCTCCCCTCTCTTGTTTCTTAGTATTTAATTTTTACAGCAAATCCTTTCTGTTTTTTCATAACAATCTATCATTACGTTTCCTTATTCTATTTTCCCTCTTGTCATATAAAAACTTTAAAACTCAAAGCTTATATTCAATATTTAACAAATTCTTACATCATTACCTTTTACAAATCCTTTACCAATCCTTACTTAAGCCATATAATTTCATTCAACATCCTTCAGACATTTATAAACATTCCCAATATTAAAAAATAAGAAAGAAAAAATGATAAGTCAGATTCAGTCCAGTCAGCTTCCAACCTCCCCTCCCCTGGACCCGGGATTGTCAGTCCTTTTAACCTCAATAATCCGGCTCCTTAACCTGGTTGTCTCGTATCCGAGGCCCTCAAGTCTCTTTCTTGCCCCTTTCGCCACTCTTGTTGATATTTCCCTTTCAGTCGTGGATACTCCAGCAAAAAGATGCTTTTGACTCTTTGCAGCAAGTCCATCCCAAACCCATTACCCAAGCCAGACAGCAGATAATACCACTTCCAATTTCCACAAAGCTTGGAGACTTCGACTACTCCAATCCTCTGATGTCCCATCACTAGACTCGGAAAGTCCAAATAACCATATAGAGGGGTGTCAATCCATCCCCCCATTTCCAAATCTGACCACATTTCATCTTTCCGAATCAGGTTTGTCCCAAGTTCATTTATCAAGTTCAAAGGCTGATCTTGCCCATCCAAAGGTCCCTCCATCTCTGAAGCCTCCGTCGCTACAGCAGGTTCATATACTTGTATAGACTTTAACTGAATTTCATTTGTTTGCTGCTGTGCTCTGGTAACTTCCATCATCAAGGTCGGCTCCTGACGCATCTGGTCCAGCTGGGCACTTAATTTTGCAAAACCTTCCAGGAACACTTGTTCAAGCCTTTGTACAAGCATTGTCCTTCAAGGTCAAAGAAAATTCTTTCCCACGAGATCTTTTAAACTCTCTGCATTGCAATTTCACTCAGTTCCACTAGATGGAAAGCCCTTTTTTTTATTTTTTTTTAAGAGGGGGAAAAACAACAGCAACAATCTTTCTTTTTCCAGAAACACTTTATCTAAAATTCCCCTTCCAAATTCAAGAGGCAACAGTAGAATCAAAATGTTACCCTTCTTTTAACTATCTGTCGAGCTGGATAAGCTTCAAAACGTCAGTTCTGACAGCCCGCTCCTGGTTCAGGGCGGTGGAAAATTACTTTATTTTAAACTCACTTCCGCAGGGTTGAAAAAACCAAAACAACCCCCTTCTTCTCCTGCAGTCAAAGGGGGGTTCAGAAATCTTAGATGTTGAATTTTAGTTCTCTCAGAATTTAATTTTCAAGCTTTAGTGTAATTTGTCTTTGCTTTCTTCACGTAACAAAAGAACGGAAGGCGACTTCCTGTTTAGACCTTTCCGTTCCGAGTCCCAATTAAATTCAATTTCAAGTTCAAGTCCAATGTTATTTATTTATTCACCAATCTTAAAAGTAGTTCAGCTCTTCCAGGATCAGGTACTCACGGATAGATGTTTTAGATGCCAAATTGTCCAGGAAAAAGGCAGCGCTCTCCGAAATCGGCAGTGCGGCTTTGCTGCACGGAGGAAGCCTTCGACTCACAGCACCACGCACCTCCCACTCCGGAGCCCGGTACCGGGCTCCTGTACACGGGGAGAGAGCGCTCTCGGTGCCCGCCGAGTCCCACGTCCACAGGCTTCTTCCGCCTGTGGTTTTTAAGGGTCCCCGCTGCGCCGTAGCGGCAGGACCCAAGCCTCCGTGCAGCGGGTTCCCTTCAGTTCAAAGGGAATTCCGCCATTTTCCGGAGGCGCCACCCCGGAAGTGACAAGTGCCTTGTTGGAACAGATGCATGAGAAGATGGATTTGATGAATGAGAAAATGGATTTGATGACTGTTGTGGTTAATAACTGTGGACAAACAGGGAATATTGATACAGAAACCATTCAGGGACCAACTCAGGAACCTGTACTGACTGGGCAAGTGCAGAAGACAATGGAGGAGGTTGCGGTTGCACCCCAAATAATACAAATGGAGAGACCCGAGGCCCTACAGGAGCATAAGCCGCTGTCTTTGAAGATTGAAGTTGGAGTGGGCCAGGGGGAGTCTGGAGCTGAGGAGGTTCTTAACTTTGGAGAGACCTTGAAATATGCTTTTAAATATTTTTTGGATTACATTGATGACTGTGGGGAGTGGGACTGTGGGGAATGGGCTGGTTTGATGAAGGGAGACGGAGATAATTTTGGGTTGGAATCCCCCAGAGACCTACTCCTCAATGAGAAAGGAAAGAAATTAAGAAAGAGACCAACAAAAGACAAGGAAAAGGGCAAGTATAAACAAGAAGAAGAAGATCTACAGAAGGGACATGGAAGAGACTTAAGGGCCTCGGACATAAGATTACCAGGTTGATGGACTAGATGGAATGGACAGTAAGGACTGACACGACCCGAGACCAGGAAGAAGAGACGTTGGATGAAGATTGGAAGAAAATTTATAAAGAATTTTTTTCCCCTAGGGAATTAGCCTAAAATTAATGAATATTAGGGGAAATGTTGGAATGAAACTATATGACTCTAGTAGAAATGATATCAGGAGTTATGTATAATCGAGTATTAAGCTTTAAGCTCTAAAGTATTTTACGGTAAGATAAAGTTAAATAAATTAAGGTAATTTGAATAACAGAATATGGGGAAAAGATGGAAAGGATTTGTTGAGTTAATTAATAGGTTAAATTGTTAAGATAAATTATTTAATAAAAATTGAGAAAGATGGAAAGAATTTGCTGAAATAACTAATCAAACTAGAATACAAAAAGGGAGGTGTGAGGAGGTCAATGAAACAAGCAAATAGAAGTCAAAGATATGTAATATGGGATTTGTGTCTTCTTTCTTTCTTTCTTTCTTTCTTTCTTTTTTTTATCTTTTTGCTGTATTGTTGCATTGGTTTTTATGTTTTGCTTTTTTTCTTCTTTTTTATGTATTGTAGTGTTGTTTTTAATTTTTTCCTTTTTCTTCTGTAATTCTGAAACTATTAATAAATATTATTTTTTAAAAAAGAGAAAATGGCACACAAGAGGTAATTTACAGAAGATTTATTGCATACAAGCAATTAGCCTCTGACTGCTCTCTCCGAGCGTCCATATATCAGTCAGTCAGTCAGTTTTATTGCACATAGCCAAAGGCTGCCGCAATGTACACAGAATTATTTGACAATTAAAAGAAAATATACTGAATTGGTAAAAAAAGACTTAAAACATTTATATTATTAAAACATTACATACTCTAAACAAAGCTATAAAAGTACCCCAATGTACAAATAAAAACATTAAACGATAAAATTCATAAGCTAAAATCATCACATGGTCACTAATGTTAAAAACAATATCAATTAATACAGTGTGCAATTTATACTCAGAGTTTGGTGACAAAGATAGAGCATAGCCTGAGGTAGATAGATAGGATCAAATAAATTCATCTCCTTTACAGTTAATGGCTACCTTGGCTATATACTTTGCTCTAATTTTCCTAGCAGCAGTTGCAAAAGTGCTACCCGCCAGGTCACATACTTATCTGTGTCTGCAAGGAGATATAACATCATATCAAGGGGGTTCTGGCCAGGGGACCCTGTCATTATAGGTACCAAAAATCTTTTTCTTGCATCATTATATAACGGACAGTGCAAGATATAATGCATAAGGTCCTCTACTTCAGAACATCCCCTAATGCAAACACGTTCGTTTTTTGGTATGCCTCTATGTCTCCCATCTCTATAAGCAGAGCTTATTGTATTTAGTCGTAGCTCTGTAAAAGCTTTTCGAAGCTGTGCAAAAGTCAATTCATTAAAATAAGATATGTGTTCATTGACCTCTCTAAGTTTAAAATACAATGGGGCGCATGTAGATGTGCACATAGAGTTTAGATCGTTTTTAGTTGCCACTGCCCTTATGGTTCGTTTAAAAATATTTTTCTGTGAATATAAGGGGAGTTCTTTAATCTCAGTCACTGAGAGGTCATATTTGCCCATCAGTTGGGCAGCATGATGTACCCAGTTTTTAAAGGGTAATCCATTTGAGAGCTCAATCAGGCATTTTTTTGGTAGCCTCGTGTTGTCCATCTGCTGAACTCTAAACCAGTAACAGAGAATTCTTTTATCTATTTGGCTCTCTATGCTCAACATGCGAGTTTCCAACCTGACCATGGCAGATTGCACGTCTTTGGGTAAACCTAAAAGAACTCTTAAAAAATAATTCTGTGGGGGTTCCAGACCGGAGACCTTTGAGGTACCCCAAACCTCTGCACCATATAAAATCTGGGCCATTGTTTTTGCTTTATACACAGATAGAGCTGGGTTGACCAGATTTCCACCTTTACATGCAGTGAATTTCAGAATGGCTTTTGCTGATTTAAAGGCTTGCAATTTAATATTGGATAGCTGTGTATTCCAAGATGCCGTTTCTGAATAAATCAATCCCAGATATTTGAACGTATTTACTTGGTTTATGATGTGTTCATCCAGGTGCCAAACATGCTTTTAGAACGCTTCCCAAATACAATGACCTGCGTCTTATCATAGTTTATAGATAAAGCATTCCTCATGCAATATGAACTTAATTTTGCAAGCAGCCGTCTCAGGCCCACCTGGGTTCTAGATACAAGTACTAGGTCATCAGCATACATTAAAACTGAGAGTTTTTGGTCGAGAATTGTGACAGGGGCAAACTGTAGGCCCTCCAGTTCTTTAACCATGTCATTAATATAAAAATTGAACAGGAAAGGTGCCAAAATGCATCCCTGTTTGACTCCAGTAGTGGTCTTAATTCTAGTGGTGAGATGGCCAGCCAGATCCACCTTTACTTGTATTGATGTGTCAGTATATAATGTTTCGATGAGAAATAATAGACGGAGGTCTATCTTTGTCTTTTCCAATTTATATATCATGATCAAGTTGAGTCTTCTGAAGAGTACTTCCGGCTCCTGCGGAATATCCTGAACTTATCCCCTTACATTTATTGGTTCTTCATCTGTCTTGGACCCTTTCCATTGGCCTAGTTCTAGGACTGACGGGTTCAGCTACCTCCTGTTCCGGTGAGGAAATTCTCCCCCTCCCTTGTGCCATGAGAGGCTGAGATTCCTCAAAGAGCTAGCTCTCATCCAGCCCGCCTTCACTCTGTTGATAAGGCGCATTCCTGCCAGCGTCAGAGAGGGGAGGCATTCGCCCACTGTCTCTAGTTGTCTGAGAAATCTGCCAGTCTCTTTGTTCTCCTTTTGCCTGCCTGCTTTCTAGCTCAGACTGCCCTTCCCAGTTTGGGGCTGTTGTGTCCATGACATATACCTATTGAGGTTTCTTAAGCTTGTTCTGTTAGTGCTAAAGCTTTTGTACCTGTCCATATGCACCAAAGGTGGGTGGGACAGAAATAGGGCAAGTGGGGAAGGACAATGGAGCCACAGGTGCTTGAGTCAGACACAGATGAAAGCACTGCTGCCATATGCATTGAAATGTGTCCCAGAGCACACCAAGCCTGCGAGGTTATCGTGGGAAGCAGAGAGAGAGAGAAAGCAAGCAAGGGCAGAGTGAGCAACACTGAGTGATTGGAGATGAAAGACGAGTGACAGAACGTGGGAAACACAGTGCCTGTGGCAAGAATGGAGGAGGAATGGAGTGGGTGAGAAAGAAGAAGGAGAAAGAAGAAGGTCGTGTGTGCTGGGAATGTCAGAAGGAATGTGTTTGGGTGAGTGATGGAGAGACTGAAGCAACCTTGGCTGGAGAACAATTAAAAAGACAAACAGCAGCTGTAAGGGAACTGAGGTAAATTAATATCAATATCAATATCACTATCACTATCAATAACAATAACAATATTTTTATTATTTATACGCCATCCATCTGGTCGTGTTTCTCCAGCCACTCTAGGTGGCTTACAGCACATTAAAAAATGGTAAAACATTAGACATTAAAAAATTCCTGATACAGGGTTGCCTTCAGAAGTCCTCTAAAAGTCAGGTAGTTGTTTATTTCCTTGACATCTGATGGGAGGGTGTTTCACAGGGCAGGCGCCACTACCGAGAAGGCCCTCTGCCTGGTTCTCTGTAACTTCACTTCTCGCAGTGAAGGGCCCCGAAGCTGGACCTCAGTGTCCAGGCTGAATGATGGGGTGGAGACGCTCCTTCAGGTATACTGGGCTGAGGCTGTTTAGGGCTTTAAAGTTCAGCACCAGCACTTTGAATTGTTCTCGGAAACATACCAGGAGCCATTGTAGGTCTTTCAGGACTGGTGTTATATGGTCTTGGTGGCCACTCCCAGTAACCAGTCTAGCTGCCGCATTCTGGATTAGTTGTAGCTTCCAGGTCACCTTCAAAGGTAGCCCCATGTAGAGCGCATTGCAGTAGTCTAAGCGGGAGATAACCAGAGCATGTACCACTCTGGCGAGACAGTCTGCAGGCAGGTAGGGTCTCAGCCTGCGTACCAGATAGAACTGGTAGACAGCTGCCCTGGACACAGAATTGACCTGCACCTCCATGGACAGCTGTGAGTCCAAAATGACTGCCAGACTGCACACCTGGTCCTTCAGGGGCACAGTTATGCCATTCAGGACCAGGGAGTCCTCCATACCTGCCTGACCCCTGTCTCCCCAAAAAAACAGTACTTCTGTCTTGTCAGGATTCAACCTCAATCTGTTAGCCACCATCCATCCTCCAACCGCCTCAAAGCACTCATAAAGGACCTTCACTGCCTTCACTGGTTCCAATTTAAAAGAGAGGTAGAGCTGAGTATCATCTGCATACTGATGAATACCCAGCCCAAACCCCCTGATGATCTCTCCCAGTGGCTTTTTAATGTTGGAAAGCATGGGGGAGAGGACGGAACCCCAAGGCACCCACACTCATCCCCTAACACCACTTTCTGAACACAGTCCAGGATAAAGGAGCGGAACCACTGTATGACAGTGCCCCCTGTTTCCAGCTCCTCTAGACCAGTGGTTCCCAACCTTTTTTTGACCATGCCCCACCTAAGCATCTCTAAAATCCTGATGCTCCCCCCGTTGACATATCATTCTTATTATTCAAAAAGTGAGCTCCTATTCACGTGGAGGAAGCCTAAAAGGCCATTAACGTGGTCTAAACAAGCTTCCAAAGAACATGACATCCATGAAAGAGAAAAATAAAAGAACGAAAGGACAGTTGAAGGACTCAGGAAGAAATCACTAAGAAATTGTTACAAAAATAATAATAATATGAAGTGATATGAAAAAATAGCAAAGAATGTTTCAAAACATAATAGAGAACTGAGATGCATAAATATAAATTATTTTTAATGGAAGCTTTTTCTGTAATACTTTGATCATTTTAATTACTATACAAGAAAATAAAGGTACCTAGCAAATTCAAAATACAATTTGAGCTCGTCTCAAGATAAGTAGACTTGTGCTTCATGCCTGCTGCAGAGAGATTTTATATTAGGCACCAATTTAGTCAGCTTCAGTCTCAAGTCTCCTCATTTAGTGATATCCAACTGATTTCTTTTCTTCAGTAGCAAATCATTTACAACTCTAAAGCCGCATTCAGCTAAATATGAAGATAGGAACAGTAACAACCGTTTTCTTGCAAAGTCGCTTGAATTTTGGTACAGTGGTACCTTGGGTTACATATGCTTCAAGTTACATATGCTTCAGGTTACATACGCTTCAGGTTACAGACTCCGCTAACCCAGAAATAGTACCTCAGGTTAAGAACTTTGCTTCAGGATGAGAACAGAAATCGCGCAGAGGCAGCGGGAGGCCCCATTAGCTAAAGTGGTGCTTCAGGTTAAGAACAGTTTCAGGTTAAGAACAGACCTCCAGAACGAATTAAGTTCTTAACTCAAGGTACCACTGTGTTTAGTTTCTGTCTCATCACAAAGCCATGCCATCACTCCTTTTATATTGAACAAATGACGTCGACCGTAATGTCAGAAAACCCACAAGTTGAAGTTTTGGACCTAGCTTCACTGCCTATGTCTCTTTACGACAAAAGAATACCAAACGTGCCATTGAATTGCTAACAAAAAGCCCTGGGAACACAGTTTTTAGTGAAGTTAAATGGTAGCATTAACTATCATGGAATTGTGATCGAAGTTTATTTCCTACTTACTATTTGTATTTAGAGTTCTATAGCAGTTATTATTATATTTGCCTCACATATAAAGCATGGGACCCACAAGAAAGTGTCCTACTTTCCCTCATTGATAAATTGCGAATTTCCTGAGGTATCTGAATTCCCACCGATCACCAGTGCTCAGAGCAGGTAGAGGTCCAAAACACTGCTCCGAAAAATGGCAACCGCTCCAACTTAGCAGCTATGGAGTGGTCACATTCAGGGGGAAGTTCCACAACTGTTGACTGAGAGCTCTTGAAGCGCTACTTCCCCCTGAATGCACCCAGTGTTTTTTATGTTTACATAACTGTATATGAAGCCTCTAGAACCATAAGAAATGCAAAAAGTCATTGTTAATAACTCATTCTCGAATTGTTCCCCTTAAAAATCAAATTCTCCCCTGTGGGGCCTGTGCCCCATGTTGGGAACCACGGTTCTAGATGGTTCAGAACGATGCCATGGTCGATGGTATCAAAGGCCACTGAGAGATCCAGCAGAACTAGGAAACAGCTTTCACCTTTGTACCTAGCCCACCGGAGATCATCAACCAGCAAGACCAAGGCACTTTCAGTCCATGATGAGGCCTGAACCCTGATTGGAAGGGATCCAAATGGTCTACATCCTCCAGGTGTGCCTGGAATTGTTCAGCAACCATCCGCTCAATCACTTTGCCCAAGAATGGAAGATTTGAGACACGGGGGTTGTTGGCCATATTGGCCAGGTCCAAAGATGGTTTTTTAAGAAGCGGATTAATAACTGCCTCTTTCAGTGGGTCTGGGAAGGCTCCCACACAGAGGGAAGCATTCACCACCCCACGGAGCCCATCGCCCAGCCCTTCCTGGCTCGCTTTTATGAGCCAGGATGGGCAAGAATCAAGGAGACAGGTGGTTGGTTTCACTCATCCAAGCAGCCTGTCCACATCTTCAGAGGTGACAGATTGGAAGTGATCCCATGCAACTTGACTAGAAAGGACTTTAGAACTCTAGGTACAATTGCATGCAGAAATGTGAACGTTAATGAGAAATTGGCACCAGAATGCTGATGAATATTCCTGAGGACTCTTTTTAAAACAAAATGAATGAACTTTATTACGGTCACAGACCAGGATAAAAAAACAAACAAACAGATAAATAAAATAGCAGTTAGGATTTTTTTAACTGATAAATGTTGGAGCAGATAAGGACAAAGAAACAAGCATAGGATAAAACATCTGAATAAAATACAAGATTAAACACAAGGACTCTTTTAAAAACAAAATGCAAACTAATATGGAAATGAGGAGAACTGAACAAGACTGGAAAAATGAGAAACCGAGAGCAACCAAAATTGACCTATCCAGCCATCCCTACTCTTGATAGATGCAATTTCCTCGTGTTTTTGTAGCTTGAGTGAATACTGGAAGTTCTGAACATGTTAGAACTGAAAGGCATTTTGTTACTTGATGAGGATATACATACATTGGCATTAAAACCTTCCTCCTCTTTCAGAAGTTCTAATCTTTTACTTTATCAAAATAAAACTGAGTGATCTCAGAACCTCCTTGATGACTCAAACGAATAGGCTGGTTTGGCTCGGTCAACGTGCTTAGGAACCAACCCGGGAATGCTGCAGATTCAAAGCTGCCAGTCTCTGTGCTGCTGCCACTTTTACAAAAGAAAGTGAAGTTCTTGTGTTCCTTGCCATCGTTGTAGAGCTGCATAATGCCTTTACCCTATTTTAGATAAAAAAGCATATAAAAGGTTTAGTAGAAAGAAAGCTTGTGCTCCATCACAAATGAATGCCATCCGTTGCCTGGGAGAAAGCGAGACTTGGGGCTAAATCCCAATGATTGTAACCAAAGCATATACAAATTCAAAGTTTACTGGGAGCCTCAAGTTTATATCTGGATTGTGTCATGAATACACCAAGCATTCAGCCATGAGATAAGCCTTTCATTCAAAGGATGGGAGGACCTGTGGCCCTCTAGACGTTGGTGGACTACAATTCCTATCATCTCTGACCATTGGCTGTTCTGGATGGGGCCGATGGGAGTTAAAGTCCAACAAGTTCTGACCCACCACTGGTTCTTCAGCTTCAATTCCTGTCTGCCTTTCATAAGTTTGAATCTTTGTTTATATACCAAAACAGGAAGGTTTCACTACTGAATTTGAAAAAACAAAACAGGAAATAGAACCAGAAGCTGAATAATTAAGGAGAAATTCATAACTAATGGAGAACGAGTGCAGAACTTACAATCAGGAAGTGTTTGCTTTCACTAAAAGGACAGTAGCAGCCCTAAAAAAAACTCAGTAGATCTTTGCCTCACCCAGTAGACAGGCTAGGAAGACAAAGGAGAGGGAAGAAGCATAGAAGGACAACAGAGAGAAGAATGGAATGCAGTGATTAAGGGAAAAAAGAATGAGCAAACAGCAGAGAATATCTAAAGTCTTTGTCATGGTGGATGCATCTAAACAAGCAGAAGAAATTTGAAACAATCGAATGTGGCTTTGAACCAGAAGTGAAACCCACCTCCAAGGTCAGCTGAGGTTGACCACCAGGTTCACCACAGGAGAGGCTTTGTGCTCCATCTTGGGTGCCCAAAAAGACGGCAAATGTGTTTCCATCTTTTGGGGTTATCCCTCTGTTGGGGGTCATAGCCACCAAGTAATCTGGAACCAAAAAACAGGCAAAGATCAGTGTGATAAGAGTGGGGTGTGACCATGGAAAAGTTATGGAGCACCATTTCTGACCCTACTTGAAGACAGTGCTGCTTTATCAAACACTTCCTGACACCTGGTTACCCAGTCCCAGAATTTGCACAAGTGTTCAATCGGTAACAGTGTAGGTCTCAGCTGTGAGATGTGAAGGGATCATAACCATTGTTACCGGGTGAGTTGCCATCTTTGGGGGCTGCTACCAGCATGTTGTTCTTCAGGAACAGGAACTTCTGGTTGATATCCCAAATCCTGTAGAGCCATGGGCTCCCTAACTGAAGGGAAGGATCTGTGATGAAAAGAAGTAACACAAATTTATCAACACACAAGAAAAAATGGAATATTCTAAAGAAGGAACAAGCAACTTTTCAGACATATCTTTTTTCTTCTGTGTTGGAGCTGCAATTCTTTTCTCCCCCTTTTGCACAAAGTGGTGATAGCCATGGTTGGCACAACACATTTTCCATGGTGGCAACATTGTGGAGTTTCTGATGTGAGTCTACGACTTCCTCTATCCTTAAGATATTGCGCAGCAAGTCATTAAAGGTGTTCGTAGTGTATCTTTTTTCATTTGGTATTAAGAATACAGGTTTATATATTGCCAAAGAGACAGCCTAGTTGTCTGGCTGTTTCCAGCTTTAATCCAATGGGATCCAACCTGGCTGAAACCCAAGGACTCTAGTTTGACTGGTTTCTCCAGGTGAAATCCATCGACTCCCTCTACTGATGTGTGTATCAGTTTCCTTTTGACTAAAGGCCCCTGCTTTTTAGAGGAGTTTTGATTCTGACCATGTTCTTGCCCTCCTGAACCATGGGAGAAAGAGATCAGCAGAATAACCTAGGGCACAGAGCACGCATGCATGTACGACTGAATGAATGAATGAATGAATGAGGTTAGCTAATGAAGCAGGATATCTATTTGGTTATCTGCAAGTATATTTGCACACAATATCGTCCATGAAATATGTAATTTAAAAAAACAGTCGTGATTGTTTACGACCCTCCTCCCCCTCCCAATTCTATAACCCAATAATTCAGGATAATACTTCATGCCTCTGGTGAAATGGGCTGTAGTTCATGAAAGCTTATATTGTTAGGAAAATAGTCCAACAGGTATCACTTGTTCTTTGCTGAAACAGACTAACACGGCTAGATTTTTTAGGAACAAGTCCTCCTTGCTTTTATGTTAAACCACCAACATGGAAAATATCCCCATGGGGAATGTCATTTCACTCAGCAGGTGTACATGCTTACGGCGACGTAGCATGGTTTGCTGGTTTCCGGGGCAGGTGGGAGCCAGGTGGAGGCACGCGCACTAGGGCGTGGGATGCGGAAGATGAAGGGAGCCTGCTACAGAAAGCCAGCCCTTGCTGTTGATGCCACACTGCAATGCCTGCCTGCCCACGCAGGGTGGAAGCCAGCTAGCAAATTGTGGCCCTTGGCAGGTGAATCCCCCTGATGCCCTTGGAGAGGAGTGCCAGGCTTTGCTCGGTTGCCCCTTGTCTGCTTCCCTCCATCCGTGCCCACTCACCATTGGGAGAGCATAGTGAGCGAGGAGTAAGTGAGCACTAGGCGTTGGTCAGGCAGCCATTCAGAAAGGAGGATGGCCATTTAGGGAGGGGCCTGGAATGTAGCGGCAATGCCAGGTCAGACTCTGGGGCCCAGATAGCCCTGCAGCAGGCAGGGAAGGATGAGGAGCTGAGGGCAGGGCACACCAGGACGGGGCTGGACAGGAATCCCCGCAGAAGCCAGCACCTGCATAGGGGTGCTTGGTTTGTGCCCCCTCAAAATTGTGCCCCCAGGAGACACGGCCTCCATGTCCCCCCAGTATGTTATGCCTCTGTGAGCCTATATGGATAATGGAAATTCTAATTTAATTTAAGGCTCATTGCAGGTTTTCAGAACTTGTCTTGGGCAGGAAATATAAAAGCAAAGCATTGATTTCACCTGGCTTAGGAAAGTGATGGAATAAATCTCTCATTTTCTGGTCCACAGTCATCTTGTGGGGCTTCTCCCTTAAAGTCTCTGTGTCTACTTTCTCCATTGCTTCCCAAGGATTGGTTGAGATTCAGGCTACAAGCTCACTCTTCTGCAGTTGTAGCTACTAAAAGAGAGGGATGTAAAATGTTAGAGGAGAGGCTGCAAAAATCCAAAGTTCCATTGATTGCCCTTCTGCACAATATCCCCGGATCAACATAGATACATATATATATATATAACTTTATTTGTAAGCCACCTTTACATAGTTCATACCATGCTCAAGGCGGCTAACAACATTTAAAAACTACATAATTACAACATAACAACCAAACCAAACAAGTTCGACATAAATCATAGTAAGATCTAAAATCAAATATCAGTATCAATCAAAAAATCAGTATCAAAAATAGCAACAACCCATTGCCTAAACAATACCCCAGGAAAAGGTCACTCAGCAGCCTCAGCTTTTGTAGTTGGAGTCCGTCCTGGCCCCACCCTCCCAGGCCAGGTGGAACAGGCTTGCAAGGCAGGAAGGAAGTCTTCCAGGACTCACAGCCAATACAAATTAGGCATGGTGAAGCAAGGCTAATTACGCAACCAATGTCCAGGAGTAAGGATACAGCAACAGAGAATCAGACGTTATGCCACTGGTATGAATTGATGCAATATAGCAGATCACTAAATCAGATCTTCCACCTTCTTGAAATTTAAAACAGATACACAGGCTTCCAGAGTCTATCAGGATAGAGGCCCTGGAGGTGAATTTTTAATCATTTCCCTTGTGCTGAATCAAGCTTAACCCTCATTCTCCAAACATTTGTATTACTCTCTTTAACGGGAGAAGGAATGAAGGACAGATCTGCTGGGCTGGGCTGGGCTGGGCTAGGGTGGCGATATATTTCTTTCAAAAACATATATCCTGCACAAAAGAACATTACAAAAGAAAGAAATGTCTTTGTATTACAAGAGGTTCTCAAAATAGCTTACAATAAATTAATTTTTAAAATAGCAATGCCACTTACAGCCAAAGTAAAATGAGAATAAAGTAAACAGCAGTCCAGAATGTTTAGAAAGGAAAAACAAAAAGGACATCTGAATTAGTATTGTTAATTACAATTAATTGACATTAAAATCAAGGAAATATGTCTCCCTCAGCTTCACTGCCCCCCACCCACCAAAAGACTATAATGATAGGTGGGGGAAATGGGTCTGAGGAAAGGCAAAACAGAGATTTCCTGCCTCTGAGATAATTTGGCATTTGAAGCAGACAATTTAGCATAGTCTTCCCTAATCTGAGGCCCTCCACATGTTGTGGACCACAGCTCCCATCAGTCTCAACCAGGGTACCCAATGATCATGGATGATGGAAGCTGTAATACAACAATATCTGGAAGGTAACTAGTTGGGAAAGGCTATGATCTCAACTTGTTGCCTTCCAGATATTGCTGGATATCTGGATAGAAGGTTCAGAGAAATAATTGAGGAGATGCTACCTGTCCTGGTGTGAGGAAGTCCTGTGCCTTGCTATGAATTGTCTTCTGAGATTTACACAGCATCTTATAGCTTAGTCAGACCAGTGGGTGTGGTTTATATGCTCTGTGACACCTTATATGGCACAAACACTAATCCAAGTCTTGCAGCAGCAGCCAGCTGTTCTGAGAAGCTACAAATCCTGTGGTAGTTCAAAAGCTGAGCGCTCCTCCCAACATCCTTTTGATTCTGCATTGGTGATCATTTATGCTCATGATGGTACTGAGGTGGTCATATGCAACCCCAGTTTCAATACTCTTTGAGACTAGCGATAGAGGAGAAATTTGATTCAGTGTTCATATAAACCTGAATCTTATCAAATTTGCACATTCCAAACAATATGTGAACTGAAACAAAGCTATCTTAAATTTGCGGTTCTGCAGATTTCGCAATGCAGTTCTCCATCCAATCAATTAATGTTTGTGGAATTGCATATATTATAGGAAAGTGTGCAGTATAATGGACACATTAGTAAAAATCTACAGAAATGCATTATATCGGGGGAAATTGATCACAAAAATGTGTACACTAGTCATAACTGCATAGAAAATGTTTTTAGTGGGAGAAATTTGCAGTAAAATACTAGTGAATCTTCATGAGGAATTTTTTAAAAATGCAAATTGCTGCAAAATGTAGAGAACTGAATTTCTGCTCACACTCCTCTTTTGCAGTGCCCTCCTTCCTTATGCAGTGTGGACTTTTGGCCAGTTGCCTGCTGGGGTGTGTGTGTGTGTGTGAGAGAGAGAGAGAGAGAGAAAATGAATATTTGGAAGAGTCTCTGATTGGCCTTGGGGAGCCTTTTTCCATCCTGCTGAAGCAGGTGGATGCGACTATCTTTTAAGAATAGGTGTGGGGAACCTGTGGCCCTCTAGATGTTGAACACAACTCCCATCATCCTGATGCAGGGACAGACCTTCAAAATTTAACCCTCTTCTAGCCCAAAGCCGGGTAAGGGAGGCACCTGGCTTTGGGGAGGATGCGTGAGACCTAGATCCATCCTACCTCCTTCCCAAAGTTGGGCAAGTTCTAATGAGGCTTTAGGATGAAGGTAGGAGGACAACAAGGGACGTGGGTGGTGCTGTGGGTTAAACCACAGAGCCTAAGACTTGCTGATCAGAAGGTTGGCGGTTTGAATCCCTGCAACGGGGTGAGCTCCCAGCTCCTGCCAACCTAGCAGTTTGAAAGCACAAAGTGCAAGTAGATAAATAGGCCCTGCTCCGTCAGGAAGGTAAATGGCGTTTCTATGCACTGCTCTGGTTCGTTAGAACTGGCTTAGTCATGCTGGCCACATGACCTAGAAGCTGTCTGCGAACAAACGCTGGCTCCCTTGGCGAGATGAGCGCCACAACCCCAGAGTTGTCTGCAACTGGACTTAACTGTCAGGGGTCCCTTTACCTAGGAGGACAATAGGATCCTGTCAAAGCCCTCATGCGTACTTCCAAAATCCCAGAACTTACTAGGCTTTGGGAAGGAGGAGGGGAGGCACCCCCTTGACCTCTGCGCGCTGTGTGAGGGAACCTGTCACGCTGCATTAAATCTGACTGAAGCACTCGCCATACTGTCTGGGGCTGAGGGGAGTTAGAGCATTACAACTTCTGGAGGGCCACAGGTCACCCCCCTCTGTCTTAAAACATGAAATATATGGCAGTGGAGGCCCTTAGTCAAGCACCACGCCTTTTAAAAGTATGGTGTACTGTGTTAGCACCACTTAGGAATGAGTTAGGTGTGGCTGTTCACACACAGTTAATTTTCCTTCACTTGCTGCAGTCCAGCAAAGATATCCCATAGGTGAAAACAGTTTTGTGTGTGCTCATTTTTGTACTATCTGTACATAGGTCTATTGCGCAAGCTAAATAAATCCAGCAGCCAAGCACCTCATCACCCATGGGAAAATCCATCCCTTGTCCTCCCTTGGTGGCACTAATTAGTTGTGGACATATTTATGCAGCCCATACTTTTCTAGATCCAATCCACACCCAGTTCAAATGGTAAGCCTTGCCAGAAACACTACATATTCAAAAGTGCAAGTCTCTTGGGTTTCCTTTGGTCTTACTGTAGAAAGTGAAGCTATTTCATTTTTTTAAATCAAACACACTCATGTAAGAAAACATAAATGCTAAATTGGAAAGGAAAGCTTGATCAATCTATTTTTTTAAAGGGCGATTGTACCAATGGCTGTTGGATTAGCAGTGAATTGTCCTGAGGAAGTTTCTGTTCCCTCCAAGGGGGCTCTAATTATTGGCTTCTGTTATTCTTTTCTCACTTTTACAGCAAATGACACAATTTCCCCACAAAATGAAAAAGAAAGCAAAAATAATGGAAGCCACTAATTAAAGGCCATTCTGTTCCTTTGAAAAGCCAGCTAACTATGGGACAATTCATAACTTATCCCCCATCAGGGACAAACACATAAAACAGGTAAAACCTGAAAACACAGAAAGTTTTTAATTAAAGGCACAATAGATCTTAAAAATCTAAATGGGACCTCTATATTAAAGGTATTATGTCACTGAGTGCCATTTATTTGGAATCAAAATTGGGGGAGGGTCATTGTCCTGCTTCTAGGATTCCCTAGTGAATATGGTTGGCCACTTTAGGAGAGCTGGTCTGATTCAGCTGGGCTCTTCTTAAAGTTAAGGCAAAAGGAGGACATATATGTATCAGTTATGGTTTGAGATTAAGCGTGGAAGAAAGCTGAAGACTATAGTTTTGAAGTGATACCCCCCACCAAGACATTAGTGCAAACTGCTCATCTAACATGGTGAGGTTATGGGGGAATCTTCTGTCCAGCTATATTTTGTATGGAAGAGATACAGTATTTTAAAAAGAAATTTGTATCCTGTTTCAAACTTGTACTAATCAGCACTAGTACTAATTTCTGTTTCTTAAAATTAGTAAGCAAATTATATGAGTCTCAATTTAGCAATGATCAGAGATACGTCAGCTAATATTATTCATGTGCTGTGGAAATACAGGAAAGGTGGTGTTGGAATCAAATGAGTTTTAACAATGTGTACGGAGTTGTTGGTTATTATTTACATACCAAGTAGGGCTTCAGCTCATATTTCCATAAAGGTTATTGGGTGCAGTCAGCTCTAATTTCAGTTATGAGTGTGCAAGATCCACTTATGTAAACATGAGATTTGGAATGTCCAAATTGTGTTCATCTGTTATGTGGGGCACACAGCACTTGTAGGTTGATTTCCAGTCCTATGAATGCTGGGGGCTGATGTAGCAAAAGGGATGAGCAGTGTTTTTTCTGGGGATACTCCTGGGTACAAAGTACAGGCACCTCCCCCCCCCCAATGTCAAAAGTGTGTCATTTACTGTAACAAGTTCATGGTGAGTACCAGCACCATTTTTTATTTTTTATTTTAAAAAAAGCACTGGGGATGAGGCTTATTTGTGAGTCTTCCTAATTGGCCTTTTCAACAATCCAAATGAGAAAATCTGTTGCATATTCTGTATGTAACCGACAAACCTAGACAGCATCTTAAAAAGCAGAGACATCACCTTGCCAACAAAGGTCCGTATAGTTAAAGCTATGGCTTTCCCAGTAGTGATGTATGGAAGTGAGAGCTGGACCATAAAGAAGGCTGATTGCCAAAGAATTGATGATTTTGAATTATGGTGCTGGAGGAGACTCTTGAGAGTCCCATGGACTGCAAGAAGATCAAAGCTATCCATTCTGAAGGAAATCATCATCAATCTTTATTACGGTCCAGAGACCCAACAAAACATTACAAATTAATACAGAGTTCATACAGTCTACCTCCTGGTTAATCAAGCACTTTGTTTGGAATATAGGGCTCATTTGTTCTTGCAACCACCGATAAAAACTTTGCCACTGCCAACGTTCTAGCTTTTGTCCGGTCTTCCAGTAGGAACCTGACATAGTGAGCCTCTGACTTTCCTGGGAAAGGCACCAGCAAGGGTAGTATCAGTTCAGCCCTGGCCTGCTCATACTTCGCACAATGTATACTTCGCACATCTATGGAATCGATGTCTTGAGCACACGAGCAAAGTCTGTCCTGGTAGGGAACTCCTCTCAACCTACCATCCAGCACTGCAGAGGGGAAGACATTCAGTCTGGCTTTGGTGAAAAGCCTTCGATAGTTAGGTACTGTTAGGTTTTTGATGTAAGATGTTAACACAAAGACATACCCATATTGAACTCCTGCTGCCAGCGGACTACAGACTGTGTGTGACCGAGATCGCAAGTCACTGTGTGCATTGTCCCATAATCTTTGCTTTAAAACCTTTTGGGCGCCTTCATAGCCCAGGTAATACAGTTGGGGGGGAGACAGACCAATAGAGGTGGCTTTTTTAGCCATGGTTTTCTGCCATTTGCTGACAAATTCCTCATTGGTCAAATGTTGGCACAGACCCTTCCCTAGATTAAACACTGAAATCCTGAGCCAATGTTTTAGGGCAGCCCACCACGCTCTAGCTGAAATTGGGCATTCACCAGCTTCCAACAGAAGTACGGAGTTAGGGACGCAGTTAGGTACCTGCAGCAGAGATCGTATAAATTTTGCCTGAAAGCCATCTAGCTTTGGCAGGTCCCCGTTATGCCAGACATTTGCTGCATACAGGAGTTGGGAAACGGGCTTTGCGTTGAAAACCCTTAAGGCTGCTGGAACATATTTGCCGCCCTTTGTGAAGAAGAATCTATGTATGGCTAGCTTTGTAATCTCCGCCTTTTGAAGGGAGGTTTGCCAATGGTGCTTCCAAGATCCTGTATGATGGAATGTGAGCCCTAGGTATCTGAAGTATTTTACCTGTTCAAGGTTATGGCCATCCAGCGCCCATTTAGACTGGGAGAATCTTCTTTCGAAGACTAAAATTTTAGATTTTTCATAATTAATGGATAAACCATTTCCAGAACAGTAATCAGAAAATTTCCTCAACAGATAATTCAAGCCCGGTCTGGAACGCGAGATGATGGCTGTGTCATCAGCATACAACAACAAAGGGGTCCTTCTCATTCCTATTTTTGGAATGTGTCCATCTGGGTCCATTAAGTTCTCTTCTAGGTCATTTAAGAATAGACAAAACAATGTGGGGGCCAAAATACAACCCTGTCTCACCCCCCTAGTCATCTCGATGCTGTTCGATAGCTGTCCCTGTCGACCGCATCGGACCTGCAGTTTGGTTCCATTGTCAGGGCTTTTATAAGAAAGAGAAGTCGTTTGTCCTGCAAAATCAGACTCAATTTGGACCATAGCTGGGATCTGGGGATGGAGTCAAATGCTGATTTCAGATCCATAAAGGCCACGAAGAGTTTACCCTGTAGAGGTCTGATATACTTCTCAGCTAGGAAGGACAGCATTAGACAGTGGTCTGTTGTTGAATGGTTCTCACGAAAAGCTGCCTGGGCTTCAGATAGTATATTATGTTCATTTAGAAAAGTTGTCAGTTTGCTACTGAGGAAACGGGCATACAGTTTCCCAATTATTGAGAGCAGGCTAATAGGCCTATAATTGGAAGGTACATTTGGGTGGCCTCTCTTAAAGATTGGAACTGCTATAGCATGTTTCCAGCTATATGGTACCTTACCCGAGTTATTTACTACCGTAAAGAGTGCTGCCAGAAGCGGAGCCCACCAGTGCTGGTTTGATGTAATCAACTCAGCTGGGATAAAGTCTTTCTCCGGAGCCTTTCCACTCTTCAGATTCCCAATTAATGTATGGACTTCCTCCACAGTAACCGGCCTCCAATTAGGGAGCAGTGACAATTCTGCCCCGTCATCCTCCTGTAAACTGGAAGGGAGGTTTGGATTTTCCATAAATATATTTCTGAAGTGGTTCTCCCAAACCCGAGCTGCAATGACACAGCTGGGGGCTGAGGAACTATTTTTCATTGAGTCGGAGACCAGTTGCCAAAAGAGTTTAGTTTCATTGCTTAGTGAGGCATTCAATAGTAGGGACCAGGAATTTTGTTCGGACTGCCTTTTTTTTGAGGCCAAAAGGGCTTTATACTCTTTTTTAATTTTGAAATAAGATTGAGGTAAGTAGCTTAATCCAGCGTTTCTATAGGTCAAATAGGCGTTCCTTAAGGCTTCCTTCTTTGTGCAGCACTCTTGGTCAAACCAACCGTGCCCTTTAGCAGTGCGTGGCTTGCCGGCTGAGTTTATGTTAACCATTCTTAAGGAAATCAGCCCTGAGTGCTCACTGGAAGGACAGATCGTGAAGCTGAGGCTCCAATACTTTGGCCACCTCATGAGAAGAGAAGACTCCCTGGAAAAGACCCTGATGTTGGGAAAGATGGAGGGCACAAAGAGAAGGGGACGACAGAGGATGAGATGGTTGGACAGTGTTCTCGAAGCTACCAGCATGAGTTTGACCAAACTGCGTGAGGCAGTGGAAGACAGGAGTGCCTGGCGTGCTCTGGTCCATGGGGTCACGAAGAGTCAGACTCGACTAAACAACTAAACGACAACAATTAACCAAATCAAAAGATAGTCCAGGCAGGGTAGTTTCCTAAGGCAGGAGGAATCAACTCCCTCCACTCTTGGGAATGTTTACAGGCTCATCCTGTGGCCAGCAAATGATTGGAAGGAGTTATTCCTTCTTGGGTAAGTGAATTTGACAAGTGCCGCATGGCACAGATGATTTGGTGTTCTGCCTGGTGTGTATGCCAAGTCTAAAGGGCTCCCCAAGGGAGCCGCCAAACCTAAACTGGTGTTGGGTAACCTAAGGGTGCCCTAAACCCAATTGTGGCATTCATCTGTTTCGAGAAACAATGGAGTTTGTCTCTGGGGCTAAAGTCAGTGTTAGCAGCACAGAAGTGACCTCCCCAGGATGTGTATGGAGGTCCTGGGCTGCCCAGATGACAAGACACAGATGTGACCCAAAGGGAAACAGAGTAGTACATTTGGAACCAGCTTGGCTGCAGGAGTGGCCAGAAGGAGGCGTACAAGGCACCGTCAAACCTCCTTAGGCTTTTCCTCTCCCAAAAATATTTTGCAAGGGTGTGTACGTTTAGGATCAGTGTTTTCCTTCTCCTAGATGGGCTACCTTCCCAGACTGATGAGTGCCAACTGCCCCTTATTTCTCTTACAGCACATGCAGCACATAGACCCACTATTGGTCTCATCTGCCAGAGTCTGTCTTCACATGCACTCACTGTGGGTTTGAGGTCTATCAGTTACCCTCACCTGGTTTAACTGGCTAGGCGAAACTGTTCCCAGGCTGTGGTTGCTGTTGCATGCTGACAGCTTCTAGGAGTTACAGGTGACAGCTGAATGGAGTGGGCACCTAAGGTGGACAAACTACCGTAAAAAGGAGCACCATGGATCTACCACCGCTGGTACTGCCCCTCCCCATTACACCCCATAAACCCCTTAACCCATTAATACCTCAGGTATGCATCCTTTTCCCTTACATGCTCAGTCTAAAAGCCAGTAAAACCAACCAAAAATGCCACTCCAACACAAAACTCCCAACAGTATGAAGTAGGTGAAAAAAGGCTCCCTAAGGCCATTTTACTAATGTGTCCATTATTCTGACACTTTCCTGTAATATATGCAATTTCATAAACATGGTTTGATTGGATGGAGAACTGCATTGCGAAATCTGGAGAACCACAAACGTAGGATAGCTTTGTTTCAGTTCACATATTGTTTGGAATGTGCAAATCTAATAAGATTCAGGTTTATATGAACACTGAATCAAATTTCACCTCTATCCCTAGTCACAAACAGTATTGAAACTGGGGTTGCATGTGACCACCTCAGTACCATCATGAGCATAAATGATCACAAATGCAGAATAAAAACGATGTTGGGAGGAGCCCTCAGATTTTGAACTATCACAGCATTTGTAGCTTCCCGGAACAGCTGGCTGCTGCTGCAAGACTTGGATATGTGTTTGTGCCATATAAGGTGTCACAGAGCATATAAACCACACCCACTGGTCTGACTAAGCTATAAGATGCTGTGTAAATCTCAGAAGACAATTCATAGCAAGGCACAGGACTTCCTCACACCAGGACAGGTAGCATCTCCTCAATTATTTCTCTGAACCTTCTATCCAGATATCCAGCAATATCTGGAAGGCAGCTAGTTGAGATCATAGCCTTTCCCAGCTACTTGCCTTCCAGATATTGTTGTGTTACAGTTTCCATTATCCATGATCATTGGGTATCCTGGTTGAGACTGATGGGAGCTGTGGTCCACAACATGTGGAGGACCGCAGATTACGGAAGACTATGCTAAATTGTCTGCTTCAAATGCCAGATTATCTCAGAGGCAGGAAATCTCTGTTTTGCCTTTCCTCAGACCCATTTCCCCCATCTATCATTATAGTCATTTGGTGGGCAGTGAAGCTGAGGGAGACACATTTCCTTGATTTTAATGTCACTTAATTGTAATTAACAATACTAATTCAGGTGTACTTTTTGTTTCCCCTTTCTAAGCATTCTGGACTGCTGTTTGCCTTATTCTCATTTTACTTTGGCTGTAAGTGGCATTGCTATTTTTAAAAATGAATTTATTGTAAGCTATTTTGAGAACTTCTTGTAATACAAAGGCAGAGACATTTGTTTCTTTTGTAATGTTCTTTTGTGCAGGATATATGTTTTTAAAGAAATATATCGCCTCCCTAGTCCAGCCCAGCCCAGCAGATCTGTCCTTCATTGCTTCTCCCCTTAAAGAGGGTAATACAAATGTTTGGAGAATGAAAGTTAAGCTTGATTCAGCACAAGGGAAAGGATTAAAAATTCACCTCCAGAGCCTCTATCCTGATAGAAACTGGAAGCCTGTGTATCTGTTTTAAATTTCAAGAAGGTGGAAGATCTGATTTAGTGATCTGCTATATTGCATCAGTTCATACCAGTGGCATAATGTCTGATTCTCTGTTGCTGTATTCTTACTCCTGGACATTGGTTGCGTAATTAGTCCCGCCTCACCCTGGCTAATTTATATTGGCTGTGAGTCGTGGAAGACTTGCTTTCTGCCTTGCAGGCCTTTTTCACCTGGCCTGGGAGGTGGGGCCAGGACGGACTCCAACTACAAAAGCTGAGACTTGTCCTGGGGTATTGTTTAGGCAATGGGTTGTTGCTATTATTGACACTGAATTTTTGATTGATACTGATATTTGATTTTAGATCTTATTATGATTTATGTGGAACTTGTTCAGTTTGGTTGTTATTTTGTGATTATGTAGTTTTTAAATGTTGTTAGCCGCCTTGAGCATGGTTTGAACTATGTAAATGTGGCTTATGAATAAAATTACCTATGTACATTTGCATCTATGTTGATCCTGGGATATTGTGCAGAAGGGCAATCAACGGAACTTTGTATTTTTGCAGCCCCTAACATTTTACATCCCTCTCTTTTAATAGCTACAACTGCAGAAGAGTGAGCTTGTAGCCTGAATCTCAACCAATCCTTGGGAAGCAATGGAGAAAGTAGACACAGAGACTTTAAGGGAGAAGCCCCACAAGATGACTGCGGACCAGAAAATGAGAGATTTATTCCATCACTTTCCTAAGCCAGGTGAAAACAGTGCTTTGCTTTTATATTTCCTGCCCAAGACAAGTTCTGAAAACCTGCAATGAGCTTTAAATTAAATTAGAATTTCCATTCCATTCCATTCCATTCCAACTATAGCCCATTTCACCAGATGCATGAATTATTATCCTGAATTATTGGGTAATTTTGGGGCGTGGGATGGGGGTGGTAAACAATCAGGACTGTTTTTTTAAAGTACATATTTCATGGACGATATTGTGTGCAAATATACTTGCAGATAACCAAATAGATATCCTGCTTCATTAGCTAACCTCATTCATTCATTCATTCATTCGTATGTGCATACATCCATGCTCTGTGCCCTAGGTTATTTTGCTTATGCCTTTCTCCCATTGTACAGGAGGGCAAGAACATGGTCAGAATCAAAACTCCTCTAAAAAGCAGGGGCCTTTAGTCAAAAGGAAACTGATACACACACCAGCAGGGGGAGTCGATGGATTTCACCTGGAGAAACCAGTCAAACTAGTGTCCTTGGGTTTCAGCCAGGTTGGATCCCATTGGATTAAAGCTGAAAACAGCCAGACAACTAGGCTGTCTCTTTGGCAATATATAAACCTGTATTCTTAATACCAAATGAAAAAAGATACACTAGGAACACCTTTAATGACTTGCTGCGCAATATCTTAAGGATAGAGGAAGTCCTAGATTCACATCAGAAACTCCACAATGTTGCCACCATGGAAAATGTGTTGTGCCAACCATGGCTATTACCACTTCGTGCAAAAGGGGGAGAAAAGAATTGCAGCTCCAACACAGAAGAAAAAAGTTATGTCTGAAAAGTTGTTTGTTCCTTCTTTAGAATATTCCATTTTTTCTTGTGTGTTGATAAATTTGTGTTACTTCTTTTCATCACAGATCATTTAAGGCCCATAGAAAAGCCATGGCTCTTCAGGGTTTGGGATATCGACCAGAAGTTCCTGTTCCTGAAGAACAACATGCTGGTAGCAGCCCCCAAAGATGGCAACTCACCCGGTAACAATGGTTATGATCCCTTGACATCTCTCTGCTGCGACCTACACTGCTACTGATTGAACACTTGTGCAAATTCTGGGACTGGGTAACCAGGTGTCAGGAAGTGTCTGATACAGCAGCACTGTCTTCAAGTAGGGTCAGAAATGGTGCTCCATAACTTTTCCATGGTCACACCCCACTCTTATCACACTGATCTTTGCCTGTTTTTTGGTTCCAGATTACTTGGTGGCTATGACCCCCAACAGAGAGATGGATGAAAACAAATTCCCCATCTTTTTGGGCACCCAAGATGGAGCACAAAGCCTCTCCTGTGGTGAATCTGGGGGTCAACCTCAGCTGACCTTGGAGGTGGGTTTCACTTCTGGTTCAAAGCCACATTCGATTGTTTCAAATTTCTTCTGCTTGTTTAGATGCATCCACCATGACAAAGACTTTAGATATTCTCTGCTGTTTGCTCATTCTTTTTTTCCTTAATCACTGCATTCCATTCTTCTCTCTGTTATCCTTCTGTGCTTCTTCCCTCTCCTTTGTCTTCTTAGCCTGTCTACTGGGAGAGGCAAAGATCTACTGAGGTTTTTACGGGTTGCTTCTGTCCTTTTAGTGAAAGCAAACATTTCCTGATTGTAGGTTCTGCAGTAGGTTCTTCATTAGTTATGAATTTCTCCTTAATTATCCAGCTTCTGTTTCTATTTCTTGTTTTGTTTTTTAAATTCAGGAGTGAAACAATTCCTGTTTTGGTATATAAACAAAGATTCAAACTTATGAAAGGCAGACAGGAATTGAAGCTGAAGAACCAGTGGTGGGTCAGAACTTGTTGGACTTTAACTCCCATCAGCCCCATCCAGGACAGCCAATGGTCAGAGATGATAGGAATTGTAGTCCAACAACGTCTAGAGGGCCACAGGTCCTCCCATCCTTTGAATGAAAGGCTTATCTCATGGCTGAATGCTTGGTGTATTCATGACACAATCCAGATTTAAACTTGAGGCTTCCAGTAAACTTTGAATTTGTATATGCTTTGGTTACAATCATTGGGATTTAGCCCCAAGTCTCGCTTTCTCCCAGGCAACGGATGGCATTCATTTGTGATGCAGCAGAAGCTTTCTTTCTACTAAACCTTTTGTATGCTTTTTTTTATCTTAAATAGGGTAAAGCCATTTTGGATCTCTACAACGATGGCAAGGAACACAAGAACTTCACTTTTTTTTCTAAAAGTGGCAGCAGAATAGAGACTGGCAGCTTTGAATCTGCAGCATTCCCCGGTTGGTTCCTAAGCACGTTGACCGAGCCAAATCAGCCTATTCGTTTGAGTCATCAAGGAGGTTCTGAGATCACTCAGTTTTATTTTGAAAAAGTAAAAGGGGATTAGAACTTCTGGAAGAGGAAGGAGGTTTTAATGCCAATGTATGTATATCCTAATCAAGTAAAAAAATGCCTTTCAGTTCTAACATGTTCAGAACTTCCAGTATTCACTCAAGCTACAAAAACACAAGGAAATTGCAGCTATCATTTTTACGGAAAGATAAAAGGTTCACTCTGACCGCTGAACAGTCAGACTTGGCAAAGGAAGCAGACTTCTTTTGAAGCTAAAAGGTAAAGGACCCCTGACAGTTAAGTCCAGCTGTGAACAATTCTGGGGTTGTGGGGTCCCTCGCTTTACTGGCTGAGGGAGCCGATGTTTCTCCAGACAGTTTTTCTGGGTCATGTGGCCAGCATGACTAAGCCGCTTCTGGCGAAACCAGAGCAGCGCACGGAAACACTGTTTACCTTCCCGGTGGAGCGCTACCTTTTTATCTACTTGCACTTTTTTTGGTGTGCTTTCAAACTGCTAGGTTGGCAGGAGCTGGGACCGAGCAATGGGAGCTCACCTCATCGCGGGGATTTGAACCGCCGACCTTCTGATCGGCACATTGCAGCTGTGTTTCCAGGAAAGGCAAGGAGTTAAACATGTCCAAGAGAGACCCCTAGTGACTAAAAAATGTACAGAGCTGCTTATTGTATACAATTGAATTTAAAGGTGCTTTATAGATAATGATTTTAAAGGCAATCAAAATCCATAAAAGACTGTCTGTCCTTAGATAGTACTATTTATGCGGGGACCTAAAAAGGCACCCTAAAAGCTGAGTAGAGAGAGTTTGTCTGAACAGAAGACAGCTAAGAATTCTTAATACTGTGATAATAGGGAAACTCTGAAAACTGCTTTAGAAAGGACAAGACAACTGGATTTATGAACTTGAAGATAAGAGACAGACAGTTACCTTGGGGACAGGTTACCCTGCACGTCTCAAAATAGCCCAGAGCAGAGACACTTTTGAGCAATAGAGAATAATGCTTTGAAAAATGTAAGTTTGTAAGATTGCTCTTAAGGGACCAAAGACAGAATATACCTCAAAAGCTAAAACTAGGGTATGCTAATAGGGACACCCCAACACTGAAAGTAACACCAGAAAGTAAGTCTCCCAGGCTAAATACTTGTAAAGAGTGAACTGTGAGTGAACTAAGCCAACCTGACCTGACCTGACCAGCTGAACTGCTGTAGGAAGCTAGGAAGCTGGGAAGCTGGCTAGCTCAAGGGAAGCACCCTTATCTAAGGGGCATGCTTTGAGGATCAAGGTCTCCGGTATTGTACGATTGCCAAATGTATACATCAGACAGGTTCCTTGACTCGCTGCAAATCCTATGCTATAAATTATGCCAGAATCTTAGCTTGAAAATGTTCCTATGTCATATACAGCTTGTCTTTGACCAATTGGGGTTTTCCACATCTTCTCTGTGAGGGAGCAGAGAGAGAGAGTGACTACAGACTTTAAAAACCCATGTATAATTCTCGATCGGTGTGCTGCTGGTTGGCATCCCATGCTACAGCACGCACCCATCTGCGCAAATGAACTAATAAAGCCTTCCTAATTTACCAATATTGTCCAAGATAATTTTATTTTTAAGACTCTCAAAGCATTAAGTCTTGGGGGCCATTATTTCATTTCTAACAACAACCAACTTATACAACCAGCATTGCAGAAGGCACTGTCTCCACCTCTCTCTCTTAAAGACTAAAAAAAATAGTTATATGGATTCACCTTTTGAATACAAGAGGTAAAATCCACCTGGGCATTCTCAAGAGGGCCTGAGAGATGCTAAAGAAGGTGAGAGAGGAGACTCTTGCCTGTAAAAGCTTTGTTGCTTTACTTCACTTTTCCAAGTGTCAGCTTCTGGGAACAATAGGATGCCACAAGCCTTACTCAAGCATCCTGATACACAAAGTTTCCTTGAGCATGCAAATCACACCCACCAGTGCCATTAAGCAGCTATGAAATGTTGTGTAAAGCCCAGGAGAGACTTCAGAGAGGGATCTTTCACACTAAGGCACAGTACTTTCTCACATCAGCGCCTTCAATTATTGCTCTGGACTTTCTACCCGTGTGTTAGAACAGGGGCAGACTTTGGTAATATGTCGCCCTGAGCAAAGCTATAATTTGGCACCTCCCCTTAAATATTTCTTATTTTCACAAAACTTCCTTTTGGTGCAGTTGCTTTTTATGAATCTTCTAAGTAGGTACCTGCATAAATATAGCCTTCCTTCAGTCCTTCCACACCCACACTGCCCTAAATCTGGCACTGCTTAGAATATTAGCTTTCCCCGAACCTTCTGCTTTCTGGACAGCTTTCTATACCATCTACTGAGCTGTGTAAGCATGATGGTCTGTGGGTGTGATATGGACTAGATCCCATGGAAGGCAACACCCAAGCAGGATTTCCATGTAATCAAAACAAAAACTACATGCATTTATGGTGATTGGAGTCCATCTGGTATTTAAATGGTGCAAGGGGAATAAAAATACTTCTAAAACTAGCAACAAGCATTAAGAATAAACTGCAGGAGATTTCTTAGGCAAAGGTCTTTCTACATACAGTAAATGGTTCTGGTAAATCTTGATTTCAAGCTATATGCTGCACTAGCTTCAGTGAGAAAGCAATCAAACCTCCCTTGCATCTGCCTGCTTGAATTTTGCAGACCCTTCGCCTGGTTTTGACAACTTATTCTACCAGAGCGGGGCCCATAGTTCATTGGGGGTGAAGTTGGAGGTGCAGCTGCACAGAAATTTTCAAACTCATATAGATGTAGGGAAAGTGGCTTCTTTAGTCTAAGGGCTCCCCTAGATGATCTGTTCATTTAGTACTCTTTGATTTGCTTGTACAGAGGTTATACAATGTCCGCTCTTCATTGAACATTTGTTCTGATTTGCTTGTAGGGTGGTTATATAACAGTGCACGTCCTTATTTGTTTGCACAAAGGTTACTGTATGTGATGGACTCTAGTCACCATCATCCCTGGCTGGCTTGGGCTGACAGTAGTTAGAGCCCACCAACATCTGGAGCTCTGGGAGGAAAACCTTTCATTGCCTACAGAAAGCCACCCAATCTTAAACAGCTCCTCACACACAATAATACAACAACCAGAATTAACATGGACACTGGCACAAGAGCCTGCAATAAATCTAGATGCCAACTTTGTTGCCATGTACACCCAGACAGCATCATTATTGGCCCCAATAACATCAAACATACTGTAATGGCTATCGGGTGGTTGCTCGAGAGCAATCAGGCAAGATGCCTCACTGGTCTGTTCTAAAGCTTTATTATTGGTGCTAAAAAACCTTTACAATGTGGAGTGCCTCTATTCCATGTCTTGCTCATTCACTAGCAGAATCTGAGAGTGGGCGGTCCTTAAATCATCCCCAGTAGAGTAGTCTCTTGACCCCCAGCCTACGCCTCCCCTCTCTGCGTGAAAGCCTACTGCGCAAGGAAGGCTTGGGTAAAGGGGGACCTCTCTCCTCCCCGCTTTGCTCAGGCAAGGTGTCCTGGCACCGCCTTGCCTCCTCTGAGCCCTACATCTCCTCCCCACTAGAGGCGTGACTTCCTTCCTCCGCTGAGGAAGTGCTGCTTCCCACGATCTTTGGGGGCTCTCTGTAATCCATCCGCCTTCCCCCTGCCCCGCTCCTGAGCCGATGGCAGTTCCCGGACACATACCATCTCAGGCCTATTTAATTGTTCATCTTCCAACATTATATATGCTATCAAATGCCAACAGTGCCCTTCAGCTCTTTATATTGGACAAAAAGGAAAACTTTACACCAAAGGATAAATGGGCATAAATCTGACATCAGGAATCATAAAGCAGGGAAACCAATAGGAGAGCCCTTCAATCTCCCAGTCCATTCTGTGCAGGATCTTAGAGTGGCTGTCTTATTGCAAAAGAATTTTAGAAATACACTTGAAAGAGAAGTTGCTGAATTACAACTCATTACCAAACTAAAAACTATGGAGAGACCTGGTCTGAATAGAGATATTGGATTCATGTCTCATTATACATACTAAAGCTAATTTTGGTCCTCTATCGCTTTAAAAATCCCTTGCCCTTCCTTGTGGAACCAACTGCGATAACAGTCATCAACAGTTATAAGGTTGAAGTGACCTCCGCTTCAGAGTATCTGACAGAAGTGTGTATTACACACGAAAGCTCATATCTTGAAAGCTTATATTTAGTTGATCTGGAATCTTTCATCTTTGTTTCATCTTTCACCTTGTTATTTATTATGACTATGACAGATCAACAAGGCTATCCACCTGAATCAACATCTGGAGTGTCATGGGTTCCTCACCCCTGGACTGCAATATTAGTATTATACAAATTTATAGAGCATAAAGCCATGTACAAGAGAAAAGCAGAATAAAACACGGAATTATGGAAGTGCTGTTCCTCCTTTATTCCACAAAGTGGAGATATTGATCCAAATTCTGTTCAGGAGCTTAGCAGTGTCGTGTGGGAAATATTCTGGCAGTTAGTATCCTACCACCAAATAAATCTCCCTCCACATATCTGAGTTAGCCAATTCACACCAGTTAGCCCTAGTTCACACCAGTTAGCCAGTGTTGTTGTTGATGATGGTGGTGGTGGAAATAATGGAGGAGGAGGAATCAAACTTTAGAAGCACATTGGATGGAGGCAAAACTCAGGATCCTATTTCCTCAGCAAGCGTTCCAAATCGCTTTGTCTATATCACAAAATAGGCTCTTGCACCACCCTTTCATGATTTTTCAGACCTCATAGGTTGGTAGTCTTTTTGCAAGAGGACATCATTGCAGTGGAAGCCTGCCCAGTCTGGAGAGGTAAAGCACTATGCAGACCTTTAAGGGCTACTGTCCTTTTAATTGAAAGCTTTGTGAGTTTGCTTTTACTGGTTTCAGTTATTTTTTGTCTTGTCTTTTCTTTGCTGTAAAACTGAGAAAAGAAAAAGAATAAAGTAAACAGGTAATTAAAGTTCCCGGGGGTGGAGATATGCTCATCCAACAGCCACACTGTCTTATTGATACAACAAGCCTTTCATTTTTTATTAAGCATTCATAATTTCTTAGGAAACATGCATTACAGAGCTTTATTTAAAAAACAAACAAACAAACAAAACAAAACTGAAAGAGGTTCATTATTTACAGTAGATCTGGAGAGAGCTAAGGGCCTTTCTCTTTTAAATCCATGATGTTTCTGGGTTGGTTCATGAGCGCCCTTTTTGAGCCAAACAAGCCGCTTGCTCAGAGTCAGCAAAGAGCTGCTGAGATCACTTTGTTTTATTTTGAAACCTGCAGCCATTTCTAATAGATCAGATCCACTGGTGTTAGGGGAAAAAATCAGAATGTTGCTGCTATCCATGCTTGGCATCTGTCTGTCTTGGGAGACAATGGGTCAGTGTACCTTAGGGGGTGAGGACAAACTGTTGGAGAATTACAGTGCCTGCTGGTGCTGTGGAGACCAATGCAAGAGAGACATGTTTTGTTTCAGCTAGGGCAGATGAAGGCATCCAGTTGTACTGCTGCGGATGCACCATGCTGTTTTTTCTGTCTGCCTACTCACAGTGGTCATTTCTTCTCTGGTCACTGCTATGGATACACAACTTGACTGTCTGTCTCCAGGCACTGGAGTTGTCTGCAATGGATTCCCACAATGCAGCGTTGACGTTGTCAGCCTTCATGTCACATTTGCAGTCATCTTCATAATGCAGAGTTGGTCTGCCAATTGACCACCGGGCTTGGATTAAAAACTCTCCCAGGAAGCTCTCTAAAACCCTGCAAGTAAACTTGTTAGGTTACTCACATGTGATGATTCTGAACACCATAATCAAGGTTCAAAAATCCTTAGGTGGTATAAGGTGAAGCCTCAGACAATGGTTGCAGGCTTTAAAAAAAGAAATAGCTGGATGGGATGGTACCTTAGACTGTTAATGCATGACGTTACAGCTCTATGCAGCTTAGAGAACCTTCCCCTAATTTCTCTAGTGTGAAGGTTTTCCAAAGTTAGTGGTGAAAGAGAAGCACTCTGGACTTGCTTAAAGGCAGCTTCATCTATTCTTAATATGCATTAATAATACAAATATAGTTAAAGCTATGGTCTTCCCAGTAGTGATGTATGGAAGTGAGAGCTGAACCATAAAGAAGGCTGATCACCGAAGAATTGATGCTTTTGAATTATGGTGCTGGAGGAGACTCTTAAGAGTCCCATGGACTACAAGAAGAACAAACCTATCAATTCTGAAGGAAATCAGTCCTGAGTGCTCACTGGAAGGACAGATCCTGAAGCTGAGGCTCCAATACTTTGGTCACCTCATGAGAAGAGAAGACTCCCTGGAAAAGACCCTGATGTTGGGAAAGATGGAGGGCACAAGGAGAAGGGGACGACAGAGGACGAGATGGTTGGATAGTGTTCTTGTAGGTACGAATATGCGTTTGACCAAACTGCGGGAGGCGGTGGAAGACAGGAGTGCCTGGCGTGCTCTGGTCCAGGGGGTCACAAAGAGTCGGACACGACTAAACGACTAAAAAACAACAACAACAAAATACAAATACAGAGGTGCCAGGTTGGAGCCTTGGTGAATCCAGATGAAAGTAAAAACTTGCTTCTGTCCCTTCTCCTGGAGTATTGCCAAAATACTCTGTTTCCATTTCAACCACGAAGGCAAAGATAAAATCACTCTCACACAGCCAAGGCACAAGAGCTGGAAAGTTACCAGCTACTGAGTGAGGAAATGGGAAATACATTTTGCAATTTCACGATAGTGTGAGCCCCCAGTCATTTTATTATTTGGTGTTGGCGGGTTTTAGTGTTGATAACCACAAATATGTAGGGTCAAAATCTACGGTGTTGGCCAGAAATCTTTATTAGGTCCCAAATGTAACAAAATAGTGTGAAGGTCCTCCACCCATGTTACAAAAAGCAGGGGCGGATGAGGAAACAACAATGGAAGCTACAGATATTAGGCAGATATTATAGGGATGAACCGGTGTTTAGAGTTAATCCCAGAATGGAGGCGCTATACTGAATTAGTTTCTGCTAATTAGGTCTCTGGTTACCCTAAGGATTTGGCAATAAATGACTGTTCCTCATTTATTAAAACCCCACCTCCAGAAAATATAGAATGTAAGAAGAGGCCACTGGATGAAGCTAGTAGGTGATCTAGCCAAGCATTGTGTTCCCACAACTGCTAGCCAGGGACCTAAGCACATTAATGATCTCCCTGTTGTTTTTTAGTTGTTTAGTTGTGTCCGACTCTTCGTGACCCCATGGACTAGAGCACGCCAGGCACTCCTGTCTCCCACTGCCTCCCGCAGTTTGGTCACACTCACGTTAGTAGCTTCGAGAACACTGTCCAACCATCTCGTCCTCTGTCGTCCCCTTCTCCTTGTGCCCTCCATCTTTCCCAACATCAGGGTCTTTTCCAGGGAGTCTTCACTTCTCATGAGGTGACCAAAGTACTGGAGCCTCAGCTTCACGATCTGTCCTTCAAGTGAGCACTCAGGGCTGATTTCCTTAAGAATGGATTGGTTTGATCTTCTTGCAGTCCATGAGACTCTCAAGAGTCTCCTCCAGCACCATAGTTCAAAAGCATCAATGCTTCGGTGATCAGCCTTCTTTATGGTTCAGCTCTCACTTCCATACATCATTACTGGGAAAACCATAGCTTTAACTATACAGACCTTTGTTGGCAAGGTGATGTCTCTGCTTTTTAAGATGTTTTCTAGGTTTGTCATTGCTTTTCTCCCAAGAAGCAGGCATCTTTTAATTTCGTGACTGCTGTCACCATCTGCAGTGATCATGGAGCCCAAGAAAGTAAAATCTCTCACTGCCTCCATTTCTTCCCCTTCTATTTGCCAGGAGGTGATAGGCCCAGTGGCCATGATCTTCGTTTTTTTGATGTTGAGCTTCAGAACATATTTTGCGCTCTCCTCTTTCACCCTCAATAAAAGGTTATTTAATTCCTCCTCACTTTCTGCCATCAATGTTGTGTCATCTGCATATCTGAGGTGCCTAGTCCCCAGCAAATGTTATTCAGGTACTGAGGAAGCAAAGGAATGATTGTGTTGTAATCAAAGGACTCTTCATAATGTTCAGGGAGTGGTTTCATTCTTAGCATTCTAAGTAGGATCGGAGCCAACCTTTTCAAGAAGTTCTTTCAAGGCAGTTAGTTTTAATGTCATTTTCGAGTGTGCAAGATGCACTTGCTTGGACACAAGATGCATAATGCCCAATGTGCTACCATTTGTTAAGCTGAGCACAAGAGCCTTCCAGGTTGTTCTTGCTCTTGTGGTTGGTGCAGACTATGAGCCCAGCAAACGTCAGCCTCACCCCCAGCAGATCTGGAAGAGAGGAAAAGGTGGGGAGAAGTGTTTGGAGAAGAGTGGAATGGAGTATTCCTTCAGGGAGTTGATGGAATAAAGAAGCTTCAAGCCTTTGTCTCTGGAATTTTGGATTCCTTACTGTGTAAAAGTTGGCGCCAGGCTGCTAGCAATTAATGCTGGAGATCAAAGCAGCCAAAGGAATGAGGAAGCAACAGCATTTAATTGAGATGGGGGATGAGGCTTGTTGGTCAATCTCAATCAATTAATACACTCAGCAGCTGAGTCTTCGTAGTTAGTTCTTTTAGCAACGCAAGTGTGAAACTTGGTAGCACATCCTGTATGCAATAGACTTACGCAAACAGCATTGCAGAATGATCTGTCTTCTCTTTTCTCTCAAATGTTTTATAATACAAATGGTCAAGTGAATCCATCCTTGCTCAGAAGTACTTTTATCACTGAACTTAAAAAACAAACCAACAACCAGATGGAAATCCAACTAGGCATTTCCCAAAGAGCCTGTGAAGTTTTGTGCAGATGATAGACCTGAAAAACTGGTTAAATTAGTATTTCAAGTGCCAAGAATCTGACATGTAAATAAGCATGAAGCATGCAAACCACACCTACCAGCCTCACTGAGCAGCAATATAATGCTGTGCAAATCCCAGGGGAGAGCAGAGAGAGAAGGATCTCTCCCAAGGCACAGGACTTTATCGCACCAGCGCAGGTACCACTTCCTTAATTACTTATCTGAACTGCCTGTCTCTGTGTTGAAATGTTAGTCATCTACAACCTGCTGCCTTCCAGATATTATTGGACTGCTATTCCCATCTTCTATGAACCCCTAAGTCGGGTTGGAGTCCACAACATTTGGAAGGCACCAGGTTAAGGACCAGTCTGCTAGATTGTCTGCTTCCACTGCCAAATCATCTGCGAAGCAATGGATTTGTATCTGGCCTTTCCTCTTGCCAATGTTCCCCATCTATCATGCTTCTTTTGTGCAAGATATATCTTTCGAAACAAGGCAACTTCAAACTATGGGCTGTGTTGGACAGTGGAACGGATTTCCTTGGGAGATGGTGGACTCTCCTTCCTTAGAGGTTTTTAAGCAGAGCTTAGATGGCTATTTGTCTGTACAGTGGTACCTTGGTTCTCGAACTTAATCTGTTCCAGGAGTCCATTCGACTCCCAAAACCATTTGAAAACCAAGGAGTGGCTTCCGGTTGGCTGCTGGAGCTTCCTGCACTCATGCGGAAGCCGCGTTGGATGGTTGTCTTCCAAAAAACATTCGCAAACCAGGACACTTACTTCTGGGTTTGCGGTGTTCAGGAGCCAATTTGTTCGGCAACTAAGCTGTTCGGGAACCAAGGTTTGACTGTATGAGAAATGCATCTGGAAGACAGAATGTATCCAGGAGCTAGTGGTCTGACAAGGAGCCCTTCCTGCCTCTGTTCTTTCCCCTTCCCTCTCTCTTGTTAAGTTTTCTGATGGAATGCATTTTGGCTTCTCATTGCTATTTTTCAATATGAATGTTTTTGAGAACAGTCCTCAATGTTTGGGAATGTTGGCAGGAGGTGAAGCTGCCTTATCAGTTGTGGAGGATAGTGCTGGGTACCTTCTTTCATGTTTGTTGTGGTTTGAGAAAGTGAGGCACTGGGAGGGAGTAGCTAATGGATGATCTGCACGTAGCCAGTCTTGAAGGCTACACAGGTTATCTATAAAATCTGACGGTTTGGGCAGAGTTTCTCTGAAGCCCATGCATGGACTGATCGGCTGCAGGGCTGTGCAAACTGAGGCTACCTGGAGGAGTCACTTTGCCACTTCTTGAGGGCTTCCAAGTGGCAGATTGAAGTGCTTGCTTGGTATGTATACATTGTTTGCTGTTTCAGAATAAAATCTTTAATCTTCTCACTCACTTGTGTATTTTGTATTGCTTCTGAATCTCATTTTAAAAGAACCACCTTGCCTTTGGCAAGACACTGTCCTGCACGCTTTAGCTGAGATTCCTATATTTCAAGGGATTGGATTAGTTGACCCGAATAGTCCCTTTCAACTCTACCATTCTATGATCTACGTGTATATCTTTATTGCTTTAAAATAGATACATTTATGCCAAGAAAGCAAACCAACCAACCAACCAACCAACAAACAAACATACAATCAAACAAACAAACAAACAAACATACAGTCAAATAAACAAACAAACTATGAATTGACAAAGGTTTTACAATAGTTCACATCATTGGGAGTACAAAGGATGTTAGTTATAAGAATTGTGTAGTTTCATATATTGCTACTGTCTGTTTGTCATTCTATGGTCTATAGATGAAATAAACCAAACCGGAAGCTCATCGGGGATCGCAGCGTAAGACGTCACTCTTTTTTAAAAGCTCCCCCTGCAGAAATCTGAACTTCATACAGTCTGAACCTCAACCACTCATCAAGAAGAAATGGAGAAAATGGGGGAGGCTGAAATGAGGAAGCCCCACAAAACTGTACAACAGGAAATGAAAGATTTATTCAATCATTTTAAGGAGCCACCTCCAGGTGAAAAATGATTCTTTACTTTTCTATTCATAGCTCAAGCTAAGTTTCCAAACTATGCCAATCATCATTATGCCAATAGTTTAGATTTTTTAATTTTTGCCTTTTTAACCATCCAGGTACGGTTGTGATCCAGTCATTACCAGATCCCTGGTACTTCAAAATTTGGGATATTAACCAGAAGTACCTCTTGTTAGTGGGTGACCAGCTGCTCTCAGCTCCCAGAAATTCCAACTCACCAGGTAACAGCTCCTACCATGTTTCTCAGTTCCTCCACCCCAGGTGGCTGGCTGTTTTCAATGGAACTAGGTAACCTAGTTTCAGGGAGGTGTCTGATTCAGCAGGGCTGGTCCAAGACATTTTTCTGCCTGAGGCAAAGGACAAGCTAATGCCCATCCTTCATTCCAGGCATGGAAGTTAACTGGATTGGTAGTTGAATATTTTTTTAATGCTAGGAACAAGATAGGATCACTCTTCCTAATGGTAGGGCCGGCCCTGTTGTCTTGGGTGAAGGACAAGATAGGGTCTTCCCATTCCACATATGCTAGAATCTGCCTGGCAGTGGCAGTTGAATCTTACTTCAACACTAGTAATAGGGCAACATCCTTGACCACACCCAGGGGAAATGGACTAGCTTAGGTACACAGGGATGTGCTGCCTGAAGTGAGTGTCCCACTTTGCCTAGTTGCAAGGCCAACCCAGTGACTCGGCAGCATCTTCTTAAACAAGGCTCAGCAATCCTCTTGTGGGACTTATCCATGGGATTCATGAGAGCCACTGTGAAATGGGGAAGAGGAGAGTTCTGGGCTGAGTCTGTTCTAATGCAATGCCTTTAGTCACTAGTTGCATAGGCAGGTGCCTTAGACCTAGTCAAACCATTGCTCCATCATGCCCAGATCACTGGTCCATCTCTCTTATTCCAAGGTTAGTCCATCTTGTCTTACTTATTCCAATTGGCAGTGGTTCTCCAAGGGTATCAGTCAGAGAATGATCTGTCATACCACCTGACACATGAACTTTTAAACTTGGAGATGGGGAGCCTGTGCCCCTCCAGATATTGCATGGACCATTGGCCATGTTGGCTGGAAGTTGACGTCTAAGAACAACCATGAGAGGGAGGCACAGGTCCTCCATTCCTGCTTCAGCTAGAGATGACAGATGGAGCCAGTCAATCAGCATTGTGCAAGCCTTGCTTCTCATCAGCCTAGAAAATGCCGTCTTCATGCTACAGGAAAAGATGTTGCATGTGTGTTGCAACTGTGGTGAGTGGCCTCCATAGTAGATTCACCACAGCCTTATATTGAAATATCTTTCTGTGGCTCCCTTCTTTCAGATCTACACATTTGGATAGTTAGCAAGCCATAGCAGGAAGATACAGCTGGCAGGGTGTTTCAATTGGAAAAACCCATCCAGCTTGAGAACAGCTCCCCAAATGGAACAAATAACTCTGAGATTGCAGAGCGAAAGGCTGCTATGGACTAAAATGAGACACCATGGACAAGATACAAGCAGCAGGCACTGCACAGAAGCAACAAAGAACAATGTTACAAAACAAGCCTCTAATGCAGGTGCAGGGGAAGTTTGACCCTCCAGTTGCCCTAAGAGGCATGGCCAATAGCCAAGGGTGTTGAGAGCTGTTGCTTTACCCTCACCTGTTATAATGGTTGACAGGGAAGGTCTGTAATTCACTGGTAGAGCACATGCCTGCAGAACAATGTGTGCTACCTCTGAGCTTAGCACCCATTTTAGGAGGTTTCAATATTTTTTTTGTAAAAACAATGTGTAAGAGGACTGAAGGTCACTTCAAGATACAAAATTGCTTGTGCGTTGTGCAAGCTCCTGTGCTATGCAGTGGACCTCTCATGATATGAACATTGGACATACTTCTAGTATAGGGGTTGAGCTCCTTTCTAGAGACTTGTTCTTATGGGTCCCTTCAACAGCTTTCAATCTGATTGATGGCCTTCCAGTCACCTAAGACTCCTGTAGCAATAATGCTTTCTCTCTCCCTTCCTCCCGCTCTTCCTCTCTCTTTCCCTCCACTGATCCTGTTTCTGAGCTGCTCACCTCCAGAGGGGTTAATTGCTGTGGTCCCAGATAAAATTATTGGGGAAAAAGATGACAGAACATCCGCCATCTTTATGGGTAAGGAAGATGGGCAACGTACTTTGTCCTGTGTGGAAGTTGGTGGTCAACCTCGGCTAAAGTTAGTGGTGAGTATCATTTGTGCTTCAATGTCTCTTTTGATTCCATATTTGTCACCCCTAGTCTATATGAGAAGCTCAGCATATGAGGTCTTAGCTGGCTGCTCCAAGCTCAGACCACATGGCTCTAACAAGCCTCCCTTGAGTTCCTGTACCAATAATTTAGGAACTTTCACCACTGTAACTAAGCCAATTTTTACTGCCTGTGTCTTCTGACTGATGTATGGGAAAGCACATGAACCTGGCCTTTGAAGTGTTTGTAAGTAAACCAATTTTTAACTTATTAAATGTGTGGCCTTTGGAGGAAGAGACAAACTTTGAAGGAACTTAGAAAGGTACATTTTGAAGGTCTAACAGTCTATATTTCCACCCTTTACTTTGCTACATATTTTGTGATTTTAAATTTCTGCTGGGGTTCTCTCACCAAAGAGTACTTGCCCCAAACCTGCACCCTGGCATCCAGGAATTCTCTTCTAATACCTATATTTATTTCCTTGCCACCAACATAATGGAATTCGGAGCAGGGGTAACTTAGGCTGGCTTGTGTGAGTTCTACTGGCTTCCAATACTTAGGATTGCTCAGTACTGCCATGCCTCCTTAACCCTGCAGAGGATTTTATGAGGCAACAGAGGGTCTCTTGTTTTGTTGGATGAATTTAAATAAATTATTTTGCCGATTGTTGTGAAAATGTTTTGGTTTTTTTTTAAGGGAGAAAAAATTATGGATCTATATAATAAAAAACAGGAATCCAAGAACTTCAGTTTCCTCTGCAAGACTGCCAGCGGCAAGGAGACTGGCAGCTTTGAATCTGTAGCATTCCCAGGATGGTTTCTTAGCAGTTCGCCGGAGCCAAACAAGCCTATTGGTTTGAGCCAGCAAGGAGGTGCTGAGATCACTGAATTTTTCATGGAAAAAACAAATAAAGGGGCAGGAGGTGCTGTTGCCATTCTATAGACCCTGTATCGGTGGTGTGGTAGAATGACGTCCCACAGATATAATTTTTCCAGCCTTAAGTTCAATACCCCACATTTCCATGCCTGCTATACATTTTTTTGAAGTCCTACTGAAAATTCATTAGCATTTTAATGCAATTTTCTCCTGCTATACACATTTAATGCTACTTTGCATATTTTTTTGCAAAGTATTTCCCCCCCCTCAATACACGGCATTTTTTGTGTCATTTTCCACTAGCATATGCAATTTTCTGCACACTTTAACTCTAGCATGTGCCTTTTTGTACATATGACTTGGTTGGGGAAACTGCCTGCAAAATTCAGAAAGGCAAATTTGGAAGGATGACGGTGTTTCAATTTATGCATTGTTTCCGAAAGAGTGAATTATTTATGTGAAATAAAATTATCTTATACCCCTTTTAAATGTACTTGCGGAAGGAGGAAGGGGGCTATTGATTTGTGGTTTTTGGTTCTTTTTTTTAAATTATGTATTTTGTGTTTTTATCCTGTATTTTTATGTTGTGAACCACCCTGAGATCTACAGATAAAGGATGGTATACACATTTAATAAATCATTAAACTGGATTGGATTGAATTTATCTGCCATCCTTACTTACAACAACCCTATGATACAAGTGAGACTGGGAAATGGTTACTGACTAGCCGAAGAGCACCCAGCCAACTTTATGGCTGAACAGGTACAGTCGTACCTTGGTTCTTGAACGCCTTGTGACTTGAACGTTTTGGCTCCCAAATGCCACAAACTCGGAAGTGAGTGTTCCGGTTTGCAAACTTTTTTGGAAGCCAAATGTCCAGCGCAGCTTCCGTGGCTTCCGATTGAGTGCAGGAAGCTCCTGCAGCCAATCGGAAGCCATGCCTTGGTTTTCAAACGTTTTGGAAGTTGAATGGATTTCCGGAATGCATAACATTCGAGAACCAAGGTATGACTGTATTTGAACCTCCTATCACACTGACTCTCCAAGTTTACAACTTGTAAAACAGGTATTAAAATCTGCAAAGGAGTTTTTCAACCGATTCTCCCCAATACTAGTCATATAAAAATTTATGCTCTAAAATTTTTGTAAGATGCTTAGAGACTCCTATGGGGCATGTGACCTTATCATAATATGAGCCCCACATTGGACAAAAGATTACTGCGTTGCAGGGGGTTGGATTAGAAGATCCTTAAAGCATAGCTGTCAATGTTTCTCTTTTTTAAAAGGAAAATTCCCTTGTTCCGAATAGGATTCCTCGCAAGAAAAGGGAAAAGTTGACAGCTATGCCTTAAAGTCCCTCCCAACTCTACAATTCTACGATTCTAAGATAACCACCCTGGATCTCCCAAATTTGTAGCTTGTAAAATAGGTATTCATACCGGAATGGAAGTTTTCATTCTTCCAGAACACAAACACTGCTCCTGATTTTCATCATTGTAGGCGTCAGAGTTTTAGATATCAAGGGACATATCTCAACCCCTGGGAAATGGTCCGTATGCAGTATCTTCTGTTTCCCAGTACAAGAGCCCATGTACTAGTGGATGGCAGAGTTCAAAGGAATCCAATGCAACAACTGTGCTAGTGGAAGCTTGTTGTACAAAAGCGGGTTCTTGCTGCAAAATCTGTTGCACAACCATCTTTGGTAACGTCCTTGTGTTTTCCCTTGCACAATGATATATCTCGCGGTTGTCCCCGGTCACTCAAAAAAGGAATTGCTTTGTTCTTTTCACACATCTTTAAAAGTGACAACTGAAGCAACTTCCTTTTTAAACTGGAAACATTTCCATTCACACACCCCACACCCACACCCTCTTCATTCCTGAGAGGGGCATGCCACTAACCAGTGGTGCGATGCACGATTGATGAAATAAACGGGTGGCAGTGTTAGCTCAGAAACAGAAGAGGCTGCAAATCTCTCCTTTTTATTGCAGTAAGCATAGAGGCCTTCGTCACAATAGAATTCAAATTGCTCTGCCCCGAGATAAATGAACCTGGGCAAATGTAGCAGTGGAGGAGAGGAGGGAAGAGTTGGCAGTATCTGGGGATCTGAAAGAGGAGGAAAGGAAGGGGACCTTGGCAGAAATTCTGTGCTGGGTCCTGATTGGGTAACCTGTTTAACTATTTCCCCTCCAGCACTCTCATATGTTAACATCACAGTGGTTGCACACTTTTTCGGCTTGGAGGCTCCACCACCTTCTGGCTCGGCCAGCCCAGGGGTGGGGCATGCAGATGTTCCACCTTGTTGACCCCTATCAGAATTTTGCACCCAGAGCCACCGCCCCTCTGCCCCCCCATGCTATGCCACTGGTTAGCTGTTACTGACCACTAAGCCAGCATGTTATTGTCTCATATCGCAGCCTAGAAGGAGCAAGCCTTGTGGCAGGAATGTAACAGCCTGGGATGAAAATCTCCTCCCTGCATCTGTTTGGTGTCTTGGATTTCTTACTCATCAAGGATTGCTTATAATTTGACACTGTCTCATATTATATCTCCCAACATCGGCCAGCATGACCAAGAATTATGGGAGTAATAGTCCAGCAACATCTGGAGAGCCACAGGTCAGCCACTTCTGGCCTAAAGGATGTACTAATCACCACCCCATGGGGCTCTCATGTGTTTAGAGACAATGGGAGCTCTTCTACCAGTACCCGGGGGGGCCAGAGGTTTCCCATCCCTGCAGTCAGGTAAGCCAAGAGAGACAATGAAGGCCCTCAACGCCCTAATGAACTTTAAGACTGAACAAAGATTTAAATGTCATGCTTTCTGTGTGTCAAACAAACCCAATATTCTCCACCCGGCACCACACTGTGATGATTGCTGCTCAGTTACACCCACCTCCCTGCTGCGCTGTCTGACATGACTTGGAGGAGGGGAGGTGCCGGGCAGAGCTGGGAACACAAATTTCACCAGGGCGTATTGGCGGGTGGCTGCAACTTTGTGGGAGACGAGAAGTTAAATCACTAGGTGGCTGCCGATTCTCTTCCTTTCCCTCCCTTTGTCTAATGAGCCACTATAATGAATAAACACATCCCCAGTGGAGGCTGATTTAGAAGAGGCCTCCCAGGCCCCCCACAGAAAATAACCAATTTAATCGGGCAGGTTAACCTTCTTGCAGTCAGGGGGAGGGGAGAAGGGAAGAGACAGCAAGCACCATATTCCTTTACATGGCCCATTAGGCTTCTGGCATCAACAGCAGCTTCCCTCCCTAGGCAAATAGCAGCGGGCCCTTGGACCTAGGGGGAAAGAGTGAGCTTTCCCTCCCATAAAACCCCATGCCCTGCAGTCCAGAACATGATTGTCACAGAAACATAGGAAGCTGCCTTATTCCCAGTCAGATGCATTGATGCATCTAACTCAGTATTTCCTACACCAGTGCTACTCAAAGGGGTGGTTCACGGATCAGAGTCATCAGCTGCCAGTCTCCAATTACTCCACTACAGCCCAGGTTGGGTGGGATGCTTCAGGGACCAAGCATGCTACTGGTCCCTGGCACATTGCAGTCCGGGTGGGTGGGAATGCCAATCCAACACACTAGATAGCTTGAGAAGCACTGCTTTACACTGTGGCTCTGTAGGGTTTCAGTCTGGATGCTGTCCCAGACCTACATGGAGATACCAGAGCAGAGGTGGTTTTAGGGTGGCCCAGTTGGTGTGGTTGCAGTGGGTGCCACGTTGCAGAGGGTGCCAAAACAATGCTGCAGAACAGAGTGTGGGGAGCAGGGCATTGCACAGGGCCCAAAGCCCTTCACTGATTGGGGATTGAACCTGAAAATTTATCCATGTAAGTCTGCTACTCTACGACTGAGCTATGTCCCTATCCTTCTCCCAAGTCTGTTTTAAAGTAAAAAAAGGCGACATCTAGATGCTATGTCCTCTGCCCTTCTCCTCTGTTGTTTCTACCTGCTCTGTATACCCTGGGTAGGCAAACTAAGGCCCAGGGGCCAGATCAGGCCCAATCGCCTTCTAAATCCAGCCCATGGACGGTTCAGGAATTAGCGTGTTTTTACACGAATAGAATGTGTGCTTTTATTTAAAATGCATCTCTGGGTTATATGTGGGGCATAGGAATTTGTTCTCCCCCCCTTCAAAATATAGTCTGCCCCCCCCCCACAAGGTCTGAGGGACAGTGGACTGGCCCCCTGCTGAAAAAGCTTGCTGACCCCTGCTGTAGACTCTGTGGTTAACCACTGTCTCATTAATTCCTACCATCAATTCTAGACATGTCTGCTGTTCTATTTACCCAGGCTCACCCCATATTTGCAGATGTTTTCATGCACCTGAGTGCTTTTGAAGGGGAACAAAAGAGGTGCTTGACTTTGTCTACTGTAAATTCATGGTTGGGCATTACCTGTGTTAGGATCAGCCACAATGTTCCATAACAATGGCAAGCTTCCAAGTTCTCCAGGATTCCTCATTGTGGCTAAAAGTCTATGCAAAGCCGGCGCAACAGGGGAGTGAGTGGGTTAAAAAAAATGCAGAAGGCTGATATTGTAGCCACGAGGTCCACCTTTAGACCCAAACTGTGCACATGACACATCATACCTCAAAGCACATTCTTTCCCCACAAAGAATTATGGGCACCGTAGTTAACCCCCCACAGAGCCTTGCCCCTCATGGGCACTGTAGTTTATCCCTCACAGTTCCCAGCAATCTTTAACAACCCCTTTTCACAGTGGCCAATCAGATTCCCATGGGAAACCCAGAAGCAGAACCTAACTGCAACCGCACTCTCTTCACCTGCGATTCCCCGCAATTTGTCTCCAAAGGCATGCAGCCTTTGACAGTGGAAGTAGACAATGGAAGTAAACAGTGCTGTTTTTCTTGAAAAAGAGGTGCCAGCACTCACCATGAATGCTTCCTTTGTTCTCTTATAGTGGCAGTGGCACCTGCCTGAGTGGTGCTGGAACTGAGTTCCAGCTGAAAAAAGCAGCCCTGGAAGACAGCCACCATAGCTAGCAGCCAGGGATAGCTTTATCATCCAGGAATTTGCTCTTTTAAAGCCATCCAAGTTGGTGGCCATCACTATCTCTTGTTGATGACTCTCAAACACATTTGTTGCTGGCTCTGTAGCATCTTCATACCAGTTTCAAAACTTCCGAATATATTTTGAGTTCACTTTTTCATGCAAATGTGAACCCTTCAATTTAATCTATGAGTGTAATGGGGCATCCAATAGCCCTTGGGGAAGCTGCCCAGTGAAGTCACATTTACATGCTGTTTTACACACACACACACACACACACACACACACAGACACACACACTTCATGTGCGTGACCTGTTTTGTTTCCTTGTCCCCGCAATCCCCCAACTCCTATTCACGAAGCTGTCATCTGCTCATGCCCAGTCACCCATGCATGCAAAACAACTGTCTCAAAGATACACACTTCCGTTTAACGGTGAATGTTTTCCTTTCAGATTGAGGTTGGTTTGAGGGGAAATTCATCAGACAGCAGTATTTCCCAAGGAAGTGCAGGATAGCTCTGCATCATGCATGATGTTTTGTGTACATGTCTCTGAAAGCCAGTGGTGGGAGCGCACTGGAACCAGAGTAAATGGCGATGTGTACACAGCCTAAGAAAGTACTTATGGAGAGAGGCTCATTAATCTTGCTGTAGCTGAACAAGTGCTCCTTGAAATCACACCAAAGAAGGTCTCTAATGAAGTGGCCCTTCTGGCCCTGAATTGGCGCATTGGTCTCCCTTTCAAAAAACAATGGCTCCAGTCTGCACGCCAAGGGCAAATGTGCCAGCATAAGTAGAGGCTGATGTGCAGATAAGAGAAACTAACATGCACAATGCTCCTAAAAAGACTGGATCCCTGGATGGTTAAGTCCAGTCAAAGGTGACTATGGGGTTGTGGTGCTCATCTTGCTTTCAGGCCGAGGAGGCCAGTGTTTGTCCACAGACAGCTTTCTGGGTCATGTGGCCAGCATTAGTAAACTGCTTCTGGTGCAACGGAACACTGTGACGAGTGCCAGAGCACATGGAAACGCTGTTTACCTTCCTGCCGCACTGGCGCGCTTTTGAACTGCTAGGTTGGCAGAAGCTGGGAGAGAGCAATGGGAGCTCACTTCGTTGCATGAATTTGAACTGCTGACCTTCTGATCGGCAAGCCTAAGAGGCTCAGTGGTTTAGACCACAGCGCCACAATGCTCCCGAAGCCAGACATCACATATAACCAAGTTGCTACTAAGCTTCCTTAAGAATCCCTATACTTGTAATTTCAAAGGAAACCAGACCTCTAAGCATCCCACAGTACAGAAGAACCATATTCAGCTGGAAGAGGAAGGGGTGATGTTGAGATGCCTCATGTTATTTACACCTACACAACTCTGATGGGTTTAAGAATGCACGCAGGACTTGCAACAAAACATTGCATTGTGGAGCACTCCCATTCAGTGTTCTGGCCAGCCAGCCAGCCAGCCAGCCCCTCTCCCAGGGTCTCCACTCCATTCCTTCTGGCAGAAGAGGAAGCAGCAGGAACCCATCCTGTTAACACCTCTGTGCTCCTGCTCAGGTGACTAACGCATCTCTTGGGGTTATATTTTATAATATAACATCCTAGAACAACATCCTAGAGGTCCCAGGCCCAAAGGAAGTTAGATTAGCCTCAACCAGAGCCAGGGCCTTTTCAGCACTGGCTCCGGCCTGGTGGAACGCTCTGTCTCATGAGACCAGGGCCCTGCGGGATCTGATTTCTTTCCGCAGGGCCTGTAAGACAGAGTTGTTCCACCTGGCCTTTGGCTTAGAATCAGTTTGATTCCCTCCCCCTCTTTCTTCTTTCCTTTCTCCTCCTGTGAAGAGGCTGCATTTTAATGTTTTAATGTTGTATTTTAATCTTGTTTTAATGTTGTATTTTAATCTTGTTTTAATGTTGTATTTTAATCTTGTTTTAATGTTGTATTTTAATCTTGTTTTAATGTTGTATTTTAATCTTGTTTTTTAAGTTGTATTTTAATCAACTTGTTTTTATTATTGATTGTTAGCCACCCTGAGCCCAGTCTTGGCTGAGGAGGGTGGGGTATAAATAAAATTTATTATTATTATTATTATTATTATTATTATTATTATTATTATTTGCAGCAGCCCTTGCCAGAGTCCACTCCCTGGAGATCCAGGCTGACTCAGACGTCTAGGCCTTTGTGGGTGAGCCCGTGATCCTGAAGTGCTGGTTCAAGTCCTCCTTCCCAGTCACAGAGAAGCTCACCATCGATTGGACATATCGACCTCTTGCAGGGGGCAATTTGGAGCTGGTGGGTGGTGTTTTGACTGTCTGCCTCAGCCCTGAACAGACACATAATTCTGTGGCCACTAAGCTTCAATCCTCAGTGACAGCTTTGGGGTGATTTTTTTTGGCCTCCTCCTAGGGCAGGGCAGGGAAAACTCTTCCAGCCTGAGAGCCACAGGCCCTTCTATACAACCTTTCAAGGGCCACATGCCAGTGATGGGCTGGGCCAGAAGAAGAAGTAGGCAGAGCAACAATAAAGGTGAATTTTGCCTTTGAACAATTGGCTCACACCCCCTCTCCATCAAGGCAAGCAAAAGGCGTTATTATTCAGCCGCTGAGCCTGAGGTTCCCCATCCCTGATTTAGAGTTTTAGTAGTGTTTCTGGGCCAATAACCTGTTAGCAAAGTCACTTAATGCAGACAGAGCACAGAGACAAAAGAAACGGATAATCCTTTATTGAATAAACCCAGTACATAATATGAGAAGAAACACACAGAGTGGTTTTGTCTTTCTTAGTCCAGGTCCTTTCCATAGCAGGGTTCCCACCAAACATACAGTGGGAAGCTCCCTCAGAAGTACACAGCCAATCAGAACAGTGTAGAGACCACCCCTTTTGACTGATTGCTAAGCAACACTGCCACCCAGTCCCCTTCTTGACTAGTTGACTTTGACTCCTAACAGAATTAACCCTTACGTTGCACACTGAATGATCCTTGCTGTTGCACTCCCCTCATATATTTTTTGTACTTCTGCAAGCCTTGGTGTTCAGTTGAACATATTAATACCTCCCTATTGTTTCGCAGTTGCGCTGCTTCAGCTACAATCCTGTCAGCACTCACCAGCTGAGTCAACAGCACGAAGGAATGATGGCTTCTGCAGTGCGTTATATTAAATAATCAAAATAAGCTTTTGCAATTGATGCTTTCTTTGTGTTCTTCGGTACTGTTCGAATGTGAAAACACCATATGGGGTTTCTTAAATGTCTAAAATGATTGTGAAGCTATAAGTAAAAACCTTGCAATTCCATGATATTAATGATTTTAGAATTGTATGTGCCATCTGTGAGACTAGGTGAATATATAATGATGCAGCTATATAAGATTGCCGGGTGGAAATGTCAAAACCAGGTGCACTTTTTTAAAAAAGGGGGAAAAAAGGTGTGCCCTGCCTCACAACCTCCTTGAGTGTTTTTGTCTGGCTAGAATATGCCCTTGAACTCTTGACTGACTGTGAATACAGAGTGTGTGCAGAAACTAGCCAACTGTGCAAAGGCAAAATGGGAACTTCTTGCTCCACCCAGCAGTGGCATGTACCTGCCCCAGGAAGGTCCCCCAGAAGGGGAAGTGGCTCTCAGGCTCAAAAAGCTTCCCCACCACTTCCATAAAGCAATATCAACAAAACTAGAGGTAAACTGAATGCCCAGTTGTAAAGCATTGACATTTTATTGCCGTTCCTGATAAGGATGCAGGAGTGTCCCTATTTGCACCTGTGAAGTGTCAAGGGACAGGGGGGGCCAACACGGTGACCTCAAGACTCTCTCGGGAGGTGGTCGACTCTGCTTCCTTGCAGGCAGTGCTTTTTTTCTGGGGGGTACGCAGGGGTACGCATACCCCTAAACATTTTGGGAATCTAAGTTTGGCCTCGTTGAGGGGCAGCATTTCAATATGAGTAGGAAAATGAGAGTACAGTAGATGCTCAGGTTGCGAACGTGTTCCGTGTGGGAGGCACTTTCACAACCCGCAGCGGAGCGTCTGCGCATGTGCGGGTTACGATTTGGCGCTTCTGTGCATGTGCGACCGCCGAAACCCGGAAGTAACCCGTTCCGGTACTTCCGGGTTCTGGCAGTCCGCAACCCAAAAAAGCACAACCTGCAGCGTCTGTAACCCAAGGTATGACTGTATCCCTAAACATTTTTTATCCAAAAAAAAGCACTGCTTGCGGGTTTTTAAGCAGAGGTTGGATGGCCACATGTCATGGATGCTTTAGTTGAGATGTCTGCATTGCAGGGGGTTGCACTAGATGACCCAAAATGCTAAAGGACTGCAACTCCCATCATTCCTGATCACTGGCTGTGCCGGCTGGGGCTGGCTGTGAGTTGTAGTCAACAAACCACATTGGCTATTCCTGTTGCAGGGTATACAAGGGACTATTCTGGTATATAGTAGCGAATGCAAATATATTTGACCCTCAGCCCTTGTTTCCTGTTGGGGTTTGGTGCTGGAGGAATTAAAGCAGGGGTCAGCAAACTTATCACGCCTCGGGCCGCTGTCTCCAGCACTGATCGTGTGGCAGTCCGGAGGGCGGGAAAGAGCGTGCCCATACGCGTGCGCACACGCTATTTCCTGCGCACTTCTGGGTTGGAGGAGCACCGGAAATAGCTTGTGCGCATGTACATGGGCCTCCTCCGACCTGGATGTGCACCGGAAAAAACGCTTGCGCATGCACACAAGCTATTTCCGGTGCTCCTCCGACCCGGAAGTGGGCAGCTGCGCAGCGCAGTGCCGGTAAGGGCGGGGAGTGGCGGGCGCTGCGGGCCGGATAAACTAGTCCTTTGGGCCTTAGTTTAGGGACCCCTGAGTTAAAGTAAACCCTGGTAAGATTGTCATGCCCTTCTGATGCAGCCGAAATGGAAAAGCTGCTTGTATCTTGTTTCATGAGCAGGTAGCCAGCGAGGCAAGGTGCTGTGCTGTTGTTGATGGAGGAGATTTGGAACGGCCCAGAGCTCACATACCTTTCTCTTCCCTTTTATTGCTAACCTCCCACCCCTAGAGACTGATAATGGGGCTACCAGCAGTTGTTTCCAAGATGTTGGGTGCTTGGTTACTATGGGAACAGGGCTCTGCACATACCTTTTCAAAGAGCAAGAACACGAATTCGGATAGCTATGTCAAACAAAGACATGGGCTGCTAGATCCAGTCTAGTTTGTGGTTAAGATAAAAATGAAAGTGTTTAATGGCATTAGCACTACATGACAGTGGCCTCTGCCCGAGCTATCCCATAGAGCCAAGTGATCATTCCATACTCTGCACTGCTTGACTTGGATGGTGAACTAGGCACTGTCAAAGGGGGGGAAAAAGAAAAGAAAAAGAAAGAAGGAAAGAAAAGGAAAAGGAAAAAGGACAACAGAGAGGACACTCATTTGCATAAAATTTGCACTTGCAAATTTATATGTATAGATGGAAATGTAGAAATAACAGTTATAATTTAAATGGGCTCTAAATGCAGCCATAGAACCCTGTGGATTCCCCTAGGCGACAGTGACTGGGGAAAAGATCCAATTTTCTCCATGCTGGAAGGTGACAGATCAATGGCCAGGTGCGGCCAGCCCCACTCTCCAAATGGAAGCAATTTATCCAGGTGACAGACACCACTGTTAGCATCCACTATATACAATGCAGCCTCCCTTCCCTTCCTACACCTTCATGTTAAAAGCCAGGGCATATGTGACAGACACAGCAGGTCCCAGTGAAAATGGAATCTAGCCTCTCCTCTGCGTGAAACCCAGCACAGGAGTTGGGAGTCCGTCTTGTGATGTTTTGATTGCCTCCTTGACTCTCCGCAAGACATGCAAGGCTCTTAGCTGGAAGCTAAACAAACAGCCTGGCCTTTCATGGTGGGTCCGGCAGGCAGCAGGTAGTAGCACACACAGTGGGGCACGCTGATTCTCCCCAGCTGCTGCCCCAATGCATTTACCCCTTTTAAGTCTTAATTTTTGTTGGAGTACCAATTAATGAGGACTGCCCACAGGGCCTGCCCTGCTGCCATCTGATTTCAGCCCCGTGGAGAAGCAAGGAGCAGCTGCCTCACCAGAGAACAAACATTCACCTTCCCCCCAAGGGGTTTGCTGGGCTGGGCTGGCAGATGCAAAGCAGGGAACAGGCAGAAAGGAAGGGCAGCAGAGCTGACGAAATTGGCCACAGTGCATTTGCATCTCAAAGAGGGGCTGTGGGGACGGGAAGGTCTCTCCTAGATCCTCTCCTGTGATCAGCGTGGCTTTCTTTCTTTTGTGGTTCACTTCCCAAGACCTTGTTGGGATTTGTAGTGGTGATCCAGTCAGTTTTTGCAAACCAGTGGTGGAAGAGGAGCACAAGTACTGGGGAAAGAGAGGAAAACCACATAGCTGAATTACAGCCAGGGATGTGAGAAGGCAACAATTTGTATACCTGAAGGAGCGTCTCCACTTCCATCATTCTGCCCGGACACTGAGGTCCAGCGCCGAGGGCCTTCTGGCGGTTCCCTCGCTGCGAGAAGCCAAGTTACAGGGAACTAGGCAGAGGGCCTTCTCGGTAGTGGCACCCGTCCTGTGAAGTACCCTCCTACCAGATGTCAAAGAGAAAAATAACTACCAAACTTTTAGAAGACATCTGAAGGCAGCCCTGTTTAGGGAAGCTTTTAATGTTTAATAGGTTATTGTATTTTAGTGTTTTGTTGGAAGCCGCCCAGAGTGGCTGGGGAAACCCAGCCAGATGGGCGGGGTATAAATAATAAATTATATTATTATTATTATTATTATTATTATTATTATTATTATTATTATTCCATCCCGTGTTCATTGCAAACAGCACTGTTTCCATTCCACTGCAATTCGGTTTCTGCTAAAACATACGCAATTTATCTCACTGTTCACTATGGCCAAAATACACATAGTTAATTTCAGTGTATGTCAATGGAAGGGGAACATCAAAAACAATGCTGAAAGCAATGCCATTATTTATGTAATGTTTAGACTAGAAAAACAGCAAATACTACTGTATACTGTACTGTGTGTATTTGTGTGGTTTCTATTCCTGACCTCAGACAAACATGTGGATTGTGGCAGCCCAAACTGAGAGCAAATTTTCATGATAATTTTAAGGGCTCATTTCTGGCTGTTGATGATGGGATGTCGACCATGGCTTCGATATGGATTCATCACAGAACTGCAATCATTGGCCTGGTTTGGTTTGGGGCTGGTCCACTCCCTCGCCCCTTGTCCTCCACCATGACCTTGAGGAAGAGGAGAACGGAAGCCTACCACACTGCCATCCATCTTGCTTCCATCTTCTGCTCTCCATTTCCGTCACGGGGTTCCGTTGTGCCACATGACCCGGAAAGCTGTCTATGGACAAACATCGGCTCCCTTGGCCTGAAACAAGAGGAGTGCCATACCCCATAGTCGCCTTTGACTGGACTTAACCATCCAGGGGTCCTTCACCTTTTCCTTTTTACCTGAGATACGTTGGGATGTGTCCCAGGATCCATCACTCTAACCCCATGTGATGCAGAGGAGATTGCAGGGAAGCTGGCTGGTTAATTTCAGTGCCATTGGTATAATTTGCCTCACCTGTCACTGATATGAAGGATGCTAAATGTCTTATTGCCCATAACTGAGGTTGGTGAGGGATGGAGAATGCTGTGAAGGCATAGGGCGGGGAAATGGGACACAGTGGCCTGTTTGCTCTGTGTGCATGCATGCATGTGCATGCAGAATGTCCCAAAACAGAAATGGGGGCGAACAAAATGAGAGGTGTGCACACTGCATGCTGAAATCAGACATTAGGATTCTTTGCCAATTCCAGCAGTCATTCTGTCTCACTCAGAAGCTTCTGTTTCCATGGCTTCTGTAATTAAAATGTGACTTACACCACAACTGTTCAGTTTTATGATCTAGTTACAGACACATGTGAGATCAAAGAAACCCGAGGCAGGTTTGAGCAATGATGGGTGATAAGATTATGGCTTCAGCTGGGGTCCGGGTGTTTTAAGGCAACTGCTTCTCCACTCTTTAGCACAAGCAGCAGACAAAGTGATAGGGAATGGACTCTGGGGTTGCCAAGGATTTCAGCCTTGGCCAGCCTGTTTCTGGACAATTATACTCATTAGCTTTAGGCCCCCAGAGAGTACACAGCTGTATTTCCTGGGGTTGATGGGAGCTGTAGTTCAAGACTTCTGGAGTGTCCCGGAAGTTAGCAAAGGCTGGATCATCTAGTCCAACCTCCTGCAATGCAGGAACAACACATAAGGTGCTGAAGTCACTTACACAAACATGTTTAGTGGGAAGGAGACAAACCAGGATGATACCTAGAAAATTGCAAGATCTACATTTTTCTCACTGAGGTGATCACTGCCTGAACACGCCAGGTTTTAAGCCAGGAGCACATCTGCTATGCTGAAACCATTTCATGGGTAATCAAAATGAAGCCCTTTCTTATTTATTGCAGAAGGTGGGTTTTTCCTTTTTCCTTTTTTTTACAGGTAGCAGGTGTGCTTTCTTCATAATGAAGTCACAGCTCCTGCTTCCTAGTGGCTCCTGTATGGCAGAAAGAATGCATACAAGGAGGTGAGCACACGCGTGAGCGCACATTATGCGCAACATCTGCCACGAGCAAATAGTCCAATCTGCTTGTCACAGCCAGGAACCTGAAACAAGGGAGGAATTTAATTTTGTTTTGCCATCCTTTGGGCTTGTCGCTTTCATCTTAATTAAGAGCTGCAGTCGCAGCCTCATCATTCCACTTGCCAAAGTCAGGGGTCTCCTGCCAGGGGTCACTTCACACATGTCCATTCCTCAGCGAGGTCACATCGGTGTGCAAACTCCCTGGTCCTGGTGAATTCCTATTATTTCACCGGCTCCTCTCTCAATTGTGTGCTTTGCTGGACGCTTGAGGCTACCGGATGGGAAGCACTGTAGCTCAGTCATAGAGCCTTGGCTGTGCATGTGGAACAAGCATGTCTCACATCCCAGCATCTCCAGCTAGGGTAGAATAGGACCCCTGCCTGAAACCCTGGAAAGTCAGCGTAGATGATACCAAGCTCCATCTGCACCCCACGGCAGTCACTTAAGATTTGCCAGTTGTTGTAAACAAAATCTGCCCCTTTTCCCTTAGAGTATCCAAGAGACAGCATAGAGTCCTTACATGGGTTCCCTATTGGTAGGAGAAAATAACAGAGGCCAACCAGAGAATATTGAGAAGCAAAGCAGCTAGTAAGCCTTATCTTTATTGAACTGTTGCAACAGGGTGCTCCCCTCACATGCAGGAGGATGGAGGAGGACCCAGAACCAAGGTGTGCCTGCCCTTATATACTGTAGACATTTTAAATTCCCTGCCCTAGAACACCCCTTCATACATCATACATACATCACAGAAGGGGTGTAACCCAAGACCACCCCCCACAAACATCATACCTACATCACAGAAAAGGTGGGCTACAACAGAAATTTGAATGTTGTTGTTTTTCCTGTTTGCCAGGTTATCTGATAATGCCTTATCTGATTGCCTTTCCTGGTAGTCTGCCCATTGCTTTGAAATGGTGATTACCCAATTCCTGTAACAGGGAAGGTTTTTTCACCTCCTCCCTCCTTGCAGAGAAACATTTGGTGAGCCTGGGAGTCAAAATGGTTTCAGGACTGTCTTCCTGTGCTGCTTCAGACATGTGGTTTATATATTTATGTACGTGTTTGCATGGTACATTTATGAACATTTATTATATATCTAAGACCTTAAAATTGTTATAACACAGTGAATATCAGTTGATGTTGCAACTAGTCCCTGTGACAAAGCCTCTTGTGACTCAAAGACTTCTTTTGTGGCCCAAATTCTCCAGGATTCTTTTGCCTCTGAAACCAAGCAAGACCCAGCCTTGCTATGTTTGTGACATATGTCAAAAGTTTCTTTCTTCTCTCAAGACTCTTCACATTAGTGCCCCATTTTATTTCCACCGTTTCGAAGGTCTTATTGGACTTTTTTAAAAAATACTTTCTTATATCTGCCCTGTGTTTTGTAGCCTATTTTTGCACATTATTTGGATATTCTCTGAATGTAAAGCAGTTTAGGAACCACAAAACAGAAACTCAGAAAGAGAGAGAACACACACAGTTGCAATTGAAATTAGTCAACCCCCGTTGCAAATCAGGTTTATTATCAAAATTTACAGACTTTCGGCTGGAAATGCAACTTATACTGACTTTTATTTGATTTGCTCATTGCAAACAGCTGAAAGTTTGTAAATTTTTGATAATAAACCCGATTTGCAATGGGGATTGAATAATTTTGATTGCAGCTGTAGATAACATTGGTAGCTAGACAAAAAAGGCCAGTGTTCTAAATTATCATTGCCTATAGTAGCTTCCGCCAGCCTGGTGCCCTTCAGAAGTTGTTGTACTCCAAAAATCCCAACTCTGGAAAGCACCGGCTTGGAGCGGGCCCATTTTCATAGCAGTTCTCCCCGTTCAGGAAACTCAAAGAAAATAAAGGAATATTCAAGACAGTGTGACTCTGGTTTTTACAAATTTATTTATACATAAAAACATAAAATCAAGTCTACATTGGTCACCAGAAATAACATGTAAAAATAAATAAATAAATAAATAACCACCAAGAGCTCAATGGAAGGGGGGGGGAGAAAAGACAGTGATAATATTAATATGTACAGCCTGAAATCTGGCTTCACCCAGGTGAGCCTGGGATGCGCCAGGGAGGCAACATGCTGGCAATGCGGACTATCAGTTTCAAACACGGCATTGGTGCAAAGGCATCAGTCATTAGGGGGTGTTCACATATCACATTCAGTGGGTTTGCCGTCTGGGCACCTGTGTACAGAAATAGTTGGGCCGTACACTCATACGGTTATTCACATGTAACAATCAATGAATGCAGTGGCGTAGCGTTGCTTGCTAGTGCCCGGGGCAAGGTGCAAAAGGGTGTTGTGCCGCAGTTTACCCATAGCATGCCCACAGGAACCTCCGCAGGTCTGGCCCAGGAGCCAGCATGCTTCCGGCCAAAGCTTGCGTGGCTGCTTCTATGTCCACACTGGGCGCTCCAGCGGCACCCTACTGTGCCTACAGCTGCCTGCTCCTGTACGGGGGCCTTGTCTGGGGGCTCTGCGGTGGCCCCGGGGCAGGAGGGAGCTGAGGGGGCTGCCTGGCGCAGCAGCAACCCAGCGTGACCAGCAGCGGCAGGAGCCATGGTGCAAGAAAAGTGTGTCATGCCATCCCTAGGCGCTGAAAGGGATGGGCAGCGAGAGGGGGCTTTGCCCCTGCAGGGGAAGGCCTGCCCGGCTGCCCGCTCTCCACTCGAAGCCTGTCCGGCTGCTCAGGCAACATGCACACTGCACATTACCGGGCCAGAAAAGGGAGCCACCTCCCTGCCAGTCATCTTCAGGACTGTTGCGGCTCAGTTGTGCCCTCCTGAATGTGCACCCGGGGTGGTGGCCCCTGCTGCCCCCCCGCCACGTTACACCTCTGAATACGTGAACAGCCTGTGCACCTGTGCACACCAGTAGCTGAGCTGTACAAATAAACACGTGCACACTCTTTCACACAAACACTTGTACAAGTGTAGGGGCAGCCGGTACCTGTGTTCAGCGTAACATGGGAACAAGCCCATTGTCACATTAGACTGGGTGTATGTGTGTGTGCATGGCTGGTGAGACTTGGGGTTCTCTGTACCCCCTTAATGCTTCATGGGATTGATACAAAGTCTTACATTTCCAGGATCGCTAATGTAAATTATTTACTTTTCTTGTAGCACGCTGATATAGGCCACATCCACATCCACACCATACATTTAAAGCTCTACGATACTACTTTAAACAGGCATGGCTTCCCCCAAAGAATTCTGGGAGCTGTAGTTTGTTAAGGGTGCTGAGAGTTGTTTGGAAGCCCATATTCCCCTCCCAGAACTACAATTCCCAGAGTGGTTTAACAACCAATCCCTCTTCACAGGGAACAATGGGAATTGGAGCTCTGTGAGGAGAAAAGGGGTCTCCTAATAACTTTGAGCGCTCTTTAACAAACAACACTTCCCATAATTGTTTGGCAGGATCCTCGACTGTTTGAAGTGGCAATGAAACCATTTTAAATACATGTCAACGTGGCTGTAGACAAAAGGGAGATGAAGGAGAAATCTGTTTCAGTTTGCGTTATACTAGGGGCTGCCTCTGAAGACGGGATGGAAACTTTGGCTGGTGCAGGCTGCTCACTGGGGCAAGACAGTTTGAGCATTTTACACCGATCCTGGCCCGACTGCACTGGCTGCCAATGAATTTCTGGGATCAGTTCAAAGTGCTGGTTTTGACCTCTAAAGCCTTAAATAGCTCAGGACCAAAATAACTTCCCATATGAACCAAGCCAGACCCTGTGATTGTCTGAGATCCTTCTTTGTGTGATCCTTCTTTGTGTGCTCGCTTCATGAGGGCCCCGGAGAGTGGCAACACAGGAATAGGCCTTTTTTGTGGTGGCTCCCCACCTTCATGACATATCTTCAGATGCCAGGAGAAAATGTTTCTCTATAACCCAGGCCTCTGACTGATTAAACACTCTATGGTCTGATAAATGTATTTGTGGAAGGGAGCTATTGGTTTGTTTTTGTTGTATGATATATTTTGTGTTCTCATTTTGTATTTTCATGTTGTGAACCGCCCTGTGATCTTTGGATGAAGGGCAGTATACCAATTTGACAAATAAGAGCAATAGTTTAATGTATTGTATTGTATTGGGTTTTTTTTTAGTGTTTAAATTTTTTGGAAAAGTAATAAATATTATTTTTGTAAAAAAAAAATAAGAGCAATAAAAATAATAATTCAATGGAAACCCACCTTATTCCCAGTTCCTGAAATATGATACAAACAAAAACACGGTTAACTTTCAAGTTCACACATCTCTAATTCCCCCACCTGCAAAAACCACAAGCCCAAAAATGTGTACAAAAATGCATACATTATTGGAAAGTGTGGAGTGAAATGCATACATTGGTGAAAATAACATATAAAAATGCATCATACCAGGGGAAATGGCTTGCAAAAAATGTGCATGTATTGTTAGGTGACATGCACACTAAAATACAGATGAATTTTAGCAAGGACCAGTGTTTCGCAAACCTCTGCAGACATGTGGAGAACTGAAGGTATGACTGGGATAATGAGAAGCTGCAACTGAAAAAGACAGATTCATCCATCCCTAAGTCACAATCATAGCAATTTGAACAGCAACAGGAAGGACTCATAGCAAGCTTTGGCACTGCAGGGCTCCTGCTGAGACCCACACCCGTTAGGGGTCCATTGCTAATCCTCAGAGCTTCCTTGAACTCCTCCTTCTCCTCCTACCTGTTTCTTCCTGATCACCTGCCCTCTCCACGAGAGCAAGGGGCAAAATGAGCAAGGTGGACCAGTACCTTCCACAAACTTGACTCCTCTCGCCTCCTCTCAGAGCTGGTGCATATATGACACAGGAGAGGCGCATAAAATGAGCAGCAGAAACAGTGAGGAGGAAAGAGAGGTTAAAAAATATAGGCTTGAGCACTCAGCCCAAGGGCCCCTCAAAATCTGAAAAGGGCATAGATTTTTTTAAAAGGATGGATACCCCATCACAGCATACTTTTAATATATGCTTATGAAATATTGGTGCAGGGGGAATTCTAGTCCATATTAGAAGTAGTCTAGATGTGGCACGGACATCATTCTTCTTTATCACAGGACAGTTGTGTCTGGCTTGTAATGTGTATCAGAGCTGGTGAAGGACAAAATGGCTGCCCCACACCCAGAAAAACCACTGACTGGGCTAGCTGACTGCATGGAAGCTGACTTGAAAGCATAGTCACCAACTCTATGGCGCTGAGGACACCTCAGGAAAGTATGTGGGGATGGGGATGAGCTCCCCACTCACTCCTGAGGGGCCGGGCCTCCTTGGGGCAGGTCTTGCAGCTTCTTCCCAATGCACGTGACATCACACGCGTGCGTTGCACATGTGAAGTCACATGCATGTGACAAACCTCCCCCCTCCCCAAGTTAGGCGGAACTTGATGCCTTTGCTTGAAAGTGAGGCTTGGAGGACCACATTTGGCCCCGGGGCCCTCAAGTTCCCAACCTCTATTTGAGAGGTACGTCACACATTTATTCCCATTTTAGAGATGAGAGTAGGAAATAGTGCCTATACAAAAGCAATGCCACCACATGTGACTATAGCACCCAGTGCTACAGTCTCATTTGCCTAGAAAGTACTGCTCCTTACCTTCATTGGTAAAACGGGACTAATCATGGCGGCCTCTCAAATTTGTTAGGAGGACAAGCAGAGCAAGACAGCAATGCATCCCTCGAATGAAAAATGCTATGAAAATACTAGTGATGGTGGTTCTAGGTTCACACCCAGGGCAAGAACTTGCACACAAGATTTGAGGCTGTGCTTTACAGCTGGGAACGTGTGCTCCAGGTACAGATCGGCTCTTTATTAAGTGGGGATGGCTTTGGACTCACACATGTGCTAGAGCAACACTTGTAGAAGCAATAGGGCCAGTTTGCTGGACAGACCCCAGAGCTCAGCTGCACAGCGGCAGAAAGACAATGCCCAGATGGCCTATCCTGTGGTGTAGAAATACTGTACATGGATTGGCTGCATGTTGGCTAGCATTTCAGTCAGAGCCGTCTTGCCCATAGGGCTTAGTGGTGTGTTGCGCCAGGGCGCCGGCCTCTCAGGGGCGCCCCAGCGAGTGGGGGAGCTGCGCGGCTTTGCTGGCGGCCTCCCCTTTCCCTGCACGCCAGCCAGCTGCTTCCCTCCCAAGCCTCTGTGGGGATCGCTCTCCTCCCGAGGAGGCTTGGGAGGGGTGCTACTTCACTCCCAAACCTCTGTGGGGATCACTCTCCCGCAGCGGCATGGGGGAGACTTGCGCCCCCCTCAGATGGCTGGCAGTGTTCAGCTACGGCCACCCCAACACTATCTGTGGTAATTTGGGGGCGCTGGGCAGACATTTGCACCCCAGCGCCGCATCTGCTAAAGACGGCCCTGATTTCAGTAGTAAACCACCCAGTGGATTCAGATATAAATTGAACCCCGTGGAGAGGGACCTTCCTTGGGCGCAATCTGGGCTCAGCAGCAGGGATGTATAAGGGCTCGTTTTCATCTTAGGGCAGGGTGATGTAGTATATTGACCCAAATACAGCCTTCATACAATCCAGGGTGGGGAGTTTTTTGGGGGAGGGGGAGTGTGTGTGGTTATATTTGGGTCACTACAGTATTTTCTCAACAAATACCTGTGTGTTTATCAAGGCATTGCAGTTGTGGGAGGGTGGCACACTTTCAGTCTTGGAGTACAGCTGTGTGTGTGTGTGAAAAGCAATGCGGGGGCTGGGAGTTTGGGAAATATTTACACAGAAAGTTAGTGGGTGGAGAAAGGATTAAGTTCTCCCTGTCACGGGTCCTCTCTAGCATAATGTTTGTGAAATGTTTATGAACACAGGGTTGGGAGTCTGTATTGTCTCAAGACATCAGGAAAAGAGGAAGGCCATTGTGTTCAGCCTTCTAATTCAAGGCCTCGTACACTGCTAAAATGCAGAGCTCTAGAAATCACTTGCAAATTAAGGCCTGCTTCACACATTACAGGTTAAGCACATATGCAACGTGAGTGTGGAGGGACACCATGCTCAAATCCACATCTATTTTGTACCATATATGTGGCCAATGACAGCTTTCTGGCATCTCTCCCCACCTCTCATTCTTAAAATTACATGAAGCTCTTAGGTGCTAGTTTTAAAACCAGAAGGCTCTAATCCGTATTGAGGGGGATTTGAAAATGATCAGAGGTAAACTGGAGTCCAACAATTTTTTATAGACAGGAGAAAAGTAATTTCCTATGGACTCTTTGCAATTCTTAATGGCGTGAATCCTGATTTTGGAAAGCAAATAGGAACAGAAGGAATACAACAGACTGCGGCCTCATCCTTTAATAACAAGGAAGTGGGAAGAACTGGGGAGATGGCATAGCTGTGGACTTGTTCCCAGTCAGGATGTTTTCCTGCGAATGATCTTCAAGGCAGCTAGAAACCACCACCGGCTTTGCAAGGCTGTTTCTGCTAGTTACAGATGCTACAAAGAATGCTATAGTGACCAGCTGAAGTTCTAACTAAGCATTATTTGAAGATGTGTATAACTAAACCCTGATGGGTGATTTTCTTTACAAAAAGAAAAAGCAGCCAGGGTGGTAGAGGGAGAAGATAAACAATACAACCCTACACATGTCTACTCAGAAGTGATTTCCATTTGAATGGAGAAGTGGCAGAAAAGAGTGGATTCAAGTTGATTCGCTATTAAAAATTTCTGCAGCCTCTTTTCCTCTGCAGAGTTCCAAATACATGCTTGTTAAAAGTCAACATGGTTAGGGAGCAGATGAGGGCATGTTTGGAGCAGGGCATTTTAATAAATCATGGCTTTAAGTTGACCTGTTCAAAACAAATCATTGTGGAGATTAACAGTGGGTTCTCAGGTTTGGATAATGCACCAAGTTGTAGTCAATTAAAAACAGAAGGAAAAAAAGCCTTCCAATCTCCTTTCTAAGACTCAGTGTGTCTCATTCCCACCACAATAAACCATAGTTTACTGTGGCACCCAAACACAAAAAATGTCAACTCATAAAAACTCAAGGTCAGGGAAGGGAGCCCAATGTCTCAAAAGAAAATGGAAATCATGATCAAAGAAAGAAGGGTAAAAATATATTATAATAATAACCTGCTGCAAACTCCTGTCATTGTTTTTTGTGTTCTCCGATATGAAGACCACAACGACTAATTTACCTGGCCGCACAGTTAGGGTCATGTGTTTATTTTAAAGCACTAGTAGAGTTGCTGTCATTGCTGCTTTCAATATTACATAATCACCATTCAGATTTGAAATGCTCAAATCATCATCCTCATTGGCAGTGAGACTGTGGGAATGAATGTGTTCTCAAGAAGACTTCAAAATATTTGTACACAATCAGCTCAAACCACTGGTGCGGATGGGGGACAAGGAAGGGAACTGGTGAGATCCAATTCTTTTGCATGACAAATTATTGCTCTCTTTTGGAAGTTTCTGCTTGTAGATGCGGTGGAGCATGGAAGCAGACAAACAAGGCTTCTTTAAGCCACCTGCTAAGTTTCCTAAACTGTCGGTGCGGCCAAAGATCTTAATGTGCTGTGACCAAAAGCTAGGGGAGCAAGGGGTAACGGGAAATATGTGAAGGGAACACCCGCTGCCTCTTTTATAGTTAATCCCTCATTCCATTACTTATGGAAGGAAAATACTACAGGCACTACACTTTTAGAAAAAAAATAAAATTGCACCAGGTGATCCAAACACAGGCCACCTCCACACTCAGTATTCTGCAGGAGCACAACTGAAATTTAGGATTGCACAATTAAAGTTGATTAAAGCACTCAGTCGCCCGAGTGTAACACATCTACTTAAACACCCACCCACCTCCCCAAACTGACTTTTTGTAGTTGGGAAAGTGATGGGGAGATGCACTGGCAAATGTGGGATGAACAAACAATTATTACCACCAAATCAGGATGAATTAAGGACCAGTGCTAATCGTTGTATAATCTCCTGGCAAAGAAATCAGAATGAATGTTCGAATGAAGACCAGACATAGCCTAACTTCTGTTTAGGCACAAATCATGACGGGATGCTCAATAAACAGGTCATCTGGAGCAGCTGAGCTAAGCCTTTGGGGCAAATGCAAAATTGTACCGGAGGTGTTGTGCCCTCTCACAAAAGATGCCTTTGAGGCTTAAATAGGAAAACAGGCTCCCAGTTTAATGATGTCTGCCAACAGCTGGTCCCCTGCCCTTAGGTGAGGTAGATGGAGGGGAGGAGAAAGACAGCAGGCAGGCACTGTGGAAAGTTGATCGGATCAGCAGGATATGGCAAGCAGGCTACACCAAGCCCCTCCCACTCAGAGGTTATTAACCCCATGGGGTCACTGGTGGTTCACCAGGGAGCAGGCTGGTTTTGAGACTGCAATTAACAATGCAAATTCTGCTAATCAGAAACATATGTGCATAAACCCAATTAGCTGGCTGGGAGGCAGGCAGAGAAGAGGGGACGGTAACACGGTCAGGGCTTCGTGTTCACAAGCCCAAGAGTGATTCTTTTAATCACCACAGCAAGCTGAGAGTGATCTGCGGAGGTTTTCCCCACAGAGGAGGAATGGAGGAAGCAAAAGACTCTCCACTTCTATCTCAAGCCGGACTGACATCCTTTCTATTCCTCCAGAAAGTCGGATGAGGTGGAACATACCATGCAGGGCTGCCACCCTGCAAGAAGTTTGCTGTACGTTTCACAGCAGCAACTAGGGATGGAGGTGGAATTCAATTTAGTTCACATTTAAAAGGTAGCCTACCTAGTTTGCGCTTTTATAAAAGAATAGGTGAACTGAGATACAGTCTGCCCTGTGTCGCCCTGGCAACCGGCAGGCTCTTTCCGCAGCCAGTGGGGCAGAAGCAGGTTCTCTGCTAGCTTGTAGTTGGTTGGTTTGGGGCTCTCTTGGGACGAGCTCCATACAAAGGCAGAGAACTTACAAGCGCCTGTCTGGAACAGGTGCTGCTTTGGATTGTTAACTGATCAATTCTTTTGCCCCTGAGAAGAAGAGAGTTTTAAACCTTTTGATCCAACTGTTTGTGTTCCAGAATTACTACTTTAAGAACTCCACTTTGCTGTACCAGTCTGGCCTAGTCCTTCCTCCGTCCTATTCCATCTGCATTTCACAGCTCCTGGGGTGTCTCAATAAAGGAAGGGGGTGGTTTCCTGTGGGTTCAAAATACCCTTTGAAGGTCACACCTGCACCCTTCATTTAAAGCTGCATTATCCCATTTTAAGCAAGCATAGCTTCTTCCAAAGAATCATGGAAACTTTAGTATGTTATGGGTCATCAGAGTTGTTAGGAGACGCCCTACTCCCCTCAAAGAGTTATAATTACGGGAGTTCACCAGGAAGAAGGGTTGATTGTTAAATCACTCTTGAGAACAGTAGCTCTGCAGGGGGAATAGGAGTCCCTTAATAACTCTCAGCACCCTTAACTACAGCTTCCAAGATTCTCTGGGGAGAACCATGACTGTTTAAAAGGCGTAATACTGTTAGAAATAGTGCAGATTGAACCCTATTGGCAAAACAGAGGACAGGTAATGCGGACAGTAAACACGAGATATTTGCCAAAAACAAGCCTTCCCAAAAGCTCCATAAAAATATTCACATTTTCAATAACTGAATATAAACATTCCCATTCAACACACACACCATTTCGGTTCCCACTCCCCCATTAAATAAAAACAGACCTCTCTCCCAGCTTTTACCTGCTCATGGAAGAGGCAATGCCAAGCAATGACAAGGAAGATCTGGTGGCTGATTTGCCAGTTTATGGCTTCTAGTAGCCTAGAACACTAGCCCATTACTTTGGACAGGAGAAGTATGCTGGAGAAAGAGGGTTCTCCACAGGCAACCAGTGGAACAGGGTTGTTCTCTTCCAGATGAGAAAACACATAAATGCCTTACATTCCATCTGATCCCCAAGTATCTCAGAATCCTATTGCTATCCTCTCTGAGGAAAAGGACAAGATATATTCTTGTCTCTGTATTCCATGTATAGAAGCTGATTGGGCAGGCAACTGAATTTTGCTTCAACTATGGTGTCTTCCACCACACCTGAGGGCAACAGGGCACCTTAGGAGCTGCAGGGCAGGCTGCCTGGCACACACAGCTCTCCACCACTCCTGGCCCCCCCAGCATCTGCAACCTGAGGCAGATCCCTCACATTGCCTAATAGTAGGGCCGGCCCTGACCACTTACGTATCCCTGGTCAATAAGAATTTGCAGGATATTCTTGACAACCTGTGATGATGGACTCTAACAAAGGAACAAGTGGCCAAATCCTGCACTTTCCCCCTAAAAATGTCTTCTCACATGGCAACAGAGAGGCTCGTGGAGCATGAACAGGCCTCATCCCATAGTTTAGTGGCTGCAGGAGAGCTATAATGGCATTTGCTATGGCTGGCACTCCAGTAGCCCTTGGGAACTGATATCTGGGTCATGGGCAAGAAGCAGCCACCTGTGGTAATTGGCATGGAGATTATTGCATATTCTCCACTGAAAGCAGCTGCTGCTTTGATTCTATCCTGACAAAATGGTCGACTGGTAACGCCCCCCACTTCCCTTTTTATTTCTCACTGGGATGCTCGAGTCAGGATAGCGCTACCAGAAGGATGCATTGGGCATGACAGGGTTGGGGTTGGTGCCTCACACCATTAACATGTGGCAGGACAACAGCTGGCGATCCATTTTGGCCAGGCAAAGGACCTCAACCAAGAAAACAGGTGGTTCTCCTGGACTGTACACACACAATCTCCTCCCCCCAGTTGAAAGACGCATCTCCTCTCCAGAGCGGGCAAGACGATGCAGAACCCTTCAGATTTCAGTGGCAATGATGTCCTCATAAGGGACATCAGTTCCATGGAGGTCAAGGTCTAAAGGCTCTTTGCCATCCTCCCCTGCAGCCAGCTGCTGGAGCATCTTCTCCAGGTTCTGGTTCCGTTTGTACATGTGCAGGTAGCTCTGCTGCAGCTGCTTCTGGTAGTGGATCACTTTCTCTTTCTCCTCCTTCCAGGTCTGCCGCTCCTGTTGGAAGCCGGCCGTCATCTGCTGGTTGCTATCCTGAGCCTCTCCCAGCTCGGCCTTCAGCTTCTCCACTTCCCGCCATAGGGCTTGCGCTTCCTCCGTCATGCTCCCCTCCAGGCCCGCGGAGGCTGCCCCACACTTCATCTGCTCCCTGAGGATGGTGAGTTCCGTCCGCAGCTCTGCGATCTCCTGCTCCAGCAGGTTCACCTTCTCCCTCAGGAGCTCCGACTCGTTCTTCTTGCGCTGGAGCTCGTTCTCGCACACCTCCAGCTCCATAGCCTTGGCGCGCAGGGAATCTTCCAGGTCCTGAATTTTCATATCTAGCAATTCCATCTTTGCCCGGATGTCCTTCAGCTGAGCTTTCAGGTTGAGGACCTCGTTGGTCTTGCTGTTGAGCTCTGTCTGGGATTCCTTCAGCTGCTGCTTCAGGAGAGAGATTTCACCAGACTTCTGACACACCTGGAGGGAAATACGACAACAACAGCCAGGGTGTCATACAGGAATCAGCCTTCCTGAGGCCAAAGCTATGGTACAACTAAGTTTAGTGTGGACAAGCAGTGATTATGGTATACATGAGAATAGATTAGACCAGGGTGGGGAACTTCAGGTCCAGAGGCCAAAGGCAGCCCTCCTGGCCTCTCAAGCTGGATATAAGATCTCTCTCAAGCCACACCCCCTCTCCCCAGACCTCACCCCTTCCTGGCCTTGCTTCACATCCAGAGTGTTTTTGCCTGTCTGAAATATATCCTTGAATTCAGATAACGCCTTTTGCTTGCTTGGCTGGAGGATAGAGAAGAGTATGTGTATAAACGAGCCTACTGAAAAAGGGTAAATTCTAGTTGTTCTCCCCAATTTTGCCTCCTGTGGCCCCTGGAAAGTTGGGTTGTAATCATGGGAGAAGGTCTGTAGAGCCTCCTGGGAGACGAAATCCATTTAGCACCCACTGTGTCAAGTGTTTGCTGCTAGCCTATTTGTTTAGGCCAGCGGTTCTCAACCTGTGGGTCCCCAGATGTTGTTGGACTACAATTCCCATCATCCTTGACCACTGGTCATGCTGGCTAGGAATGATGGGAGTTGTAGTCCAACAATATCTGGGGACCCACAGGTTGAGAAACACTGGTTTGGCAGACATTTCATCATGGCTACCTGCTTTCTGAACTATTGCATGGTTTCCTGAAGCCTCTAGTGTTTTTATTTCTTTTTTACTGTTGAGTTTCTGATTGATTGTTTTAGGCTTATTCACATCCCACCTTTTTTCTCCAAGGGGCGCATGGTTCATCCTACTCCCCAGTTAATCCCTACAATGACCCCGCAAAGTTGGCTAAGAGGTTGTGACTTCATGACTGAGTGGGGATTTGAACCCTGAACTCCCAGATCCTAGCCTGACACTCTAACCTCTACACCACACTGGCCTCCTAGAGTCTTTCTGCTATGGGGCAGCTCTAGAAATTAAGCAGGTAAACAAATGTGGGGAAAACGAAATGTCACTTAGAGAAGGATCTGAACTATTTTCCTGGAAGCTTGAATTTGTTTTATTCTGGATTGCTTTATCTGATATTTTAATGTATTGTGAACAGCTTTATTATTATTATTATTATTATTATTATTATTATTACCCCACCCATCTGGCTGGGTTTCCCCAGCCACTCTGGGTGGCTTCTAACAAAAGATTAAAAATACATTAAAACATCAGTCATTAAAAACTTCCCTAAACAGAGCTGCCTTCAGATAATAATAATAATAATAATAATAATAATAATAAAAGGGGGCGCATAAAGATGTTAAAAAGCATCGGGGAGAGTATCGCACCCTGAGGCACTCCACACACCAAGGAGTGGCGCGATGACAATTCCCCCCCAAGTGCCACCCTCTGTCCCCGACCGGAGAGAAACGAGCGCAGCCATTGAAGGACTGTGCCCTGGATCCCCACGTCGTCAAGACGGTGGTCCAGGAGTTCGTGATCGACCATGTCGAAGGCTGCTGACAGGTCTAGAAGAATCAGCAGCCCCGACCCGCTTCGATCCAGCTGCCTGCGGAGATCATCTGTTAGGGTGACCAGAGCCGTCTCGGTCCCATGACCAGCGCGGAAGCCGGACTGGAATGGATCCAGAGCCGATGTTTCATCCAGAAATCTACCAAGCTGTTCAGCAACCGCTCTCTCAATCACCTTACCCAGGAATGGAAGATTCGAAACCGGGCGGTAATTGGATAGATCTAAGGGATCTAATGATGTTTTCTTTAAAAGCGGGCGCACCACTGCCTCCTTCAGTTCCCCTGGGAATGTCCCGGTGCCAAGGGACAAATTGATGATATCCCCCAGGGGGGCCCGCACCTCGTCTGGACACGCTCTAATCAGCCAGGACGGGCACGGTTCGAGAGGACAAGTGGTGGGCTTTCCAGCTCAGAGGAGTCTGTCCACATCGGCTGGGGATATCCGGTCAAAGTGGTCCAATACTGGACCCGAGGACAGTCGAGGGGCCTCCAGTTCCTTTATTGTATCCAAATTGGCAGGGAGGTCATGGCGGAGCAAAAGGACCTTCTCCGCAAAAAAGCTCGCAAATGCCTCACAGCTGTGTGTAAATAATTGCGCCGGGCGAGAGCTAGCGGATGCAATGGAGGCCGAGAAGTAGGACTTCTTAGCGGCCTTCACTGCCATCTCGTAGATTTTCATAAAAGCCCTATAAGATGTTCTTGAGGCTCCGTCATGGGCACCCCGCCATACTCGCTCTAGCCGTCTGAGGTCCCACTTCATTTTCCGGAGCTCCTCGGTAAACCAGGGAGCCCGGTTTCTGCGGGGTCGCAGAGGGCGCTTAGGTGCGATCTCATTGATGGCTGCCAGGAGCTGGGTATTCCAGCCCTCAACAAGCTCAGTCAATGAGTCGCCAGGGGGAGCAAGGTCCCGCAAGGCTTGACGGAATCTATCAGGCTCCATCAGCCTCTGCGGGCGAGCCCAAATTGGCTCGCCACCTAAGCAGGGTGGGGGTGGAACGTCAATCCTGGCTTTCAGAGCGTAGTGATCAGACCATGGCACCTTCATCGAAGGAAACATGATCACATCTATACCGATGCCAAAGATCAAATCCAGCGTGTGGCCTGCTTGATGTGTGGGGCCCGAAACAAACTGGGAGAGCCCTAGTGTCGCCATGGAAGACACCAGGTCCAGAGCCTGTGAGGAGGGAGTGGCATCAGCATGGATGTTGAAGTCCCCCAATATCAATAGGTTAGGGAACTCCAAGGCCCAGCCGGCCACCGCCTCCAGCAGGCCAGACAGGGTGGCTGCTGGTGCGCTAGGTGGCCGGTACACCAGCCAGACAGCCAAGCTCACCTCGGAGCCCCACACTAGGCCAACACATTAAATGCCGGGGATCAATGGCGATGGTAGAGCCCTGAAAGAACAATCTTCCCGGATTAATAATACCACCCCTCCCCCCCGGCCCACAGTCCGCGACTGGTGGAGGACGGAGAAACCCGGGGGCGCCATCTCTCGTAAGATGTCTTCTAAATGTCATATAGTTGTTTATTTCCTTGGCATCTGATGGGAGGGCGTTCCACAGGGTGGGCACCACTACTGAGAAGGCCCTCTGCCTGTTTCTCCATAACCTCATTTCTCGCAGTGAGGGAACCGCCAGAAGGCCCTCAGAGCTGGACCTCAGTGTCCGCACTGAACAATGGGGGTGGAGACACTCCTTCAGGTATACTGGGCCAAGGCCGTTTAGGGCTTTAAAGGTCAGGACCAACTCTTTGAATTGTGCTCGGAAACGTATATAAAGCGTTGTAGAAATGAAATGAAGAAGAGCAAATTTCATTGGAGAAAAAAGGTGCCTAGACACACTCTTGTGGCGACCGTAACCAAGGTTTAAGGTGCCATTCGGCGATTACCTTATGTACCTGAGTTTCTAATGCTGCTTGTAAGCCTAGGTGAGGGAAGGAGAGAGGTTTGTGTGAATGGGTGTAGAAACTAGTCTCCTGAGCACAAGTAAAATTCACATTTGTTGCTCCGCCTACTTTTTCCTCAGGCCCCGCCCACCATCGCCCTGCTGGGAGGTTGCCCAGAAGGAAATGTGACCCTTGCAGTTGAGTAAGGCTTCCTGCCCTGACTTAGCACCTAACTGCCTAATGGTAGGGCCGGCCCTCACCAGTGTGTATCTAACTGAACTCGATGCTGTGAGGCAGGCTAGGCTGACAGACTCCGTTTCGAAAAAGCACCAAGCTTTTTAATATGATTTCGAGCAGCGGAAAATGGATAAATGAGGCACTTTCCCAGTCTACTTAATCCGCCCCCCCTCTAAAGGGGCAGCTGAAGTCAGGGCTGCATAGTTCTTTCTATGGTTAACATTTCAACAGTGGTGCACAGTAGCTTTCTGTGGTATGGTTTTTTCTTTTTTGAAATCCCCTTTTTATTCTGGGAATATCATCTGGAGATGATTCAGCCAACAGAATCAGTAAAATTGGGGTAGAAGGATACAAACAATACAAGTAAAATCGCACCGACGCAGAAAACCCACATTTTAATTCTATTAGCTGTTTATTCCGTTTCCAAATAAAACTCAAATATTCTTTGGATTTTAAACTCTCCTGGTAAAAGGCAGTCAATAATTGGAATAGCCAATACAGAATGCTGTCCTGTCTAGACCTTTTAAGATGGTGACGTGGGGTGTGTGGAATCGTCAAAATGCTACAGCATTTGTTTATTACATTTTGATGCCACCCTTCTGTCAGAGAACTCAGGACTACATCTGCAGTGCCTTTCTCTTTGTGAAGTGCTCTGAGGTAGGTTGGGCTAAGAGACAACTACTGACCCAAGGCCTCCCTCCCAGTTGAAGCCTAACCCTCTAAAAGCATTGCATTTTCATTCCTCCAAGCCCTGCATTCTCCAAAGCACTGAGCACTTCTAAGCCCTGCATTCTCAATTCAACAAAAGCATCTTAAGAGACCTGAAATTTAACTTTAGATTGGGGTTTTTCAGCCCAAGGGCCATATTCCCTTCTTGGGGGGCTGCATAGCAAATGTGGGAAAAGTAGATGAAGCATAAATTATTGTACAGTGAATCAAAAGTTGGAGGTTTCTAAAGAAAAGTGTGCTTTTAGATGTGTTGTGCACCCACCGACAACAGCTCTCCATCTGTCTTCCAGGCAAGGAAGAGATATTATCCCAATACACAGGCATATTCCAGCCAGGCAAAAGCCTGAGGGCCAAATAGAGGAGACTGGAAGGCTGCAGCCCCAGGCCTGAGGTCCCTCGCCCATTTCAGATCTTTGCCATTTACAGCTCTCACCTTGGGAAATTTGCATGACTGCACAAAATGTATTTGGGTAACTTAACTTGGATGCAGCAATCCTAACATTAACCCCAAGTAGGGTGACTACTTAAGAACAAAGTGATCTTTAAGGAAAAGGCCTCCTAAACTGATATGATGTGTTCGGTTTCATTATGTGGGAATAGCAGGCAGTTCTCCGGTTCTTTTTCAGAAAGCAAAGACAGTTAATCCTGCATATGTTTCATGTTCATGCATTATAACATGAAGGCAAAATGCAGTTGCTTCGTTCATTTCAACGTGGCCTGAATATGACTTCTTGAGGTATGTCATGGATTTGTAGAGCATGAAGTTACGTTAATTAATTCAACCCCTCCTTAAAATCAACCTTTTTTGGTGAAACCTTTAGCACAACTGCCTTGTTCTCTGTCTTGCTATAACTCAGCCTAAGCATGTGTAAGGGGCACTGCCACATGTTGCTTCTCTGTTAACCTCTGCCTCTGTTTCTCTCCTCTTCTAGGTTGAAGTTTGTAAGCTCCTGGGGGCAGGGACCTTCCCTCTCGAACTCTGTGAAGCACCGTGCAGAGTGATGGTGCTAAACAACTAGCTCTTCGTTGAATTATGAACCTCTAGTGCTCTCCCGATTTTTGTTCCAATGCAATTAAATGACTGTATAAACATAGAAATATTTCATTCCAAAAAAGTACTGTATTTTTTGCTCTATAAGACTCACTTTTTCCCTCCTAAAAAGTAAGGGGAAATGTGTGTGCGTCTTATGGAGCGAATGCAGGCTGCGCAGCTATCCCAGAAGCCAGAACAGCAAGAGGGATTGCTGCTTTCAATGCGCAGCGATCCCTCTTGCTGTTCTGGCTTCTGAGATTCAGAATAATTTTTTTCTTGTTTTCCTCCTCCAAAAACTAGGTGCGTCTTGTGGTCTGGTGCGTCTTATAGAGCGAAAAATACGGTAACCAGCAAACTTTCAGCACACCCACTGAAGTTAATGGACCCAAGTTAGTCATGTCCATAAATTTCAGGGAGTCAACCGTGACTCCTGTTGGTTTCAACCCAGTGAAAGTGATGGTGATGATGATAATGAATATTACATCAACGAAAGAACTGACAATGTTTCCTACGATTCTTTTTATGACTGTGACATACCAAAGGGTGTAGCTGCCTAACAGGAAGAGGTCCTTTCATTGGCTCAGGCCAGCCCATTTAGATGAAACTTATGCGAGCACCATTTTGGTACGTACATGTCAGGGGACTGCCATCGGAACAGGGAAGGGAGGCAGAGGGGCCGTTGGCATACAGGGAGCTTCTGAAAATCTTGCGAAGCAGTTCCTCTTCCTGCAATGGGGAAAGCCACACCTCCGGGGTAAAGGAGGGGAAGGGGCTAGAGGATGCTGCGGGGAGCCTCAGCACCGCCCCTGGTCAAGCCGGCCAGGAGGGAAACACGCCTCATCCGTCACCCACCTTGTGCAGAGGAGTAAAACGCAAAGAAGGAAGGAAACGGCTGGGGGTGACTAAGTTCTTATGTTGGGGGAGGACCCGGAAAGAGCCACTCCCGGATTCTGCTAGCAGTTTAGGCAGACATGAACTGATGGTTCTGCACTGTAAATAGTGTTTGCACCAAAATAAAACCTGTTAAAGACAGGTTGGAGTCCTGCCTGGTTACTCACGAGCAACCACCACTGACACCTGACAGTACACTTGCCTGACTTGTGGTGGCAACACATCCTTTAGTCCCTCTGTGTACCCATGTACAACACATTCCCACCCCATCGCGGTGCAAGCTTTTCCCTATTAGGATGGAGCTGGGCCTCACCTCCCACTGAGTTTCCTCCAGCGCTGGGGCAAAGTTGGTCTTTTCCTTCTCATAGGACCTCAGCTTGGCCTCCAGGAGGTCCTGCTCCTTCATCAGGTTGGCCAGTTCCTCCCGGAGCTGCTGCTTCTCCTGCTGCAACTGGAACACTTGCAGCTGCAGCAGCTGCTGGGCCCTGTGGCTCTTCTGCGACGCCTGCTTGAGCCTGCTGTTGCATTTCTGCTTCAGCCCTTCCATCTCGTCCCTGCAGCGCCTCTGCTTTTCCTCGTAGCTTTGGCAGGAGGTGATCTCCTTCTCCTCAAAGCTGCACTGCAGCTCCTGAAGCTCCCCCTCCCTCTCCAGAAGCTTCTGCTCCAGCTCCTGGATGGCCGACTCCTCCGTGGAGATGGGCGAGCGGACGCAGGAGTTCTTCTCGCCCGGGTGGGGAGCAGCAGACATTTTGCCAGGGTTCAGGATCTTGGTGCCCCCATCCGAGAAGGACAAGGCCTTCAGGCTCATCATGTTACTGTCCTGCAGGATGGCGCACTGAGTGATGTTCAGGGCAGAGCCCCCAAATCGGCTGATGGGTCCCACGGGAGCGACAAGGGGGTCCAACTGGTAGCTGCTGGCTGTACTGTGCGTGGGGAGGCTAGACATGGAGTTTCGTCCTGAGTCTGACAGTCCTCCGGAGCAGAGAGCAGGCTTAGCGTCCGGATCCTTGGCTTTCTCCTGTGATTGGAGCTTCTGGGGAACATGGTTGCCGTGCTCTGGAGAAGAGTGGAGGACTGTGCTGGAGCGAGGGAGAACAGGCTTGAAGGCTGTGGGCCTCGTAGCACTCTTGTCAGTGGCCTGTGGGGAAAAAGAAACTGGATAATTACTGGGACTGGCAAAGGTGACAGAGACAGCCAAACCAAAAGTTCAAAAAGGATGGGGAAATTTATAAAGTGCCCTCAAGTTAAAAGCTGGACATGCTTTGATTAATTTTCACAAACCACAATATGGATTATAAGTATAGTATTCAGATAACAGAAGAAAGGGCAAAATGATTAAAGAAGCAGTTTATTAAACAGATAAGACAGACCTGCTTTGAGGAAGACAAAAGCCTATTGGGGAAGATAAGGAATTGGGAATTAAGAATAATGTGGCAAAGTTCTTTTGAAAGAACGTATGGCTTTATGGATGTATGTTTTTATTATTTTATCATTTTTGTTAATTTATTGTGTGTGTGTGTAAGAAAACTAATAAAAAGCATATTAAAATTTTTTACTGGGGGTACAGGAGTTTCCAACACTTGGTCCTTTTTCACCTATGCCAGAGAAAAGGCGTCACGGGGGGACGGGGATGGGACAACCACCTTAAAACTATTTGCTCAATGGAGGTCTGATTTGGCATGTTTATTTGACATATTTAGCAAGGAAAACTTTTCAAAAGAATATACCGCGTTGGTTTTCTCTCTCTTCTTTGTATCTGAAATATTTTCCTTCTTTTTTGTTTCCTTTTTATTTTTTCCACTTTCCTTTGTTTTACTGAAACATTTCCAATGAAATATGAGAATCAAGAGGAAAAGAACTATTTTTCTAATAGCTCAAAGAAGTTAAACCGAAATATTTAGTAGTGGAGAATTCGATAAAATGTGCACAGTATGACACTACTGATTGCTTTTAATCAGGAGTGCAAAATAGTTTTCAGATCAAGGTCCACATTCCTTTCTGGGCAATGATCCAAGGGCCACGTGCCAGTAGTGGGTGAAATTTTGCCTTTGTGTACTAGACTAGTCTCTACCGGCACTCGCACCCACCTCTCTGTTCTCCATCCAGGCAAGATAGAAGCATTATCAGAGTTCAAGAGCATGTCCTACATAGGCCAAAACATGGGGGGGGGGGTAAAGCAGACCCATTGAGGTGCATGACCTGAGAAGAATTCCAAGGGCGTGGAAGGGCTCTTAGACCTGTGGTTTCTCAGCCCTCTTTGAATGCTACATGCTACATTCAAACAACTGCAACGCTCTACTTGGGAACTGTAATAATCTGAATTCTTGTAAATAAATACAGTGGTACCTCTGGTTGCGAACGGGATCCGTTCTGGAGGCCCGTTCGCAACATGAAAAGCGCACAACCCGCAGCAGCGCGTCCGCGCACGGGCGGGTTGCAATTCGCAACTTCTGCGCATGTGTGTGACGTCATTTTGCGCTTCTGCGCGAGCGGCAAAACCCGGAAGTAACCCTTTCCAGTACTTCCGGGTTGCCGCGGGACGTAAAGTGAAAGAACGTAACATGAAGAGGATGTAACATGAGGCATGACTGTAAAGGCATGACAACCCCACAGCGTGCACTTCCCTTCCACTGTACAGATCTTAAGGGAAACACTAAAGGCACAGCAGGGATGTGGGTGGTGCTGTGGGTTAAACCACAGAGCCTAGGACTTGCCAGTCAGAAGGTCGGCGGTTCGAATCCCCGCGCCGGGGCGAGCTCCCATTGCTCGGTCCCTGCTCCTGCCAACCTAGCAGTTCGAAAGCACGTTAAAGTGCAAGTAGATAAATAGGTACTGCTCTGGCGGGAAGGCAAACGGCGTTTCCATGCGCTGCTCTGATGCGCCAGAAGCAGCTCAGTCATGCTGGCCACATGACCCAGAAGCTGTAAGCGGCTCCCTCGGCCAATAAAGCGAGATGAGCGCCGCAACCCCAGAGTTGGCCACAACTGGACCTAATGGTCAGGGGTCCCCATTACCTTTTAAAGACACAGGGTTAGCTGGAGGAGGGGCTCAATCTGGCTGTCTTCTCCCCGGAAGGGAGTCGCAAGGCTGGCCAGGAATGGCTGTGAGCTGCCCTGCCTGCTGCTGGTGTTGTTGTTGTGGGCACCAGGGATCTGCGAGCGGATCCAGTCCTCAGTTGCAGGATGAAAGACAGTGGAGGGGCAAGGAGAGGGGGAGCTACAAAAGAGCAGCCAATAAAAAGGAAGAGGAAGAGGAGAGGAGTAAGAGAAGAGATGTGGAGTGTACGGGAAGGGGTGAGAAAGCTAGTCCCTCAGCAAAAGGCAGAATGGAGGTGGTGAAGGCAAAGGATGCAGTTTTTGGCAGTAATGCTTGTGAATATCAGTTGCTGGAAGCTACAGGAGGGCTCAGATCCTGCTTACACATTTCCTACGGGCATCTGGTGGGCTGCTGTGAGAACAGGATGCTGGACCAGATAAGCCACTGGCCTAAGTTCTTACAACAGTGTGGTAAGGAATGAGCCAATACGGAAAGCCTCAAAGATGCAATACAAAGGAGAGAGGGCAATACAGAGGAAGGAAAGAGTGCAGGCATGGGGATCGGAGGGGGTGGTGCTTTAAGAGAGAAGAACAAGAGAAAATAGCTCGAGTCCTGCTGGATCTGGCCAAAGGCCCACCTAGTCCAACATCTTGTTCTTACAGCGGCCAACCAGCTGCCTTTGGGAAAACCAAAAGCAGGACCTGAGGGCAACAGGGCTCTGCTAACTTGCAGTTTCCACCAATTCCTAGCATTCTAAGAGAAGAGGCAGAACATAGCTGACTGCAGGCATCGGCACAGAAACCAGCAGGCATGGCGGGACACCATGTCAGTTGATTAAATCTTCCGTTTGGTGGTGGTGGTTTTTAAAAACAGATTTAAGGTACACAAGGTCAACAGTTTGCTGAAACTAAGCAGGTCTGGGTCTAGTCAGCGGCCGGATGGGTGGCAGCCTAGAAAGAATATTTATGCCACCTTGCATTCCACAATAGAAGAAAGGCAGTACAGTGGTACCTTCGGTTAAGAACTTAATTCGTTCTGGAGGTCCGTTCTTAAACTTAAAACTGTTCTTAACTTGAGATACCACTTTAGCTAATGGGGCCTCCCACTGCCGCTGCGCCGCCAGAGCATGATTTCTGTTCTCATCCTGAAGCAAAGTTCTTAACCCGAGGTACTATTTCTGGGTTAGCGGAGTCTGTAACCTGAAGCGTCTGTAACCTGAAGTGTCTGTAACCCGAGGTATCACTGTACATAAAGGTAAGGATGAATCAATAAATAAAACCAACCATGTGTTGTCGTCAACCATTAGTTAACTTAATTCACTGATCAGCTTGGTGGGTCAGCCCCCAATGCACTGGGTCATGGTTCCCAAAAGCAGCAGCATCACCACCATATAAATATAGGGTAACTCCCCACCCCCCAAAATGCATTTTGCAATTAAAGATGGGTCCTGGATCTGAATATATTGAGGCCTACTTATCTGAAGGTTGATTGTGCATGTTTGCAAGCACAAATTGTACTACCACTCAACCAGACCACATCTTTACACAAGGATGTAAGAAAAGGTTGGCTGGATCTCTCCAATAATTCACTTAGTCCAGCTTCCTCTTTTGCCACAGCAGCCAACCAGAAGCCCCTAAGAAAGACATCAGGGTAACGGACATCTTTTCTTTCTCTGTGTCAGAGCCTTGGTTCAGAGGTAGGGCCCCTCTAAATGACCAGTTCTTGGGGGAGAACTGTGGGAGACAGCGACTGCCCTTGTGTCCAACTTGTGGGCTTCCCCAAGACATCTAGTTGGCTACTGTGGAAAACACGATGCTGGGCGGAACAGGCCTTTGGCTGATCCACCAGCGTTCTTCTTCAGTTAGCACAAGTGAGATCTTTTGGTATACACTGGCCAGGTTTCATGCAACTCACTAGTTCTATCTGGTTGGAGACTGGCTTCAGTTTGGGTGGCGTCGGGGTGCCATAGTCCACGCTGCTCCTCCCAGCCTGGCCTCCCAGCTCCCCCCCAGACAGCGGGGTGTAGTCCGTCCGGTGAGCCTTCTGGTTGACCTTGATGTAAAAAAAGTCCTCATTCTTGTTGCCCTTGGAGCTGGACTTATTGTGAACAGTTTCCTGAGAGAAGCCAAATTTCAACAGTCCGTCTGAGTATCTGTTCAGCTTCTTCAGGTGGGAAGACTTGCGCAGCTTGTACTGGGATGCCCGGCAGTGCTTGCTATGGAAGCTGTGGCCTGAGATGAGGCTACTGACACTTCCCATGATGGTCCTGGGTGAAGGGCATGCACAGAAGGGAGGGCACCCTGGGTGGGTCTTCTAAGAGAATGTCCTCACTGTCGGGAGAGAAGGCTGGTGTTGTGGTCATAGCAGAAGCCTTGCTGTGCCAAGGAGCAATAAACCTGAGAAAAGGTGAGAAAGAAATGAGGATTGGTGAGAATGGGTCAAGGTGCCTAACATAAGTCCGCTCAGAGAACAGTCACAATGGATATGGAGGAAACTTAAATCCAAGTCCCACCTCTGTCATTGACACATCATATGGTGTTGGGTAAGTCACCATATCTCAGACTTGGCATCCCAACTGATAAATGAGAGTGGCAAACCCCAGAACCCCACTTCCTGTTGGAAAGACGCCAATGAGGAAGAGATACAGGGTGCCCCACAAAGTAGGGAATCTTTAATGTCTCCTCCCAACCTCAGGAACATGGTCCCTTTGCCTTCCTCAGATTCTGAGTATGAATACCCAGTGGTGTCTTCCCTGCCACACAGAAGCCAGTGGTTCTGGAACTGGGCAAAGACCACCATCAGCTCTGTCAGTATGGTGCTGCCAATCGCAGAACAGGCATTGCTTTTGATAACTTGAGATCTTGGCTGAAGCAACATCCCTTTGTGATTTAGAATGTGCAAGGAGCAACAGCCAACTTACTGGGAGCTCTCCATGGTCCTGAAAAGGCCAGCCAGAATTTAAACAAGCTGTGTAAAGTCAAGATATATAAGGAGTAACCAATTTTTTTGCCCTCTAGCCAACATATTTGATAGTCAGGGGTGATGAAGCATCCATCAGCACCTGCAGGGCATAACATTGTCTTTTTTAAAAGTGTTATGCAAACCAAAGCACAGCCATCCTTAGAAACTGATTTTATAAAGTTCTCCAACCAGGCAATGTGTACAAAAATGCATATATTAGTGAAAATAACATACAAAAACGTGGTTTTAGAGGAAATTTTAGAGGAAATTGCTTTGAAAATGTGTGTATCTTAGGCAAAGGTGCATTAAAAAGTGGATATTAGGACTGAAAACATAAGACTTGAAAAATGAGAAACTAAGAGGAACCAAAACTGACAGATTTGCCCATCACTCATTCTGGGCAACCAACTCCAATGAACAGCCTGGTGCTGGTAGAGATCCACTCCCTTCCCTTCCCCTCCCCCTGAATCAAAGCTTCATAAACAAAGCTCTAGAGTGAAGCTTAGCCACGGTAGTTTCAACTTTATTCCCAAATAAGCCCCTTGCTCTGCGCTTCCCCTACAACATTCAGCACTTTTTGATCTGCTCCAACATGGATGCTGCTGCTGTTCTTAATTACAACTCATGTCTTGTATACCATTCTCAGAGGCACAGTGTGTCACTGCCGTCATTACAGCTCAGCGCTGGTACCCTATATATTTCCCCTTTCCCTGGGGCTTTAAAGCCCCTCAATCGACCCGGTGTGCCTCTCAACTGGTGAGGGAAAGAAGGAAATGCTTTCCTGGTGCACACCTAAAGGTTAAGGAGGGTGGAGCAGAGTTGCAGGTGGGTCAAAATCAGCACAGGATCAAAATGACCTCCATCCAGGTGCGTTGCAGAAGGGGAGGGGGTGGAAAGATGGGCGTGCTTTGGAGGTTGATTCATTGCAGCAGGGAGATGGAACGGAAGCTGCTCCAATCGCTGCTGCTCACTAAAAACCACTAAAAGCTTTTCTGCTCTCCATACTGTGGGCGTTTGGGAGGCTGTCTTCATCACCCTGGCAGGGACTGAGCCTCGTTTCTGCTTTCTCTCTCCCCACACACAACTTTGGAATGTAGACAAAATGGCAGTACAAAAGAAAATCCGCCCCCCTTTCCTTCCACCACTGTCCCCCACCCTGCTGCCAGCATCCCACCCAAATATATATATATATACAAGTCTTGTAGGCCTGTTGCAGCTGCAGAAGTCTGTGTGGGGAGGATAAAGTTTGCAGAGGAAGCTGGAAAGGGCGGCTGTGACTAATGGCAGAAAAATATCATCGGGAAGAGGAAACTGCAGAACAGAGACCCCTCCTGCTTGCTCACTTTTCGACCTGGTTTTTGTTCGCCACCTTCCCACTTCTCTGCTCCTCACAACTGTCTCTTAACATGTTCACAGAGGAATAGTGGAGGCTGCCTCAAGACAGCTGGTCCATCCAATTCAGTTTTCTTCTTCTTCTACACTAGGGGTAGCTAATGTACCAAACTCCCATCAAGCCCAACCACCACTGCAAGGAAGCTGCATTATGTCAGACTACACTGCCTGGCAGTGGCTCTCCAGGACTGCAGGCAGGAGCCTTTCCCAACCCCAGCTGGAGATACCTGCAGGGATTGAACCTAGGATCTCCTCTTTGCAGGACAGATGCTCTGCCACTGAACTGTGGCCCTTCCCAGCATTTTCATCCTGCAATCAGCAGGTTGGCCCCGGTCAACACAAACCGTAAAGATTTCAGGCAGCGCTACCTTCCCATGCCAAGGACTTAACTTGGGACCTCCTGCATGCAAAACAGATGCTCTACCTCTGATCTGCAGCCCTTTCCCTTAAAGCTACAGTCGTTCACTAGAATGGACAGTGATGGCTTCAGGTTCTGAGAAGTCCCTAGGTGGGCTTCCTGTTTAGGGAAAGGGAAGAGGCTCTCTACCTGAAATCCTGGAATGCGAAGGCCAGCCAGTGTACACAATACTCAGGTGGATGTGCCAAAAGGCTCTCCCCGGCACCGCTCATATTCCTCCCTCTGGGTCCAAGCCACCCAAGTAGGCAGAGCACAAAGAAAGTAGGAGATGGGGTGTCCATCTCCTCACTGCTTACATTATTGATTTTTTAATTTATTATTATTTCGGTCACAGACCAGTTCCAGCCCACATACAATATCAAGGAAGTCATAAAACACGATAGGGATACATTTGAATTTGCAATTAGGTATAACAGGGACAATACAGATATAGCAACAGTTAAAATATATATAAATTAAAACTGAGTCACTAACATATAACCTAAAATTATCATTTAAGGCCTTAATCATTATGATAGCACAGCTTGTTCCCTAAGTTTTATGGCAATCGCACAGAATTTGGCTACCCTTAACGTGATCTCACAATCCTTCTCCTCTACCAGGGATTTTAGACATTGAAGTTCGCTGCTTACATCATCATCATCATTATTATTTGAAATTATATATTGCATATACCCAGAGGTGTCAGGGTGGTTCACAGAAGAAAATAAAAATATAAAACCACAAAATACATAATCAAAATAAAAACAACAACCCAATACCCCCCCCCCAAAAAAACCACCCACATTTTAAAAGGGCATAGGATGTAAATCAGATCAACCAAAGGTCTGGTTAAAGAGGAATGTTTTTGCCTGGCGCCTAAAGGTGTATAATGAAGGCACCAGGTGAACTTTCCTGGGGAGAGCATTCCACAGACGGGGAGTCACTGCAGAGAAGGCCCCGTTCTCGTGTTGCCACCCTCCTGACCTCTTGAGAAGGAGGCACACGAAGGGGGGCTCAGAAGATTATTTCAGGGTCTGGGGAGGTTCATATGGGAAGAGGTGGTCCTTGAGGTACTGCGGTCCTGAGCTGTTTAAGGCTTTATAGGTCAAAACCAGCACTTTGAATTGGGCCCGGAAACTAATTGGTAGCCAGTGCAATTGGATAAGGATCGGTGTAATATGCTCAAACTGTCATGCTCCAGTGAGCAACCTGGTTGCTGAATTCTGCATTAGCTGAAGTTTCTGAACCGTCTTCAGCCCTACATATCACACATTGCAGTAATCTAACCTTGAGGTTACCAGAGCATAGACAACAGAAGTTAGGCTATCCCTGTCCACATAGGGGCGTAGCTGGGCCACCAACCAAAGCGGATGGAAGGCACTCTGGGCCCTTGTAGAGGGCAGGTGAAAAAGTAGTAACAGCAAGGGCAGCAGTGGAGGTGGCCTCAGCAGGTACCCAAGGATGCCTGTCTCCCTTGTGTCATTCTTAATCAAGACATTGGCTCTAGTAGACTTTACTTCGGATTCAGCATTTGACAGATGACATGCTCACACCAAGGATCACTGCGCCCAAGGCATGCAAGCATGAAAACATGCACCCCCTGTGGTGGCTTGTCAATGGCTACTAGATGCAATGGCTATGTTTGCCTCTGAATACCTGTTGGCTCCTCACAGGCAGGGAGTACCTGCATTAGAAACTCAGGTATCGCCAACGGCACCTTAAATCCAGGTTATGGTCGTCAAAACTTAATGTCCAGGTGCCTTTTTTTGCAGTAACATTCAGTGTTGTTTTTATTATTCATTTCTAGACCACTTTATATTTCAATGGAAAAAAATCTCAAAATGGTTTGCAACACATTAAATCAAATAAAACAATCCAGAATAAAACAAATTCAAGCTTTAAGGAAAATGTCCTTCTTTGAGTAGCATTTTGCTTTTCCCATATTTATTCCCCATATGTATTTACAGTAAAGGTAAAGGTAAAGGGACCCCTAACCATTAGGTCCAGTCGTGAATGACTCTGGGGTTGCGGTGCTCATCTTGCTTTATTGGCCAAGAGAGCCGGCGTACAGCTTCCGAGTCATGCGTCCAGCATGACTAAACCACTTCTGGCAAACCAGAGCAGCGCACGGAAACGCCGTTTACCTTCCCGCCAAAGCGGTACCTATTTATCTACATCCACTTTGACGTGCTTTCGAACTGCTAGGTTGGCAGGAGCAGGGACCGAGCAACGGGAGCTCACCCCGTCATGGAGATTCGAACTGCCGACCTTCTAATCGGCAAGCCCGAGACTCTGTGGTTTAGACCAAAGCACCACCTGCGTCCCTGTATTTACAGTACTTACTTAATTTATAGAGCTGTCCCATGAGGAAGTACTCTAGGAAGCCAGTATGCTGTAGTGGTTAGAGCGCCACAATAGGAGCTGGGAGATCAGGGTTCAAATCCCCAATCAGTCCTGAAGCTCACTGGGTGACTTTGGAGTCAGTCGCAGCCTCCTAAGCTACCTCACAGGGTCATTGTTGGGATTAACTGGGGGGGGGGTTGAACTACGTACTCCTTGGAGGAAAATAAATGCAGTGAATAAGCTCTTCTGCTTACTGCTTAAGAAAGCTGGAGGTGTCAGTCAGGTGGAGATGCTGGTCACCAGCCTGGCATCCAGAGATCTCCACATGGTCGCAACAGGACCTGCACCAGTTGCAAAATGCACCCAGTACCCGGCTAATTTCTAACACTGGGGAGAACGCTTTTGCACTCAGATTCAGTTTGCGGGCTTCCTAGAGGCATCTGGTTGGCTGTGTGAACAGGATCCTGGACTGAAAGGTCCTTTGGCATGTTCCAGCAGGGCTCTTATGTCTTTTAACAATTTTTTTTATGTGCTTGAAGGGACATGGGTGGCACTATGGGTTAAACCACAGAGCCTAGGACTTGCCGATCAGAAGGTCGGCGGTTCGAATCCCTGCGACGTGGTGAGCTCCTGTTTCCCAGTTCGAAAGCATGTCAAAGTGTAAGTAGATAAATAGGTATCGCTCCGACGGGAAGGTAAACGGCGTTTCCGTGCGCTGCTCTGGTTCGCCAGAAGCGGCTTAGTCATGCTGGCCACATGACCCGGAAGCTGTACACCGGCTCCCTTGGCCAATAAAGCGAGATGAGCACCGCAACCCCAGAGTCGGCAACGACTGGACCTAATGGTCAGGGGTCCCTTTACCTTTACTATACCTCTTAAAGAGATTTTTAAAATACTTAGCAGTCCACAAATGCTCTTAAATAAAAGAAAACAAACCTAGCAATGCCCATGGTCCACAGACCGTGCTATTTCCATCAAATATTTCCCAGCCCTGGATGGAGATCGTTCTCCGCCTCTTGCCTTTTCTAAGACAGCAGAACTAAGTTGTCTCATTGTCTGGCCCCAGCCTAGCCTGATTTGGAGGGTTAAACACAATTAAATAAAAATGGGATCGGGCTTATCTTCTTCTTATTCCCTGTCAGCTGGGGCATGACAGAAGCCTTTGTCCCAGCTGCCAAAGAGATTGCCTAGCCGTCAGGCCTGCTGTATTGACAGCCCATTATGATACAGTGGCCCGGGGAAGGAGAAAGAAGCACGCGAAGAGCTAACTCTTTATGATGCAAATTGGGGTGTGCGTACACGTGTCGGTGTGCAAGTGCCAGAATGGGATTTGAAGACCGCTGAGATTTTATCTGCCCGGCCTGGTGGGTACAGAGTGTGCTGGTGTGAGCATATGGAGTCCCTAGCAGCCAAGAGCACCTGGCCTTGCATATATATTAGGGAGCCGAGAGAGCTGGTTGTAATAAAAGGGGCAGGGCCTGGAACGTATTCTCTATGCTGAGAGGCAGGAGCTGCACTCGCCTCCAGCTGGATGACCCTTAACTGGATATTCAAGAGCCTGTTAATGAAATTAATCAATGCAAAGGGGGAGGGGGAGGATAATAGGCCATATGCAGGGCTTGTTAGAAGGTCACCGAAAGCCACACTGCTCATTTCTGTGCTCAAGCACAAATATCGGAACGCTGCCTCTAGGGAGGAGGGGGAAACTCAATTTGGTTTGCATGTGCCTAGCTCACACTCTCTGAAATAATATGCAGACTGAAACATTCACACTTCTCTGAATTTTGCAGCGTGGTTCTACAGCCAAGCAATACACTCTAAAGTAGACATACTAGGGTAAAGCAGGCATAACAATGCATATAAATAGCGAAATGGATGTACAAAATGCATTTTTATAGGAAACTGCTTTGTATCACCACACAACTTGGAGTTTCTCCTTCAAGCCCCCAAAATATAAGAAGCCTGCTTCACAGTACCATTCGGTATGGCTGCCCCTGTTCCGCTGAGATAAAGCAGGCAACCACTAGTCGTACTTCATGAAAAGAACTGAATATGTCTTTGTTTTGGCAATTTTTTCCAGCAGGATGATAATATCTATGTCTTAGGTTTAAAAATGATACAAAGTGAACAGCTATCTTCAGCTGGTTTTGTTTTGTTTTGCATTGCTTTTAAAACAGATTTGTAGCTGTTTTGTGATATGCTTGTAAATCCTCTTAACATTCAGAAATAACTAAAGAAAGAATTCTTGTGGGGGCAAATCCCATAGTTTAGCCATGTCCTGTGTGATGAAGTGCTTTGTTTTTTCTGCCCAGGATCTTCCAACATTCAGCTTCACTGAACGGCCCTGAGTTCTAGGACTGCATTTGTTTACAACCCATGAGATGCCTGTTCCAGGAGAAGAAATATAATAAAATAATAATAATAATAATAATAATAATAATAATAATAATAATAATAATAAATTATTTATACCCCGCCCATCTGCCTGGGTTTCCCCAGCCGCTCTGGGCGGCTTCCAACAGAACACTAAAATACAATAACCTATTA